TCTGATTAGAAATGAAACAAAAATAGAATTTAATTGAAACTTGAATAGTCTATATTACAATTGTTTTCAAAATTTCAACGTTATTTAAATAATCCCTATATATACAGGGTGAGATACAAAGAAATGCAACAAAGTCAATCGCCATAATTTTTACATTTTTTTTAAATTTTATTGAATGAAAGCAAAACATGTCGTATTAGCATAAAATTTTAGAAGAGTTTAGATTTGTTCGAATTGGTCACCTTTGGCACGAATTATGGCCTTCAAACGGCCAATGAAACCGTCATACACTGCCCGAATGCTGCTCTGCGGTATTTTGGCCTATTCCCGGCGAAGCGCTTACAGAGGTGATCGACACTTTGATATTTGTTAGTGCCAACCTTGCTTTCCAAAATACTCCAGACAAAATTCTAAAGGATTGGTATCCGGAGTTTTTGGTGGCCATTGCGTGCTGGAAATGAAGCCAGGAACCTCATTTTGTAACCATTGTTGGGTGGCGCGTGCTGAGTCCTGTTGGAATGTCCAAGGTCTGTGGCCAAAATGTTTGCCAGCCCAAGGCTTTAATACACCCTCCAGAATATTTTCGGCATTTATTCTGATGCCATTGTCGATTAATACGAGCGGAGAGCCACCATCGGCTGTTATGATGGCACATACCATCACCATGGCCGGCGCTTTAGTTCTGGTGTCCAAACGAAGGTGCACATTTTCAGCTGATCTCTTTGGCAACACGATAATGTTTGTTTACAAAAGAGCTGGACAACGAATTTTTTTTCTAATCGGAGAAAACCAAATTCAACAGTTCATCACTTTCGGCCAAGCGAAGCAACTCTTTAGCTCTTTTGGCTCAAATTTGGAGAAAATCGGTTCAGAAACAGCTATAGCTCCCATATATATGTTTTATCCGATTTGGTGTTTAAGCCTCTCACATTCGTAATATGCACTCCACAAGAATGATATTTGGTACCAGATAAAAGATGCAGCCCAGAAATAGCTGTTTGTAATTTTATCGAAATCGGTTCAGATTTGGATATAGCTCCCATATATATCTTCATCCGATTTCGGGTTAATTGTGCACCAAATGACCGATATAAGTCCAAATGGACTAAATTTTAGTACATCGGACCAAATCCAGCCTAGAAGCAAGTATATCAAATTTAGTGAAAATCGGTTCAGATATAGATATAGCAACCATATATATGTATCATCCGATTTAGTGTTTTAGTTCCTTACATTCGTAATATTCACTCCACAAACGTGATATTTGGTACCAGGTATTAGATGGAGCACAGGAATAGCTGTTTTAAATTTTACCGAAATCGGTTCAGATTTGGATATAGCTCCCATATATATCTTCATCCGATTTCGGGTGATTGACCACCAAATGGCCGTAATAGCATAAATTTTGGCAAATCCGACCGAAACCAAGTACACCAATTTTAGTAAAAATCGGTTCAGATATAGCTATAGCTCTCATATATATCTTCATCCGATTTCGTGTTAATTGTGCATCAAATGGCCAATATCAGCCCAAATGGCATGAGTTTTCGTACATAAGACCGAATTCAGTCTAGAAGCTAATACGTCAAATTTGGAGAAAGCCGGTTCAGAGATAGCTATAGTTCGTAAAATGCACGATAGAACTAGATAGATTTTGATTTTGTACCAAATATCTCATAGAGCTCTGAAATGCCCTGTATAAACCTTTTTACGAGAGCTCTACTAAATATGCATAGTGGTGTAGGGTATCATATAGTCGGCCCCGCCCGACTTTTGAGCTTTCCTTACTGGTTTCTTTTTGTTACGGTGTAAGCTCTTGCACTCTTTGGAATTTCAATGGCTTTACACCGTGCTCATTTTTCAATATTTGCCGAATGGAATATTGCGATATGTTCAGCTCACAATCGGGTTTCGATTAAGTCACTTCTTTAATTTTCGAACCATTTTTGCTGATGTTGCTGTTTTCTTCCGTCCACTTCCTTGACGTCGAGCTGCGCTACGTGTATCACGGTAATGAGTGATGGCAGGACACACAAAAGATTTATTAACATTTAAATGCTGGAGTGCTCTAACGATAGTCAATTTTGCTTTTCCAGCTAAATATAAAGAAATCACACTATAACGCTTGAATTCCATCACGAATTACCTGGACAATTCTCCCCAAAATGATTTTGTGCGCTTGTAAACAATATAATGAGCTGTCACTGGAGTAATTTTAACAGCTGTCGGACGAGTGGCTTAGAAATGACAACAGTCTGAAATTGGTTGCAGTTTTTTCATCGCACCCTGTATTTCCAAAACCACACTCATATATTGAACTTACTTTCCAACCTTGACTCTTATACCAAATTGCAAATTTGTTGCTATATCCCTTCACATAATGCCAAGTGGTACCATTGTCGAAGTCTAGTACCATTTTAGAACTTTTCGTTACCTTAAAGTTCGAATTTCCAAAATACCTTTGATACATCTATTATCTATCCTGTACTCCATCAGTGACTGTCAGTCCAAATTTCAGAATTCTAACATATTCCGTTTGTCCATATACAAAAGTACATTTTAGTACTTTTCGTACCCTTAGTACTAAGGTACCAGAAGAAGTTGTCTCATATTGACCGTCTTCGTCAACTTGATCCAAGTTTTTCTAAAAATTGCATATTGTAACAAGTTTCAAACAAATCGACTTTGTTGTCATTACCTTGTAATGGGTTATTTAGCTTATATGACTTCCATATTTATTCTGGGATATTCCACACAAACACGACTTCTTAAGGATTAGGGAAAAATTTCCAATTTTTTGTTTTTTATGAATATTTTCAAACAATTTTTGAAAAATATTGTTAAAACATTATTAGCCCCATATTTAAATTTCAGTTAAAAAAAATACTTGTGCAGGTAAACAATTATTGATTTTCAAGAGTACTTGATAATGTAGAAAATTTGTACTTTTTAATGTCGGATCCGATCACATCTTCATTTAAACACAAGCAAATATAATGAAAACCAGTAAAGAAAGTCTTAAAGTCGGGCGGGGCCGACTTTATGATACCCTACACCATTTTGCTAATTTAGTAGAGCTGCGCATAACAATTAAAAGTTTTTATGGGAGAATTCAATCATACACGCTATGATTATAATTATAATTTAAAGTTCAAAGGACTAAATTCTGGCTTGTTCTGCCAATTGGTGCACAATTAATTTGAAATCGGATAAAAATATATATGGGAGCTATATCCAAATCGGAACCGATTTTAATAAAATTTGGCAAACATATTTCTGAGCTGTATTTGATATATTTCCCTGAATATCGTTGTTACGGAATGCATATTACGGCTGTAGGTAACAAATGTAATAAATCGGATGAACAGTATATCTGGGAGCTATAGCTATATCTGAACCGATCTTCACCAAATTTGACATACTAGCTTCTAGACTCAATTCGGTCGTAAGTGCCAAATTTCATAACATTTGGGCGAATATTAGACGTTTGGTTCACAATAAAAGTTAAATCGGACGAAGTAGCTATGGGAGCTATATCCAAATCTGAACTGATCTCGATAAAATTTAGCAAATGTATTTCTGAGCTGTATTTGATATATTTCCCCAAATATTGTTGTTACAGTGTGCATATTACGGCTGAGGAGGACAAAAATAACAAATCGGATGAACAATATATATGGGAGCTATAGCTACATCTAAACCGATTGCTATCAAATTTGGCATACCTATTTTCAGGTCCAATCTGATCGTACGTGCAAAATTCCATACAATTCGGACTAATATTACACGTTTGGTGCACAATAAAAGGCAAATCGGAGGAAGATATATATGGGAGCTATATCTAAATTTTGACCGATTATCTCCAATAGGACAACAAATGCGAACTGTACTTTGTTTACAAAAATACATGGACAGACGGACGGACGGACGGACATGCATAAATCGACTCAGAATGTGAATCTATGCAGATCATCAAAAGGAACTATGGGTCTATCTCGTTTCCTTTTGCCTGTTACAAACAAATGCACAAAGACATAATACCCTGACCACCTTGTGGTGTAGGGTATAAAAATCTAATATTCACTTTAATTGAACTCAGGCAAGAGAATCAGCGCCTCATATGAAATAAATAATTTTACTAGGTAGCCCTTACTGCAGAAGTTGGCAATACAAGCATTTCTCTTTAATAATATAAATATTTTAAATTTGATAGAATAAATAAAAAATAGATAGAATTAATAAAAAATAGGTAATTAGGAAATTAATTGAAAATAATTATTTATAAGATAACTATGAAAATTTAAACAGAAAAGGTTTTGCTTCGATCCTACGAAATAAATAAATTACATTGCAGCTAAAATTGATAAGCGTCATAACTATTGGGCAACAATTTTAAATGCGTACGAATGGAAAACTTTAGAACAAAATCTTCAATGTTTAATAGTTTAGAAGAGCACATTCTCACGTTTTCAGAAAAAGACAGAAGAGAGCCAAAAATCATTTGACCTAACCTTTGTTAACCTTTTGGCGAAAGATTAGAAAGAAAAAAGCTTTTGCCACATTATCAAAAGTCTTACTGGAATTTTAGACAAAAATTTGAAACTTTTCTAGCTAAAGATTTAGTCGGACAAAAGATCTCTAAACGTTAACAACCTAAAAAAAAACCTAAAAACCATATATTAAACACAAAAGAACCCAGAAAGAATATATTCTAATATCAATCATTAATATTCAAAAAGAATAAAAAAACGAAATATTTTTCACAAGGCAAAAACAAACGTCTGCCATGAACTTGGCCAACTAAGCTTGTCGGTGTTGTAAGCCAGAGGCCAAATTCATGACAACAACAAAAACAAACAAACACACAACAAAACAAGAAAAAATCAAGTTTTATGCAAAGCACCCCACAGATCATAAGTTCATTAAACCCCGCAGACCGGCGAATAAAGAAAGTAGAAGAAAAAGAAAAATACATTAAAAATATTCCAATAATCGTAGACAACAGCTCTAACCAAATATGAAGCTCTGTACTATTTTTCCATTGGCGCTTTTTGGCTTTTTCTTCCACACGAATTTATTGGTGAATGGAGAATTGATTACCATCGCCAGCAATAATGGCCAAGATGATTTACTTGAATTGCTCCATACAGAAAAAGTTTTAATTGATAGCCTAAGGCATTTCATCGAAGTACAAGAACAAAAATTGGATACCTTAAGAAGGTAGGACAAATGGCAAAATTATTGAAATAAGAGTTACATCAGCAAATTTACATTGAATTTTTTATAACATATTTTTTCTGATTTTAGAAAAACCCAAGAAATCCAAAATATTTACGATGAGGTTGGTGATAATCGTGAGGGATATTTAAATAATCCCATCAATGCTGTAACTATGTTGAAACGTCTAACATCCGATTGGAAGGGCCTAACCAATTATGCCGAGGACTATTTGGATACTGAAGGCAAGTATACAGTAAAAATTTTCAAATTTGAAAACCACAGTTTGACATTTATGATGGTTGTATAAGAAACAGAATACCAATATATACCATCCATTAGAGGGGTATGATATGTATGTTGACGATATTCTGTTGTTTAAGATGCAACAAATATCTACCTTTCTTGTACGAATTTTAGGATTTATAATTTCCTTGCAATTATATCTGGTTTGTTTTTATACCCTACAACACTATGTGTTGGGGGTATTAAAAGTTTGATTGGGCCAAAAATTATGTAACACCTCGAAATATTGGTTTCCCACATAGGAAAGTATATATGGATCTTCCTATATCGCCGAGCTGAGTCGATCTAGCTATGTATGTCCGTCCGTCCGTCTGTCCATGTTAATTTGTAATCACTCTACAGGTCGCAATTATGGCCCGATCTTCACGAAATTTAGAATGGAGGTGGGGCTATGGCCAGAATATTTCTATTTCTTTTGGAGATGATCGCATAATATTTAGGGGTTGAAATGGACCAAAAACTGAAAAAATTCCTGATTTTGCACTTGCTCTACAGGTCGCAATTATAGACCAATCAAAGCCGAAGTTAGCATGGGGCTAGAGCTTAGGGCTGGGCAGAAGCCTTCCAATTTCGATGGTCATCGGGTAATATTTAGTGGGTGAAATAGGCTACAACATTTGTGTTAAATAATTTTCAAATTTGCTATTAAACCGCGAATATTTTTAATCCCAGCGGAATCACAAATAGACGAACAGGTCAATTCTGACCGTTACGTAGATACCGATAGTAAATATATCGGATATATATAGCGAAATATACAAAATGTGTATATACAAAGGAAGGGGATGTTAGTTAGAATGCATATTTCTCAAGAATGGCTGGAACAATTTTGACAAATTTTGTCAATTCAGGATGCCCTCTTGACATAAAAGAATAAAATATAAAAAATTGCAGAAAAATATGCCAATAATGATGCTAATATAGATTTTGTAATATTTTGTGACATATTTTTATTTTTTCATATTTTTTATCGCATGCGATTTTTTCAATTTGACTTATAATATTTTTTAATATTTTTTCACCTTACAACACAGGTTGGATTTATTATATAAGGATTGCAAATATCGTCCGATCCTCACAAGGGTAGGATTGGGCTCAGAAGGGCTAGGCCTATTGTTTTCAAAGATGTCCGCAATATATTAGGGGTTGAAATGGACCAACAACTAAAAATTTTCCTGATTTTGCAGCCGTTATAAAGGTCACAAATAGAAACCAGAGGACACGAAATCTCGCATAAAGTTAGAGTTTAGGACAGCGGGTACAATGGACCACTAATTTTGTGTGAAAAAATACCTGCGTTACTTACAGGCGATATCCGAAATACACAAAAGGCGAATTTCTGGCTTTTTTATGCTAATTTCGTTGACGAATATAGCCAAATATTGTAGACAAGCAAATCATATAGATGAGTCTAAATTTGGAGATACAGAGGGGCTTCTTGTTTTGGAGATGATTGCAAAATATTTAGAGGTTCAAATTATCCAAAAACAGAAATATTTTTCCGATCACACAATTTAAGCCAATCGACACGCCTGTGAAGAGAGTTAAGGACAGGGAAGAATTCTAGCATTTTGGATGATCATTGGATTATATTTAGCTGTAAAATGGACTACAACAACTAATAGCACGACAGATTGCATAAATATTGGGCAAATGTCCCTTGTCAAAATCCTAATTTCAAAAGCGAAATCTTCCAATATGGATTTGGACATAAAGGGGCTTCTAATATACTGTAGTTTTGTAGGGTATAACATAGTCGGCCCCGCACGACCATAGCCTTTGCTTACTTGTTGGTCATTATGTTCGGTTTGTTTTTGGTCATAACCCCCATAATAATGTGGGTATTATGTCCGCTTCCAAAACGGACACAATCCCCACGGACACATAATTAATTTTAGAAATATTTGATTAACGGTAATCGCCGGAGGAGAGAAGATCTCAATCCCCGTCAAATTATGAAATTTAGGTGCAGAACATGCCTAGAGGAGAAACCTATTTTTTCGCATACCCAATCGTTTTGGGCATACCCATTATTATAGGGATTATGTGCGCAACTTTCTGGGGATTATGGCCGAACCCCCATGATGGAATGAGAATTATGTACAAGAGAAAACTGTCATAAACCCCAGAAAGTAGCGGACATGACCCCCATAATAATGGGTACGTCCAAAGATTTTCTCCTCTAAGTATGTTAAACACCGGCTAACGCGAACCCAAGTTTAATACATTTAATAATTTTTATACCCTCCGCCATACTATGTAAGGTATATTATCTTTGTCATTCCGTTTGTAACTCCTCGAAATACTCATGTCAGACCCAACAAAGTATCAAATTTGGTATCTGAAGTATAGCCCCCATATAACGGTACCTTCCAATATTCGGTATTTTGATGATTTTAGCGTCATTATTCACCGGAGTAGTTTCAAATTACGTATTTCGAGTTCGTAATAGGAACTACAGTCTGTGACAGACAATTGTCTATACAGGTCCAAGTCTTCGTATAGGCCCCATATATCTGTATCTCCATATTTTCGGTATTTTGACGATTTTAGGTACAATACTATCCGAAATTGTTTTAGATGTCATATTTGAAGTTCGTAATGGATGCTACAACAAGTGACAGAAAATTGTGTATGCAGGTTCAGTTCTTCGTATAGCTCCGATATAACGGTACCTCCCGATATACGGCATTTTCATGATTTTAGCTACATTATTCATCGCTTATTTCAAGTCTCGAATTTGAATATGGTAATGGCTTATGTCAAACTATGTCTATGTAGGTCCACGTCGTATAGACCCCAATATAACAGCTATATTCGGTATTTCTAAGATTTTAACATAATTTTTAACGGATTTTATTTTTTGAAAATTTCCAAATTCGTTCCAAATGGTAGAGGTTATTCAAAGTTCTGCCCAGCCGAACTTACTGCTTTTTAACTTGTTTTAAATAGCCCTCACAGCAAGCGGTCATACACACCACTTTATAATAGAGATTATAACCGAAAAAAGGTCATAATCCCCATAATTGCAAAGAGGATATGTAAGGGCGCTGGTTTTTGATTTTCCATTTAAAAAAAGTGTAAATAGGAGTGGTGGTAATATCAACCTAATCCGCCAAGGGTTGGGTGATGCCACAAACAGAGAAATATTGGTTCCAGACAAACGTCCGTCCGTTCGATTGGGCAGACATGTATTTTTACTGCTCGCATTGCCCGATCAAGATGAAATTTTGCACAAATCGTTTGTTTAGAGCAAGGACGAACCATATGGAAATTGATATAATCGGTCAATATTTAGATATAGCTCCCATACATATCTTCGTCAGATTTGTTTTTTATTGTGCGCCAAATGTGTAGTATTAGCCCAAATAGGATGGAATTTGGTACATAAATACCAATCCTAAAAGCAAGAGTTTCAAATTTGGTTAAAGTCGGTTCAGATATAAATATTGCTCCCATATCTATCGTTTATTCGATTTGTTATTTTTGTCTCTTATAGTCGTAATTAGAACTACCAATTAGAACTCTTTCGATTTCAAATTAATTGTGCACCAAATGGGCAATACAAGTCCGAATTTAAAAGGTGCTGAGTCCCGTTGGAATGTCCAAGGTCTGCGGCCAAAATGTTTGCGTGCCCAAGGCTTTAATACACCCTCCAGAATATTTTCGCGATAATATTCGGCATTTATTCTGATGCCATGGTCGATTAATACGAGCGGAGAGCGACCATCTGCGGTTATGGCCAACACAATCTCTATGGCCGGCGCTTGAGTTCTGGTGGCCAACAGGAATTGCACATTTTCAGCTGAACTCTTTGGCAAAAAACACGATCAGTTTTTTTTTTTTTTTTTTTAAACTGGTAAACAACGAATGTTTCATAAAAAGAGAAAACCAAATTGGGCAGCTCACCACTTTCGGCCAAGTGAAACAAATCTTTAGCTCTTTTGAGTCTTTTTTTCTGTTGCGGTGTAAGATCGTGCACTTTTTGGAATTTCAATGGATCTACCCCGAGCTCATTTTTCAATATTTGCCTAATAGAATATTGAGATATGTTCAGCTCAAAAGCCATTTTTTGGGTACTGCGACGCGGGTTTCTATCAAGTCGCTTCTTTATTTTTGGAACCATTTCTGCTGATGTTGCTGTTTTTATACCCAACACCACAAGGTGGTTAGGGTATTACGTCTTTGTGCATTTGTTTGTAACAGGCAAAAGGAAACGAGATAGACCCATAGTTCCTTTTGATGATCTGCATAGAATCACATTCTGAGTCGATTTATGCATGTCCGTCCGTCCGCCTGTCCATGTATTTTTGTAAACAAAGTACAGTTCGCATTTATTGCCCCATCCAGATGAAACGTGTAATACCAGTCCGAATAGTATGGAATTTTGCACATTTAACCAAATTAGGTCTGAAAATAAGTATGCCAAATTTGATCGAAATCGGTTCAGATATAGCTCCCATATATAACTTCGTCCGATTTACCTTTTATTGTGCACCAAACGTCTAATATTTGCCCAAATTGGATAAAATTTGGCACTTACGACTGAATTGAGTCTAGAAGTTAGTATGTCAAATTTGGTAAATCGGTTCAGATATAACTATAGCTCCCATATATACTGTTCATCCGATTTGTCATATTTGTTACCCACAGCCGTAATATGCACTCCGTAACATCGATATTCAGGGAAATATATCAAATACAGCTCAAAAATATCTTTGGCAAATTTTATCGAGATCGGTTCCGATTTGGATATAGCTCCCATATATATTTTTATCCGATTTCAAATTAATTGTGCACCAAATGGGCAATACAAGTCCGAATTTAAAAGATACATATGCTTCGGCATATTTAGTCCTTTGAACTTTAAATTATAATTATAATCATAGCGTGTATGATTGAATTCTCCCATACAAACTTTTAATTGTTGTGCGGAACTCTACTAAATTAGCAAAGTGGTGTAGGGTATCATAAAGTCGGCCCCACCCGATTTTAAGACTTTCTTTACTGTTTTTTTTCGCCCATTTCCTTGACCAGTATCACGGTAACGAGCGATGGTATGAGACACAAAAGATTTTTTCACATTTAATTGCTGGAGTGCTCTAACGATAGCCACTTGAGGTTTTCCAGCCAAATATAAAGAAATCACACTATCAAGCTTGAATTCCATCACGAATAATATTTTTTCTTGAAAAGTCTCACCACAATGCTTTTGTATGCTTGTAGACAATATAATGAGCTGTGACTGGAATCGTTATAGCAGCTGTCGACTGTGGCGTAGAAATGACAGCAGTCTGAAGTTGGTTGAAGTTTTTTCATGTCACCCTGTATTTATTTATTACTTATTTATTTTAATGGACGAAAATAAAACTTTGGTGACTCTTTTGAGGGTTAATAAATAGTCCTCGTTTAGCTATGCACCTAAATTGTAAGGATTTGCAAAAAACTTTAATCCACAAAGCATGTGGAGGAGGGGGAACATACCCTCACCATTTGGGCCCAAATCGCCGATATACATGTATCTTTGTTTAGTTCTACTTTCATAATATGCTGGATTTTTCCTTTCCTTTTTTTCCTACAAAAAACGACTAAATTTTATCACTCAGAGATATATACCGAGTTTTTAGAAAAAAAAAAAGAAAAATCGGACAGTTTCCAAAAAAATAATAATGATATAAAATAATTTTTGCATTTATTCATATGTTATTACAATGGGAATAACATTCCAAGCAAAGGATGTTAACACCCACAGTGAGATCCGTAGCTATAGTCTTATTAGGAATTTCGATAAATTCCTTAAACCGTTTTCTCTACGTTTTTATATTTGGCGAATATAATCCTCTTAGTGGGACATTTCCCCGAATGATGTGTCTATGGCAATCTCACAATTTATTTTCATAGTAATTTATTTACTACCCCCGGGGGATTATTTTTCCCATTGTCAAAATTGTTTATTTTCTCTATGCATAATCTCAGGAAAAAAATTGATTCTATTTAATAAACAAATTATTCTTTATTATTTTCATCTGCCTTTCAGACTTGACCAAAAACATTACCCAAAGCGATGAACTCACCTTCCCCACGGAGGAGGATTACGAATCGGCTTTGGTTGGTTTGCTGCGTATCCAAGATATGTTCAAATTGGAACCACAACGTCTGTCTGTGGGCGAAGTTAATGGCATTAAAATGGGGTAAGTAGACTTTTGACTGGCTGTTATTCAAATTTTGCGTTTCCGAGAAATTGTAAAATTGAAAATTAACACAAATGGCGGTAATAACGTTATTCATCAAATTCACTTGTTCCAACCCGCCTCCTCTCCCTCCCCCTGCTTCCATGTATACATCTAGTTCGGAAATGTCCTGGAGTGATTGTTTAGAATTGGGTCTTAAGTCAAGCAAGAATGGTTATCAATCCAATGCTAAATATTGGATGGAAACGGCCTTGGAAAAAATACCCATTGTTGGACAACAACAGCAGCAGCAACAACAAAATTCCACCGAAGCTGAAATAACAGGTTCGACTACGAACAATGTAAATGAATTTAATGTTAAGGCACGTTTGGAAGTTTTGCGAGCTCTATTGAATGTGGAATATAAATCAGGTAAGTCTAGCTGGAATAGGAAGAAAGGAAGAATATTTTATGGTGTTTAAATATTTTCAATAAAAAAAATTAAACACTTCCTAAAAAGTATTAAATTTTCTATTGCTTTATAACTTGTTGAGTTGTTGTTGTTTGCTTTAATAACTGAATTATTATTGTTTTTGTTTTTTGTTACTCTTTTAGGCAATTTACACAAGGCTCTCAAAATAGCCGAAGAAATGTTGCAATATAACCCAAATCAAAAAAATGTTCTAAAGGCTGTTACATCAATTAAAAGCGATTTGAAAAAGAGCAAATATCTTTTAAATAAAAAACAGGACAGCACAGCTGAGAAAAAGGTTAGTATGTAAAAGAAAAAATGAAAAATAATGCTAAAAGTAATTGACCATATCAAATTACAAGACTCCATATAGAGGGTGACCCAATTACAAGGGTACGAGAGGAAAAGTGCCGAGTTGAGACTAAATTGAAGCTGTGTGCTCTCATAGATGTATTGCATTTGGTGATTTTAATTATTTCGACCATATAGTGATCATATTCACAATTTAGAATGCATCAGCCGTCTGTCTGTGTAATCACGCTATCATCCGAACGAATTGAGATAGAATGCTAAAATTTTGGATACATGCATAGTTTGCCAGTAGGCAGGCTAAGTTCGTAAGTGGGCCATGTCGGTCCAGGTTTCTTATAGGCCCCATATAACGGTACTTTCATGACTTTAACAACATTATTTACAGGAATTGTTTCAAATTCTGTATTTGAAGTTCGTAATGGGCACTGCAGCCTATGACAAAAAGTTTTGTATGCAGGTCCACTTCGAAAAATTTCGTATGCAGGTCCACGTCTTCGTATAGCCCCCATATGACGGTACCTCCCGATACTCGGTATTTTCATGCTTTTTGCGTCATTATTCACGGGAATTGTAACAAATTTCGTATTTAAAGTTCGAAATGGGTACTATAGCATATGACGAAAAAAATCGTAAGGTTTCGTATAGTCCCCACATAACGGTTTTCAATTAAGTGGTAGTTGTCGGTTTTTTTTTTTTAATTTTCAATTTCCCTCCAAATGGTGGATGGTAATAAATGGTCGGCTCGGCCGAACTTAGCTGCTTTTTTACTTTTTTGGAACTTTTTTGTTACAAATGGCACTGAATATTCTTATGAAAGTCTAAGTTTAATATTAATATTACGACTTACCATTTTTGGTCCCAATTACCAAATGGGACAAGTTGGAGAGTTGTCGTGTGCTCTAAACAGACGGACGGACACGCTAGATCGACTCCAAATGTTCTGAAATGGAGTTGGTCCCAAAAGACCTACAGGTCTAAAACTATTATTTCCATGAGTCACGTTGTTAGCATGTGAAATGATGTATATCCTCTGCAGCCATATGTCTGGGGGTGTAACAATTAGCCATTGTTAAAATACCGAATATTGGGAAGTAAAGTTACCAAAACGCGAACCTACATGGACAGTTTTCTGCTACAGTGACTGGTATGCTTTACGAATAAAAATATTTCCATTTGATAATATGGCTGTTCTTTGGGGGCTATAGAAAAAATGGGATCAATATATGAACACGTCTATTGGGAGGTACCATTATATAAGGGCTATACGAAAACGTGGACCGACATGTGCAAAATGTTCCATTTCCCTTCCCAATTGGTATGAAATATTAGCAAAGATAAGCATGATTACAACAGACAGACACACCAAAAGACGGATATTGCTAAATCGATTTAGAATTTTACACTGATCCAGAACATATATACTTTATAGGGTCTAACATCGAATTTCACCAGCAGCGACTTACATAAAAATATAGAGGATATTGGCTTCTAAGCCCCAGATTTTAGTGCTTTTAAATACAGACCTAATAAAGGACAGACATCCGAAAAACTCACGCGAATTCGAGTACAGAGAAACTTGATGGAAGTCGAGCGAGAGAACTCTTGAAAGTAAAAACAAGTAAAAAACATTAAGTTCGGCCGGGCTAAACTTTTAATACCCTCCACCTTAGGGTAAAGGAAACATTAGAAGAAATGTGGTAAAAACCATTAAAATGCCAAATATCGGGAGGTACCGTTATATGGGGGCTATGCCAATCGTGGACCTACACATGCAATGTTTCGCCAAAGGAGTTAGAACCCATTATGACCTACATATATCAATTTTCAGACAAATCCGTGAAAAAATGTGGCAAAAATCATCAAATTACCGAATATCGGGAGGTACCGTTATATGGGGACTATACCAAAGCGTGGACCTATAATTACACTAACTCGCCGCACGAACTGGGACCTATTATGATCTACAACTACCAATTTTCAGAGAAATTCTTGAAAAAATGTGGCAAAAATCATCAAATTACCGAATATCGGGAGGTACCGTTATATGGGGACTATATGAAAACGTGGACCTATACATACAATGTTTCGCCACACGAACTAGGACCCATTATGACCCACAAATACCAATTTTTAAAGAAATCAGTGAAAAAATGTGGCAAAAACCATTAAAATACCGAATATCGGGAGGTTCCGGTAAAAGGGGGGCTATACCAAATCATGGACCCATACATGCAATGTTTCACCACCGGAGCTGGAACCCATTATGACCAACAAATACCAATTTTTAGACAAATCGGTGAAAAAATGTGGCAAAAACCATCAAAATACCGAATATCGGGAGATACCTTTATATGGGGGCTATTTCAAAACGTGGACCTATACATGCAATTTTTTGCCACCTACTCTTCAAACACTACCTCTCGCGAGCAAGTTTTACACCCGAGTGATTAATTTTCCCGAGAAAGAAGTCAAAGTGCAAAGTTTTAATCGAACCTTTAATAACTGTACTGAAACATCAGCCCGACATGATGCTGAAGGTGATATAAATGTCTCGTTTAAATTTTAACTGTACGACCATACAATATATTAGACCTCAGAACTGTAGTGATCCTCTACAGATAAAAAATACGTACACAGTTGAAATATAACGCCATTCTGTCTATCTATCATTGAATTAGAACCAAATGAAAATCAAGTGCTGATATGGTGACATAATACAGTATAAGTGTTCTGTAACTTTTCTCACACCCATCACATATTGCTTTGCATCAAGTTCCCAATATCCCTCTGTAATTCAATTTTTTATTCTGTTTTCTACATTTCCATTTTTTTTGTCTATCTATCCTCCCACCCACACAGACGGCAATCAAGAAAACCGACGAAGAACTGATGATAGAGGAAATTTGCCGGGAGGCAACCAATAGCCAACAGCAACAACAAATCCATACTGCCCAATTTGAAACATCAGCCCGAATTCCACAATGTTCTCTGGTTACTTTCAATTCAAAATGGTTGTTGCTACAACCACTCAAAGTGGAAATTCTGAATGTGGACCCCTTCATTGTCATCTATCATCGGGCGATGAGTGGCAAGCAATTGGATGACTTGAAGCAGTTTATTGTTGAAAAAGAGGAGGATTCCCTTGCCGATGACGATGGCATGTTGCAATTGACAAATATTGGTTTGAAGAAAATGCATCAACTCAACGAGAAATTGCATCGTGTCATTGGTCACGAACGTGATACGTTGAATGCCAAAAATTGGCGTTTCGATTTTTACAATTTCGAGAATATTATGGAAGTTGAGAAGACATCGGTACAGAAGGCCGGCAACACCAAGCAAGCTGGTGTAATGTTTAATGTAAATATTGAAGAAGTGATGGTTGGAGTGAAAGAAGTTTCTTTAAATTTTCGTCTTCTTTTTTCAGTTACAAGAACCAAAAATGGGTGGCTCAGTGGCATTCCCCCAGCTTCAATTGAGTGTAAATCTACCCAAGGGATCTGTGCTTTACTGGTCAAATTTAAATGAGTTTGGCTCAGAGGATTACCGTTCGAAATATTATGTCTGCCCTGTTATAGGAGGTTCACAAATGAGTAAGTATTGCATAAAGGATAGCTGATTGCCAAATTAAATTTGCAAAATTATTTGACATTTGATTTTGACATTATATATTACCATAACATTATATATTACCATATTAACGTACTCAGTTTATTCAAATTTCTGTGGAAGGAAAATATCTCAAACTAACTCTTTTGAAATAACAAGATTAAATTTCGATTTCACGGAAGGCAATAAATGAATTAGAAGCGTATAAATGTATTTTTTTAGGGTGTTGTGGTATCAAACGAAGTCCGACCAATCTATATTTGAAATTGGAGAAAATGTAAGAAATATTAGCTCTATGTGTGGAGGGTCCAAGAAGATGTAAACGAATTGGTCTAACCTTTCGAAAATTTATTTTATATATATGACGATGTGTGAATTTTAGTCAGAATCGGAAATTTATTTAAGAGTAATCATGCTTACCATCAGTATGTATAAGGCTCCCTCACCTAAAAATTTTACCACAAGTTCTAAGTGCGACAATATATTTTTTTTTCTTGAGGATGTTCATAATTCCCGAGTTATGGGTCCCTTAAATTTTGCTAATGCCTGTTATATTTCCAGCTTTTGTGTCAATACGGGCTCCGCAACCCCAATTTTTTATACCCTCAGCCATATGGCTACAGAGGGTATATATCATTTGATACGGTCAAAACATGCCTAGTCGAAATAACGGTTTTAGACCCTAGGTCTCTTTGGACCAAATCCGTTTCAGGACATTTGGAGTCGATCTAGCGATGTCCGTCCGTCCGTCCGTCCGTCTGTCTGTCTGTCTGGCTGGTGCGCACGATAACTCTCGAAGGGAGTATCCGATTTGGTCCAAACTTTGTACATCATAATATTATTGTCAAACTTAGATCGAGTTCGGAGATGGGCAATATCGGTCCACTCCTCCTGGTACCTCCCCCACAAAAGTTCGAAATTTTCAAAAAATATATTTTCTGCACAGAAAGAGAAAGAATGATCCGATTTTGCTCCAACTTTGCGAATCCTAATATTTTTGTCAGTGCTAGGTCAAGTGCGAAAATGGACAATATTGGTCCACTCTATCAAGTACCTCCCCCACAAAGGGTCAAAATTTTGAATAATAACAACTCTTATAAAATGTGAAGTAAGAGTCCGATTGTCTTCAAATTTCACACATCCCAATAATTGTATTAGCGTAATATCTGGTGTGAAGGTGGAATACATCGGTCCACTCCTTCTGGTACCTCCGATATTTTCAAAAAATATATTTTCTGCACAGAAAGAGAAAGAATGATCCGATTTTGCCCCATCTCTGCAAATCCTAATGTTTGTAATAGCGCAAGGTCAGGTGCAAAAATGGACAATATCGGTCCACTCCATCAAGTACCTCCCCCACAAAAGTTCGAAATTTGCAAAAAATATATTTTCTGCACAGAAAGAAAAAAGATGGTCCGATTTTGCTCGAACTTTGCGAATCCTAATATTTGCGTAAGTGCTAGGTCAGGTGCGAAAATAGACTATATCGGTCCACTCCATCAAGTACCTCCACCACAAAGGGTCAAAATTTTGAATAATTATAACTCTTATAAAATGTGATGTAAGGAACTAAAAGTCTTAAAATTTCACACATCCCAATATTTCTATAAACCTAATATCTGGTGTTAACATTGAATATATCGGTCCACTCCTTCTGGTACCTCCCCCACACAATGTCGACATTTTGAATATCCATGTGGCTCATAAAACGCCAAATTAACATCCGATTCAACACAAGATCTGTTATAAAGATGGTATAGATCGAACCATTTCTTCTGGTACCTCCCCCACACATAGGGTCCAAGATTTTGAAAAAAAAAACGCTCAAATAAATAAGCATCCAACTCTCTGCAAATTTCAAACATACAAAAATTTTTGCTAACACAAGATTTGTATATATCTTCGAACCCCTTCTGGCACCTCACCCACATAGTGTCACAATTTTCAATAATTTTATCTCTCAATAAGAAGTCTGATATGAATATGAAATTTATCGGAATTTATGATTTCGCATAAAATACGAAATGGACAATATTGACCCATTCCTTCGGAACCTGCTGCATAGAGGGTCAAACGTTTGAATAATCGTAATACTTGCCAAAATATATTTAAATAATCTAACGCAGGCTGAGGGTATATATCTGTCGGCAATACCGACTGATACTTTTTAACTTGCTCATTAATAAAATTTTCCAAATTATGCACCAATAGTTATTTAAATTTTATTAATAATTTTACCACTGTTTACAAAAAGAAAAAAATGCACTTTTTTAACAAATTTTTACCACTTTTTCTACAGATTATTTTTTGCAGCAAATATCTATTTTCACTTGTTTTAAATGTTATTCTATTTTAAGTAGCCGACCTTTGGCTATGGCTTGAATTGACCAATACCGGCAACACGACCCAAACTTTTCTGATACCTATAACAGCAATTAAGTTAATATTATTGAACGAATTGATGAAAATATTTTATCATATGGCTAGAGAGGGTATACAGGGTGAGATGAAAAAATTGCAATCAACTTCAGACTGCTGTCATTTCTAAGCCACTCGTCCGACAGCTTTTAAAATTATTCTAGTTACTGCTCATTATATTGTTTACAAGCGTACAAAAGCATTTTGGTGAGAATTTTCCATAAAAAAGGATGAAATTCAAGCGTTTTATATTTGGCTGGAAAACCACAAGTGGCTATCGTTAGAGCATTCCAGTATTTAAATGTGAATAAATCCATTTTTTTTCGTACCATTGCTCGTTACCGTGATTCTGGTAGCGCAGCCCGATGTCAGGGAAGTGGACGGGAAAAAAACAGCAACATCAGTAGAAATGGTCGAAAATCGAAAAGTAAAGAAGCTAAATGGCTCGCGAGCTGAACGCATCGCAATATTCTATTCGGCAAATATTGAAAAATAAACTCGGGCTAAAGCCATTGCAATTCTAAAAAGTGCAAGAAATTACACCGCAACAGAAAGAAAATAGTCTCAAAAGAGCTAAAGAGTTGTTTCGCTTGGCCGAAAGTGGTGGTGAACTGCCGAATTTGGTTTTCTCCGATGAGAAAACATTCGTTGTCCAGCAGTGTGTAAACAAACAAAATTATCGTGTTTACTTGCCAAAGAGGTCAGCTTAAAATTTGCACCTTCGGTTGTCCAACAGAACTCAAGCGCCGGCCTTGGTGATGGTGTGGACCGCCATAACAGCCGATGGTCGCTATCCGCTCGTATTAATCGACCGTGGCATCAGAATAAATACCGAATATTATCGCGAAAATATTCTGGAGGGTGTATTAAAGCCTTGGGCATGCAAACATTTTGGCCACAGACCTTGGACATTTCAACAGGACTCAGCACCATCGCACTCAGCACGCGCCACCCAAGAATGGTTACAAAATGAGATTCCTCGCTTCATTTCAAGCGTCCATAGAAAAACATAAAACATGGCCACCAAAATCTGCGAATACCAATCCGTTGGACTATTGTGTCTTGAGTATTTACGAATGCAAGGTTTGCACAGAAAAATACCGAAGTGTCGATCCCCTCAAGCAAACGCTTCGCCGGGAATGGGCGAAAATATTGCAGAACAACATTCGGGTAGCGTGTGACGGTTTCATTGGCCGTTTGATGGCCATAATTCGTACCAAATTTGACAAATTCGAACAAATCTAAACTTATTGTAAAATTTGATGCTATTTCCGACATTTTTTGCTTTCATTCAACAAAATTTAAGAAGAATGTAAAAGTTATGGCTTGACTTTGATGCAGTTTTTTTATCTCACCCTTTATATCTGGTATAGCCACTTCCGATTAGTAATGACTGACCAAACCTACGTTTGGAGAGTGACAATCATTCAAAATTTTTCAATGTTGTACAATTTAGTACGTTTTGAGCTCTTGAGTCACAAAAATCAAGCTATCCTCAACACTTTAGTACTCTTTAGGTGGTCAAATTCTAATTTTGTGCTCTAAAAGAAGGATCTTGGAAAGTCTTCCATATACGTCTATGGTGGCCCTTCTGACGGCCTTCTCCTTTTTTCAATCGGCATTTTCACGATTTTTTTTGTTTGTAATATAAATTGTTAACTCAAGGCATTTTTTGTTGCTCCACTCAAGAAATGTAATTGAAAACCTATTTAACCAATTTTTATATTTATTTTTCAAGTACTAATGCAAGCAATATTATTTCCATCTTCTCCACTTACAGCTGCCACCACCTTCATAAGACAACACTGATACCGGATGAATGGCGTTTACCATTATCTCAACACTGTTGATTAACTTCAAACATTAGTTTATTAATTTTCGTAAATTTAAGACAACTTGTACGTAAGACTTTTTTTTAAATAATAAAACAAAAAAACAAATATTGAAACATAAACCGAGACATAAGCCACAATTATTTATGACATAGCCAGTCCACAGTGGCTGTCAGTTTCGGGTGACGTTAGCCATCAATTAGTGGCAACATTAAGACGATAACGTTTAGCCACCGCTACCATCGCGCAGCATCTTTTGATGAGGCGTTGGTGTATCATCCTCAAAATGTCAAGGGGATAATAAACGCTGACGAAAATTTATTTCAAAGTCAATAAATTTACATTTATTATATTATTAAACCGACGTTGTCAATTACTCAACAGTTATTTTTCTAAGTTTTTAAGAGGATTAAAGTTCATGGCGAACAGGGAAATAATGAAACTATGTGTGGTTTCAACATATTAGAATTTAAGATGGAATGTATTTTGTTTTTATACCCTACAACACTATGTGTTGGGGGTATTATAACTTTGATTGGGCCAAAAATTATGTAACACCTCGAAATATTGGTTTCCCACATAGGAAAGTATATATGGATCTTCCTAGCTCGCCGAGCTGAGTCGATCTAGCTATGTATGTCCGTCCGTCCGTCTGTCCGTCTGTCCATGTTAATTTGTAATCACTCTACAGGTCGCAATTATGGCCCGATCTTCACGAAATTTAGAATGGAGGTGGGGATATGGTCAGAATAGAACCCTATTTCTTTTAGAGATGATCGGCAAATGTTTAGGGGTTGAAATGGACCAAATACTGAAAAAATGTCGGATTTTGCAGTAGCTATACAGGTCGCAATTATAGACCAATCGACGCGGAATTTCGCATGTAGCTAGAGTTTAAGGCGGGGAAGAAGCTTACCAATTTGGGTGGTCATCGGATAATGTTTAGAGGGTAAAATAGACCATATCTTTTGTGTTGAAAAAATGCAAAATTTTTCATTATACCGCGAATATTTTAAATCCCGGCGAACTCACAAAGCCATGACAAGGTTACTTCTGACCTTTACATTGATGTTAACATCCAACAAATCGGATATATAGCAAAATATGTGCGATATATATGTTTATCAAAGAAGATATGCTTGAAAAATCTCTTATATGTCGAGAACGGCTGAACTGATTTCGACAGTTCCCATTAATTCAGAATGGCCTCTTGGCATGAAAGAAAAAACGTCTAAAAAAATCGCATAAAAATATCTCTCTTAAGATGAAAATATTGATTTTGTAAAATTTTCTCATATTTTTTCAATTTTGTCATATTTTTGGCATATTTTCATTTTGAATTAAACATTTGGTAATATTTCTACAGCTAACAAAACTAAGTAGTTAGGATATCAGGATATCATATACAGATCGCATTTATGGCCCGATCCTTACGAAATTTTGCATGGGGATAAGATGAGCGTCAGAATAGAAGCCTACTCTTTTTGGAGATGATCGCCATATATTTAGGGGTTGAAATGGACCAAAAAACTGCAAAATTGTCAGCAGGTCGTAATTATCGTCCGATCCTCAGGCACATTTGAATGGGGGTTACCGGACATTGCAAAAGCCAAGCAGCTTTGGATGGCCATCCAAAAATATTCAATGTGCGAAATAGTTTGCCAACTTTTGTAGACAAAATACTTGGAGAATTCACAAATACAGGAAAGACGCACTTCTGATTATTTCGTTAACGCTGATTTAGTTGAAGAATATAGTCAAATGTCTGTATCTCATATAGATGCGTTTAAGACAAAAACCAATAATAAATGTTTATCTTTTGCCACTTCTGAGAGATTATAGGTCTTTGGGAAATATTGGTTCCAGATCTAGGAAGACCATTTACGTGCAACATCTACAAATAAATTGGAAATGAGCAAATTAGTTTAAGTTGCTATTATTCGAAAATTAGAGAACTAAACCTGATGGTTTTCTTTTATTATTTGTCACAATATCTTGTGAAATTCTTTCGAGTAGCTCGCCTATATAAACTGTATCGTTTATTATAGTGTTGTAGGGTATTCAACGGTCGGCCCCGCTCGACTGTAGCCTTTGCTTACTTGTTATTATTGTATTTGAAAAATCGGCATTTATTTATATTCAAATCTTGTATGAAAAGTATGTTCCAAACTAATTCGCTCTATTTTAAAGATTTAAGTTATTATCTGGTTGCAATATGTCAGTAACTTTCTCAAAGAAAATAATGTCAAATCAAATTTTTTTCCAAGATAATTAATCTTCTTTTTTTTAAAAAAAAGCGGTGTTTCATACTGACAGTTTCGTGTTGATAGGGTTCAAAATGGCCAAACCTTGTCATTTAAAATCAATATGAAAAAAAATAAATACACCGCAAAAAATAAATTGTAAAAGTCCTGTGTTGTTCAAGATACCATAATAATATGTTGCTGCAAAATGGTCAGGCCTAATCCCTTTATTGTTGTTTTTATAAAAACAACGTTTGTTTATTAGTAAAGAACGATGGTAATGTTTACCAGGGGGTAAGGCAGGGAATACCCATGTTTCGGAAAGAGCCACCAATTCTCATCAGTTCTATTGTTTTTTGTCTGGGATAATATACAAGGCACGGTTTTTTTTTGTAACCGACAAAACCAGCTTACATAGTTATGCAACTCCGTTCATGTAAAACGAAAGCATAACAAGAGAGAAAAATGAAAATGTTTATAAGTCCGGTTGTAAGATTTTGATGATTTTCCAAAAGAATTTTAGTATGTCTTTGGTTCCTCTTCTATTGAGCTTGTGATCTCTTCACTTGGGTAAAAAACAAGTTTTTGTCATAGAAGTTATTATTTTTAAACCCTACAACACTATGTGTTGGGGGTATTATAAGTTTGATTGGGCCAAAAATTATGTAACACCTCGAAAGTATATATGGATCTTCCTATCTCTCAGCCGTGCTGAGACGATCTAGCTATGTATGTCCGTCCGTCTGTCCATGTTAATTTGTAATCATTCCACAGGTCGCAATTATGGCCCGATCTTCACGTAATTTAGAATAAAGGTTGGTGGCTAGGACCAGAATAGAAGCCTATTTCTTTTTGAGATGATCGTTGAAATGGACCAAAAACTGAAAAATTTCGTGATTTTGCAGTTGCTCTACAGGTTGCAATTATAGACCAATCGAAGAAGAAGTTAGCATGGGGCTAGAGCTTATGGCTGGGCAGAATCCTTCCAATTTTGATGGTCATCGGGTAATATTTAGTGGTTGAAATAATCCATAAGATTTGTGTTAAATAAGATCAAATTTTCCATTAAACCACCAATATTTGTAATCCCGGCGAAATCACAAATAGACGAAGAGGTTAATCCTGACCATTACGTAGATACCGATAGTAAGTATATCGAATATATTCAATGTATATATACAAAAGAAGGGGATATTAGCAAGAATGCTTATATCTCAAGAATGGCTGGACCGATTTTGACAAATTTTGTCAATTTATATAAAAAATCGCATGAAAAGAATAGTGATGTTAATATAGATTTTGTAGTATTTTGTGAATTTTTTTTATTTTTTCATATTTTTTATCGCATGCTATTTTTTCAATTTGACTTATATTATTGAAGTGTACATTTTGTAATATTTTTTCACCATACAACACAGGTTTGGGTTATATACAGATTGCAATTATTAACCGATCCTCACAAGGGTAGGGTAAGGCTCAGAAGGGATAGGCCTATTGGTTTTAAAGATGTCTGCAATGTATTTGGTGGTTTAAATGGACCAACAACTAAAAATGTTCCTGATTTTGAAGCCGTTATAAAGGTCACAAATAGAAACCAAAAGACAGGAGATCTCGCATGAAGTTAATGCTACGAGTAATAGCTGGGCGGAGCTCCATAACATAGTTTCAAACGCGAAATCTTTCAAAATCGATCTGGATATAAGGGGGCTTCTAACATATTGTAGTGTTGTAGGGTATCACATGGTCGGCCCCGCACGACTATAGCCTTTGCTTACTTGTTTTTCAATTTGACTTATAATATTGAAGTATACATTTTGTAATATTTTTTCACAATACAACACAAGTTGGGGTTTTTATATTCAGATTGCAATTATCGTCCGATCCAAACTTTTCATAAGGGTAGGATTAGGCTGTTTTTAAAGATGTCCGCAATGTATTAGGGGGTTGAAATTGACCAACAACTACAAATATTCCCGATTTTGCAGCCGTTATAAAGGTCACAAAGGACACGAAATCTCGCATGAAGAGTGTAGGATACTGGGTAGAATGGACCACCATATTTGCGTGCAAAAATAGATTTCCATTCTACCGAAACGCTGAAAATAAGTTACAGGTGAAATCCAAAATACACAAAAAACGAATATTGTAACGGCTTCTGATAAAAGTTGCCTATGCAGGTCCACGTTATCGTATAGACCCTAATATAACGGCTTCATTCGGTACAGCATTTTTAACAGATTTTATTTTATTTATTTATTTATTTATTTTTATTTTTTTTTTTTTTTGAATATTTGCAAAATTCGTTCCAAATGGTGGAGGGTATTAAAAGTTCGGAACTTACAGCTTTTTTAGTAAAGTCAAATTCTGCGAGAATATAAACCATACCAGACATAAATTTCTAAATACACTATAATTCGAGGGTTTGGATTCTGCTCTAAAAACATATTTAAGCAAAGGTGTCTGTAGTTGATATTTTTTATTTTTAGTGGGTAGAACAGTTCCTAAAAACATAATTAATGGTCTCTAATATTGATATATCCTCTATGTAAGACCCTTCCAAATTGTTAATATTTTGAAAAATTAGTCTGTTAGCCATGGTATAATTATAATGTGGAAGCAGCAAACCCCAGCTGATATTACTATGCTATAATACTTGTGTAAACTTCGATTCTGTAGTATAGCCCCCATATAACAGTACCTCTCGATTTTCGTTATTTGGACGATTTAAGGCAAGTTGAATTAATTCGACAAAAAATTTACTGACTAAATAACTAACATTGCTGTTAAAAATGTGTGCCAGTAGCCAATATCCAATGAACAAAAGGATGATAACAAGTAAAAAAGAAGTAAGTTCGGCCGAGCCAAACTTCGAATACCCTCCACCATTCGGTGCAAATTTGGAAATTTTCAGAAAGATAACATCCGCTAAAAATTCTATCAAAATCTTAAAAATACCGAATATAGTCTTTATGTTGGAGTCTATACGAAGAAGTGGACCTGCATAGGCAACTTTTGTCATAAACCATTACAGTATTCAAATACAAAAATTGAAAAATAAAATAAAAAAAGACTGTAGTATCCAAATAGACTGTATATCCATTACTCAAATACGAAATTTGAAACAATTCCGGTGAATAATACTGAATATTATGAGGAACCTTTATGTGGAGGCGTGGGCCTGAATACGCAAGTCTTTTTCATAGGCTGTAGTACCCATTACTTAAAGTACTCAGAAAGAACTTCTTGTGTAGAATTTCAGACAATTCCATGAAAATGGTGGCTAAAATATAAAAATACCGAATATCGAATGTACCGTTGTACGGGGGCTATACGATTTCGTGGAACGATATAGCCCATCTTCGACCATGACCTGCCTGTAAACAAAAGACTGATCTGTGCAAAATTTTAGTTTCCTATCTTAATTCGTTTTGAGTGTAGCGTGATTACAACAGACGGAAGGACGGACAGGGCTATATCGTTTTGGAATTGTACGCTGATCAAGAATGTATATACTTTGTTGGGTCTAAAATTATTATTTCGATGAGTTACAAATGAAATTCTGAACTTAATATATGTATGGTGGAGGGTATAAAAAATGTATTGTTGCTACAATATGTTCATGCTACCAAATAATGCAGTTAAAGAACTTTTTAAAACTTGTCCCCTTTATGCAGATACTTTGCCCTGAAGTTAAACTCTTTCCAAACGTCAATAATATTTACCTAACAAATTGATGTTTTATACACACTTGCCATCAAATCCTATTAATTAACATAATTAAGTCGCTATTGATTCAGCGCATACATATATACGAGCATGTATTGAGTTATAATGAGATTTTGAAATCATAAATTATCTTTAAATGGCAAGCAGATAACGCAGATTGCGTGTGCCTGTATTTCGCATATGATTAATTTTTACTTTTATTGGTATCAAATTAACATTTCAGATTATGTGGATCATCGAAAAAAAAAACACACAAAATTTGACGTAGTTATTAAGATTAAGATTTTTGATCATCTGCTAGCGAATACATTGTTAATACGTTAGATGGTCAATAATAAGACACGGGTGGCAATAATAAATGACAGCTATAGTATTGTTTATTATTCACTTCTGAATAAGAAGATCGGAGCTTTTACACACAGTATAGGTATAGTACTATAATGTATCTTTTCATAGCTATTTAACTTGTTTCTTACTTCAATGAAATCATAATACATTCTGCAGTAAATTTGATTCCTTAAACCAATTAAAATTTCCAACCTAATTTGAAAAACTCCCCTTTTGATGATAAATTATCATCATTGTTTTGTATGCATATTTGGCAAGGGAAAGTAAATGTTTAGCCAATTATAAAAATGTTTCAAACTTTGAAATTTTTTGAAATTTGTATGCATATATATCTGATATTGACACATTTATTAATGAAAGTTCATTGTTCCATAATTTGACACAGTTCAGTATAACTTAATGAATGTAAAGCATTGTCACATTGTCAAGTAATAAATTATATTTACAACAATTATTTCATATTTCACTTTCAGATTCCCCAGTAACTGGAAGCCACAAAAATTATAAATAAATGAAAAAATTACTTAGAGACTGCAGAAAGCTATTTTTAGATGAAGTTCCATGATGGGATTTATATCTTTGATCTTTTTATACGCCCATCCTTATTGCTAGAGAGTGTATATCTAATTTGATACCATAAAGGGACCTAGAGACCCCAAATCTCTTTTGATGAAATTCGATTCAGCACATCAAGTCAAGAAAATGTTTTTTTTTTGTCCTTTTTTAAAATATGGTTAAAATCTTATTTCAGACGGCATCGTAGCAAGTCAAGATTTTTCACAAATTTGTCATACAATTCTACCATAGACCTACTAAACACCAGGAATTTATATATATTAAAAACACAGTTTGGGCAAAAATCTCCAACAAATCTTCATTTCAGAAGGATTGCGTTAAAGACAAAAATAATTTTCATCGAATTTCACTATCGCACTGCGTATAAAAAATATTTGCATCAATGTTAACAAAAAGAAACCCCGAAAAAATTTCTTAATTTTTTAATCAATTTCATTTTAGGTGGAAAAAGAAACATTTTACACAAAATTTCACTATAAAACTCAGAATGAACCATCATACATCTACGTAAAACCGTTCAAATTCAATTTTTTTGGGAAAAGTTTCAAAGTAAAAAACTCGGCTAAGTTCGGCCGGGCCGAACTTTTAATACCCTCCATGATTTTGAAATATCTTGAATAATTTCAAAAAGATCCGTCAAAAATATCACTTAAATGAAACCCGTTATATGGGGGGATATACGAAAACGTAGACCTTCACAGACAATGTTTTGTAGTACTCAAACTTTAAATACGAAATTTGAAACAATTCCGGTCAAAAATGTCGCTTAAATCATCAAATGCCGAATATCGGTACATGGGGGCTTTACGGCATCGTGGAGCTATAAAAAAATTCTCTTCCAGTCGGTAAAGTACTCTTCCTTCTGAGTCGGTAAAGTACTCTTCTCCTTGTGTGGATTTTCAGACAATTCTATTGAAATATCGAATATCGTTATATGGGGGATATGCGATATCGTGGACCTATATAGACAATTCTCTTGCAAAAGCGAAGTACTTAGAAGGAAATCTTTGTGTGGTTTTTGAGACAATTTCATTGAAAAATGTGGCTACAATCATCAAAATACCGAATATCGAGATGTATCGTTATATAGGGATATACGATATCGAGGACCTATATAAAAAATATATCTTTCGGGGGGGGGTCAGGTACACAGGAGGAACTCCATGTGTAGATTTTGAGACAATTACAAGTGATTACAACAGATGGACGGGCGGACAGGGCTAAATCTTCTTAGAATTTTACGCTAATCCGGAATACATATACTTTGTTAGGTCTTATATTATTATCTCGGTGAGTTACATACGGAATGACAAACTTAATATACCCTCCGTACTATGTATGGTGGAGGGTATAAAAACAAAATTTTTTTCCTAATGGTACCCCTATATTTTGACACATATTTCGCAATATTTAGGATAGAGCTTGGAAATTTGCTAGAGATCTTTCGATTATACTCAGAATCATTTGTACGAAAAATGATATAACCTACAATAAAAGATACACCTGTGTGTGGCTTAGACACCATAGAGTCGCACACAATTTTATACCCTCCACCATAGATAGTATGGGGGTATATTAAGTTCGTCATTCCGTTTGTAACTCATCAAAATAATAATTTTAGACTCAAACAAAGTATATACAGGGTGAGATAAAAAAAGCAACGAAATCAATCGCCATCATTTTTACATTCTTTTTTAATTTTTTTGAATGAAAGCAAAAATGTCGGAAATAGCATCAAATTTTAGAATAAGTTTAGATTTGTTCGAATTTGCACGAATTATGGCGGTATATATCCCGGCGAAACGCTTACTTGAGGTGATCGACATTTTTGTATTTTTTAGTAGCAATCTTGCTTTCCAAAATACTCCAGACACAATAGTCCAACGGATTGGTATCCGGAGATTTTGGTGGCCATTGTGCGCTAGAAATGAAGAGAGGAACTTCATTTTGTAACCATTCTTGGGTGGCGCACGGTGAGTGCGATGGTACTGAGTCCTGTAGGAATGTCCAAGGTCTGCTGTCAAAATGTTTGCGTGCCCAAGGTTTTAATACACCCTCCACGCTCCAGAATATGTTCGTGATAATATTCGGCATTTAGTTTGATGCCACGGTCGATAAATACGAGCGGAGAGAGACCATCGCCTGTTATGGCGGCCCACACCATCATGATGGCCGGCGCTCGAGTTCTGGTGGCCAACCGAAGATGCACATTTTCACCTAACCTCTGTGGCAAGTAAACACGCCCATTTTGTTTGTTCACAAACTGCTGAACAACGAAAAAAACAAACTGCTGTTGCGGTGTAAGTTCTTGAACTTTTTGGAATGCCAATGGCTTTACCACGAGCTCATTTTTCAATATTTGCCGAATGGAATATTGCGATATGTTCAGCTCACGAGCCATTTTTCGGCCACTGCGACGATCAAGTCGCTTCTTTACTTTTCGAACCATTTCTGCTGATGTTGCTCTTTTCTTCCGTCCACTTCCTTGACGTCGGGCTACACTACCAGTATCAAGGTAACGAGCAATGGTACGAGACACAAACGATTATTTACATTTAAGTGCTGGAGTGCTCTAACGATAGTCACATGTGGTTTTCCAGCCAAATATAAAGAAATCACGCCTGAATTCTATCACAAATAATTTTTTTTTGTGGAAAATTCTCACCAAAATGCTTTTGAAAAATTGTAAACAATATAATGAGCTGTCACTGGAGCTGTCGGACGAGTGGCTTAAAATGTCTGAAGTTGGTTGCAGTTTTTTCATCTCACTCTGTACATTTAAATAAAATATGTAATTTCTTTGGGATAATATAATGAATAAACATTCAAAACATGTCCATAAATTTGTATAATAAAACAGTTTAAAATGACGTAACACTTAAGCGTTCCGCTAACGTTATGTAGATCACAAAACCTGCTTATCCAACGTTCTAAATATATCAACTAGGGAAGCTGGTATACACGTTATGATATAACCTAGAACAAAAGATACATCTGTGTATGGCTTGGACACCACAGAGTCACACACAATTTTTATTTTTATAGCTTATGGTCTAAAGTTCACTACCATCATTTCCATTTCTCTCAGTGTACCAACCACTGCATAATATCTGCATGTTGACACATGAATGAACATTAGTGCGAAGTTGCAGAGTAACGAAAATGTTGTAATAAAACAACATCTTTTAGGGAAACAAAGCACAGCCACTAAACTTAGTCGATTATCAAACGCTCAGTCAGTTGGATGGCAACGATCAACACCACATCGCGATAATGTTAAAAAATGATATTTATCGCTCCGAAGAAGATTCACATGAAATTTATGCCGATTACCTTTTGAAAAAATCATTAAAAAAAGTTACCCATCTCGTTTTATTTTTATTTTCGTTTCTACTACCGTCACACGCTGCCTCTATGTTCGAGTGTGGTGTTGGACATCAGCAGCATTTCTAATTAATCCAAAAACAAATGAAATCCGGTCGGGTGTAGTCAGTCAAGCATAGCGGCAAAAAAAACGGCAAAACGAAAAAAAGAAACTTTGCGCAGTCGCGTCTTGCTGTGACAACAGACGAACTAACTATTAGATTAGTGGGTCCATCATTAGCATTGTCAGTGTCATCAAAGTGCCAAGATTTGATAGTCTAGCCGTAGACAAGAAAAGATAAAAAGTAACAGTGAATTCGAGAATGATTTTGAATACCGCCGGAAGATTTGTGTGTCTTTTTGTAGTTTTTGCATTTGCATGGCGTTACAGCGCATCGGTTCGATTGAATGACGATGAGGATTATTATTCCTCCGTGGCGGGATTGGAAAAACTTCTAAACACTGAACAAATTTTATTAACCGATCTAAAGAATTACATTACAACAACAAAACAAAGCATTGAAGTCTTAGAAAAGTAAGTGTGATTGCTAAAAGTGATGCGCGAAAATGAATAGTTTTGGTTTTTTATGCGAATAAATAAATTGATAATTTTTGCCAGAGCTGAGTGTTAAATTAAAAAAAAAAAAACAAAAATTTTATATATGAAAAACTAAAATAACAAAATTGTTAATTAAGATAATTATTCAATGAAGTAAATAAATAATACATAAAAATTGATTTGTTGGCGGTTTATTAAAAACTAAGCGAAATTTTACTAGTACGCTAGAGCACATTGCTGTTCAGCGGACTCAAGAATGGACTGCATGAGTGTTTTTAAATAAATGTGTTATTAATTGCATGCTTATCTTTAGCATGCAAATCAGAGACTGATTAATGGGTCTGCAAAATACCCTAATTTTTGTGTATACGGAATATAAAAATTTGCCACGTCTCTACCACATACATATATATAACTTACAATAAATAAGTGTTTTCATATATGGATCTTCCTATATCGCCGAACTGAGTCGATCTAGCTATGAATGTCCGTCCGTCTGTGCGTCTGTCCATGTTAATTTGTAATCACTCTACAGGTCTCAATTATGACCCGATCTTCATGAAATTTAGAATGGAGGCGGGGCTAGGGCCAGAATATTATTGCTTTGCTATTGCTTTTGGAGATGATCGCATAATATTTAGGGGTTGAAATGGACCAAAAACTGAAAAATTTCCTGATTTTGCACTTGCTCTACAGCTCGCAATTATAGACCAATCGACGGAAGTTAGCATGGGGCTAGAGCTTAGGGCTGCGCAGGTGAAAAAATAATACAAAAGGAACACTTCAATATTATAAGTCAAATCTAAAAAAATCGCATAAAAGGATACCAATAATGATGTTAATATAGATTTTGTAGCATTTTGTGATTTTTTTTTTTTTTCAAATTTTTTATCGCATGCCATTTTTTCGATTTGACTTATAATATTGAAGTGTACATTTTGTAATATTTTATCACCTTACAACACAGGCTGGGGTTATTATATACAGATTGCAATTATCGTCCGATTATCACGAAAATTTTCACAAATAAAAATGTTCTTGTTTTTGCAGCCGTTATAAAGGTCACAAATAGAAACTAAAGGACACTAAATCTCGAATGAAGTTAGAGCTTAGGAGAGCGGGTGGGATGAACTACTACTTTTGTGTGAAAAAATACCAACATTTCCATTCTACTGAAACCCTGAAAATAATTTTACAGGCGAAATCCAAAATACACACTAGGCGAACTTCTGGCTTTTTATGCTGATTTCGTTGAGGAATATAGCCAAATATCGTAGACAAGCAAATCATATAGATGAGTCTAAATATAGAGATACAGAGGGACCTCTTGCTTTTGGAGATGATCGCAAAATATTTAGGGTTGCAAATGAACCAAGAACAGAAAGATATTCATGATCACACAATTGAAACCAATCGACGCGGAATTTTGCATGAGAAGAGAGTTAAGGACAGCGAATAAGACTAGTATTTTGGATGACCATTGGATTATATTTAGCTGTAAAATGGGCCACAACATCTAACAGCACAACAGAGTGCGTAAATATTGGGCAAATGTCCCTGGTCAAATTGCTAAGGGTAATATCTAGGCAGTGATCCGTGACATAATTTCAAAAGCGAAATTTTCCAAAATGGATTTGGACATAAAGGGGCTTCTAACATATTGAAGTATTGTAGGGTATCACATGGTCGGCCCCGCACGATTACAAATTAACATGGACAGACGGACGGACATACATAGCTAGATCGACTCAGCTCGGCGAGATAGGAAGATCCATATATACTTTCCTATGTGGGCCTATGTTGGCCCAATCAAACTTATAATACCCCCAAAACATAGTGTTGTAGGGTATAATTAAAAAACTTATTGGACAACTTAAATACGCAAATTAACAAAACCATGAGAAAAGCAGTAACATGACATGCATACACGAATGGTTTGTCATTCGTTTTATTAATTTCATAGAAAATGCCAAGCGTGCTGGAAACTGCAATCTTTTGAAGTTGATTGGCACTTCTATTGCAATTAGTGAATTCGAGGTAGCAACATACTTCCCCGTAATAATCGTATCGTCAATTAAATTGTTGTGTAGTTTTTTACTCTTAGCCTAATACCAGACGTTGCTTGTCAATGATTCTTAATAAAATCATATCCCAATCTGATCCGATTTCTATATAATTTGACAAAATTTACTTTTACACCAAATTCCGTCCCACATTTCATTGAAATTGGTGCGTTAAATATGTGAAATCGGCCGAGAATATTTATATGGGAGCTATATCCATACCTTAACTGATTTTCACTTAATTTGTCAAATTTATTGTTGTAACCAAATTCCGCCACACATTCTGAACTTGATTGAAATCGGTCATATATATTGTGTTTGGTACATTGCATATATGAAATCGGCGGAAAATATATATGGGAGCTATACCCAATCCCCAATATAATTTGGATTTTTTTTTTTTTTTTTTTTTTTTTGGAGCCAGATTTCGTCTCTGTTTCCGAGTTTTATTAGAATCGGACATACGTATCGTGTTTTGTGCATCAAATAAACGAAATCGGTCGTAAATACATATGGGAGCTATATTCAAATCTCAACCGATTTTAATTTAATTTGACTAATTTATTTTCTAATCAAAATCCCGTAACACATTTAAAATTTCATTGGCATCGAACGTACATATCGTGTTGGGTGCATCAAATACATGAAATCGGTTGAACAGAAGCTATTTCCAAAGCTGGACCGATTTCAAAATAATTTGACAAATTTATTTTTTGATCAAAATCCCGGTACACATTCCAAATTTTATTGGAATCCAATATACATATCGTGTTTGGTGCATCAAATAAATGATATCGGTCGAAAATACATATGGAAGCTATATCCATATCTAAACCGATTTCAATATAATTTGGCAAATTTATTTAAGTTCTGAATTCTGTAATCGATCAATAGATATGCGCATATAAAATCTAAATTTGTGGGAGATAACTCCGATTCTGATGCTATATCTCCAGTTTCAAGTGGAATTTCAAATATTTATATAGCCTATGTTACTTTCAGACAACCTTTGAGTATACTTGGAAATTTTCAGGAAAATCTGTTCAGCTATTTTCGAATCCATAATTTACAAACATACAAACATTTTCCTCTTTTATAGAAATAGAAGTGCTTTTAACACACACACATATTCAGTTTAAGCACACGTACACAAATGACACATAATTATGTCGATGACATGGTTCGCTGTCATCGTCGACATACTGGAGAACATCATACAAATGGTCGAGTCGATCTCACAACGATCGAACCTTTGACAGTAACACACATAAATCCAAATGGGGGTTATTGTTGGGTGCCAATGTCGATCAAATACTTAGCACATGATTGAGTACATAAGGTCAGTGGTCACAGTTCATACAATTTGTCTTCATGTTCGTTTATTTAAATATATTTTGGCTTGCGTTCCATTTGGAATCTGATCTAAATTTTATAAAAATATTACAATTTGCCAGATTCCGACTATACCATTTACTTTCTTCTTTTTATATAAAATAAAATTTTTGGGAAATGTTGAAATGTGCGTAGTGCACCAGATACAGTCGACTGAAGTGTTTAACTTCATCTAATATCGGTAAATATATTGGGATGTGCAAAATTTAAAGAAAATCGAACATTTATTTCCAATTTTATGCGAATATTTGTTAAAGAAAAAATTGTAAATCATTGCTGTGGAGGTTCCAGAAGGAGTAGGGCGATAATTTCTATATGCCAAGTTTTCAAAGAATCGCTGACTAAGTTCAAGTTATGAGGGATGTAAATAGTGAAAATTGTGACGCTTTATGGGGGAGGCACAAGAAGGGGTGGGTACATATTCATCATCTTCACGCCAGATCTTGTGTTAGTAAGAATATTGGGATGTGTGAAATTTGAAAATAAAAGGATGCTTATATGGCATTTTATAAGCGTTTTGGTTATTAAAAAAATGGGCTTTGTGGGGAGCCACCAGAAGGTGTGGGCCCATATCCACCATCTTCACGCCAGATCTTGGGTTAGTAATAATATTGGGATGTGTGAAATTTTATGAAAATAGAATACTTATACCGACTTTTATAAGCGTTTTGGTTATTAAAAATTTTGGCCTTTGTGGGGGAGGTACCTTTGGCGGATATCACAACATAGGGCCGATATCACAACATAGGATCTTGTTTTAGTAGAAATATGGTAATGTGGGAAGTTTTAAAATAATCAAATGCTTCCTTCGCATGTTTATTATGCTTAATTCGCATTTTATGAGAATTTATTGGTTATCAAAATGTTGACCCCTTTGTGGTGGAGGTATCAGAAGAAGTGGTCCGATATATTCCACACCAGATCTTAAGTTGATAGAAATATTGAAATGTGTCGAGAGAAAGTAATCGGATTCCAATTTTCACGTTTTATGAGTTTCGTGGTTATTCAAAATTTTGACTTCCTTGAGGTATAGAAGGAGTGGTCCGATATATTCCGTCTTAATTACCGATCTTGTTTTGATAGAAATATTCCGATGTGCCGTTATTCAAATGTTGACACTTTTTGTGGGTTTAGTTCACTCCAGATCTTATGTTGGCAGAAATTCTGAGATGTGTGAAATTAAACTTTGTGAGGGAGTGGGTGGATATTGTCCATTTTCGCACATGACCTGGCACTGATACGAATATTGGGATATGCAAAGTTTGGACAAAATTGAATGATTCTTTCTTGTTCTATTATGAAAATTAATATACCCAACAACACTATGTGTTGCGGGTATAATAAGTTTGATTGAGCCAACAATTATTTAACACCTTGAGCGATCTAACTACGTGTCCCTCCGTCCCTCTGTCCATATTAAATAATCACGCTACAGGTCGAAATTATGGACCGATCTTCACGAAATTGAGAATAAGGGTAGGGGTAAGGTCAAAGTAGAATCATATTGCTTTTGGAGATGAACCCAAAATATTTAGGGGTTGAAATGAACAAAAAACAGAAAAAATACTGATTTTGCAACTGTTCTATAGGTCGCAATTATAGGCCAATCGACTCGGAATTTAGCATGGAGCTAGAGTTTAGTGCTGGAAAGAAACCTAACATTTTGTTTGGTCATCGGACAATATTTAGCGGGTAAAACAGACCACAATTTTGTGTAAAAAATATGAAAGTATTTTTAATCCTGGCGAAAAGGTCACTTCTGACCGTTACATCCAAGATATCACAAATATGCAAATTATGTATGCCATATATCAATGAAGAGGATGTTAGTTAGACCGCTTAAAACTCAAGAACGACTGGACGGATTTTGACAATTCTCACAATTTCGAAATGGTCTCTTGCCAGAAAAGGATAAAATCTAAGAAAATAGTTTGAAATTTAGCTAATAAAAAAGTGAAGATTTTTTTGTTTTATTTGACATATTTTTTATCGCATGTGATTTTTTCATATATGACTTAAAATATTGAATTTTCCGTTTCGTAATATTTTTCACCAAAATGGTATTTGTGTTTGAGATTTGGCTTTAGTTTGTTTATGCGTTCTATATTTGTACGAAAAGTACTTAATTGTACTAAATTTGGTATTGTGTGAAGGGATATAGGTGGAATCCACAAATTTGATATTGAGGGTCTGTTGGTACTGGAATTGGGATATGGAGGTGGTTTTGAAAATATGTACTATAATTGTACGACAAGTACTGAATGGTACTCTATTTAGTACCAAATCTGGATCACTGTTGGTATCTAGGATGGAGATATGTAGATTGTTTTGGATATGCAAACTAAATGTTACTAAATTTGGTATTGGCTGAAGGGATCGAGTTGGAATACCGAAATTTGATATTGGGTACTTGGCTGGAATCTGGGATTGAGATATGGAGATGGTTTTAAAAATAATAATAATCGTACGAAAATACTAGAGAGTATTAAATTTGGTATTGAGTAAAGAATTGGGATCGAAATCTCGAAATTTTATATTGAGGTCCCTGATGGTCTCGAAAGTACCAGATAGTACTAAATTAGATATTGTGTTAAGGAAAAGGGCTAAAATCCTGAAATTTGTCATGGTGTCTGTGGTTGAGAAAAGGAGCTGGTTTTATACGAACAATAATTATACCCTACAACACTATGTGTGGGGGGTATTATAAGTTTGATTGGGCCAAAAATTATGTAACACCTCGAAATATTGATTTCCCATATAGGAAAGTATATATGGATCTTCCTAGCTCGCCGAGCTGAGTCGATCTAGCTATGTATGTCCGTCCGTCCGTCTGTCCGTCTGTCCATGTTAATTTGTATTCACTCTACAGGTCGCAATTATGGCCCGATCTTCACGAAATTTAGAATGTAGGTGGGGCTTGGACCAGAATAGAACCCTATTGCTTTTGGAGATGATCACCAAATGTTTAGGGGTTGAAATGGACCAATTACTAAAAAAATGTCGGATTTTGCTGTAGCTATACAGGTCGCAATTATGGACCAATCGAGGCGAAATTTCGCATGTAGCTAGAGTTTAGGGCGGGGAAGAAGCCTACTAATTTGGGTGGTTATCGGATAATATTTAGCGGGTAAAATAGGCCATATCTTTTGTGTTGAAAAAAATCTAAATTTTTCATTAAACCGTGAATATTTTAAATCCCGGCGAATTCACAAAGCCATCACAAGGTTACTTCTGACTTTACATTGATGTTATTATCCAACAAATCGGATATATAGCAAAATATGTGCGATATATATGTCTATCAAAGAAGATATGCTTGAAACATCTCTTATATGTCGAGAACGGCTGAACTGATTTCGACAGTTCTCATTAATTCAGAATGGCCTCTTGGCAGGAAAGAAAAAACGTCTAAAAAATCGCATAAAAGTATCTCTCTAAGATGAAAATATTGATTTTCTAACAATTTCCCATATTTTTTTCAATTTTGTCATATTTTTGGCATATTTTCATTTTGAATTAAACATTTGGTAATATTTCTACAGCTAACAAAACTAAGTAGTTAGGATATCAGGATATCATATACAGATCTCATTTATGGCCCGATCCTTACGAAATTCTGCATGGGGATAAGATGAGGGTCAGAATAGAAGCCTACTCTTTTTGGAGATGATCGTTATATATTCAGGGGTTGAAATGGACCAAAAAACTGCAAAATTGTCGGCAGGTCGTAATTATCGCCCAATCCTCACGCACATTTGAATGGGGGTTACCTCACATTGCAAAAGCCAAGCAATTTCGGATGGCCATCGAAAAATATTCAATGTGTGAAGGAGTTTGCCAACTTTTATAGACAAAATACGAAAATGTCCATTCCATAGATTTTTGGAGAATTCACAAATACAGGAAAGACGCACTTCTGACTATTTCGTTAACGCTGATTTGTTGAAGAATATAGTCAAATGTCTGTATCTCATATAGATGCGTTTCAGTCAAAACCAATAATAAATGTTAATTTTTTGCCACTTCTGAGAGATTATAGGTCTTTGGGAAATATTGGTTCCAGATCTAGGAAGACCATTTACGTGCAACATCTACCATTAAATTGGAAATGAGCAAATTAGTTTAAGTTGCTATTATTCGAAAATTAGAACGAAACCTGATGGTTTTCTTTTATTATTTGTCACAATATTTTGTGAAATTCTGTCGAGTATTTCGCCTATATAAACTGTATGGTTTATTATAGTGTTGTAGGGTATTCAACGGTCGGCCCCGCTCGACTGTAGCCTTTGCTTACTTGTTGTATTTAATTTGATAATGAGGGGAGATTAGAGAACTTCAATCCCAATTTCGTACTAATTTCGAAGGGATAGAGCTGAAATCCTCAAATTTGATATGAATGTCACTAATGGTGTATGTAGTTGTGAGAAGAGAGCTGTTTTGGAAATGCGCACTATGAACGTACGAAAAGTGTTACAAAATGTGCCGTCGGAAGATGGAATTCTGGAATTTGGTATCGTGATCACTGTTGCTGTCTAGGGAGGAGAAAAGGGCGTGTCTTTGGACATGAGTAGTATAACTGTACAAAAAGTATAGTAATAAAAAGTATGGTAATAAATATATTAATAAATTTGGGATAGAGATTTCCGAATTGGCATATATTTTTGGGAGAATGAGATTGATTTGGAAATGCGCACTATAATTGTTCGAAAACTACTAAATATTAGGATGTTCAACGTAGGTGAAATGGTACTACAAGATCTTATAAACGTATTTACTATTTTTTACGGACAGTGTTGGCATGTTTGGTCGGGATGCCGCAGTATAGTTAGTTATAGTAATACCATTATTGTTTTAAAATAACTCCTACGACAAAAAGCTTTTACCCAAATGGATCTCACTCACGTAAGCTTAGTAGAAGAGGGAAGAAAGAATCAAATTAAACTAAAATTATATTAGAAAATCTTCTAAATCTTACCTGGTAAACATTACCATCTTTCTCCACTAATAAATAAACTTTGTTTTTATAAAAACAACAATAAAAGGATTAAGCCTAACTTTTTTATGGACTATGAAATGGTAATAATTGGCTACTTCGAGTTTTTCGTTGAATGACGCTTTCATGTCATTGGTACAGATGTCGATATTTCAAAATAAAAGAAACTTTCCAAATTTTGGTAAGAACTTTATAAAACATTACCGGATAAAACTAGAGCGTTTCAGATTTTTTATGGTGGTTGTGATCTGCCGGTCTTGTCGTTAAAAATGAAAATTTTGCTTAAAAATTTTATATTCATGCAATATGTTAATGAAGGCAATAAATGACAAAAATATACATTATCTTATTTCCCTAAAATTTATGAACATTCTTTAATATTCTAGAAAAACCTAAAATTATTTAATAGTTCATGTTTTTTATGACTTGAAATGGAGATAATTTTTATAAACGTCACAATTTAAGCGTTATTCTATAATCTGAAGAAAAAATATTCAAGACTGTGAAATGGGGAGTTTTGGAATAAATATTTGTTAATGTTAAAGTTTATTGCCTTCTATAATATTGATTTTCTAGTTCCGGTAGTATCAAAATGCATATATTTAAAAGGTATAAAAATTATTTGTCATTGAACCCACTAACGTTTTCATTCCCTTCATTTCTTTTCAGGGAAATATTAAAAATTGAAGCAGAACACAAACTAGCCTCCATTGATGTTGAAAACTATTTAACAAATCCTGTGAATGCATACCGGCTAATCAAAAGGTTATTCAATGATTGGCATAAATATGAAATCCACTTTGAAAAGGCCAAAGGTATGCGTGACCACATACAAAGCAGGACCAATGTATCAATTTCATGTTTTTATTTACAGACCTACTAAATGAATGGAAATTAAAAAAGAATCAATTACATTTCCCCAATCAAATTGATTTTGAAGAATCGGCCTTAGCTTTGGCCCGTCTACAGCAAACCTACAACTTGAACGTTGGCCAGGTGGCTTCGGGAATTCTTAATGGTATTAAATATGGGTATGATATGAAATTATTCGAAAAAAAATTATTGCTTTCTAATATAATGTTTTCGTAGAAATGACATGTCATGGTCGGATTGCCTGCTCTTGGGCCAACAGCTAATCAATATCAAAGCCTTCAATCAAACCAAAGAATGGATCGATGAGTCACTGAAACGCTATAGCATGGAGGAAAAATCGTCGGCTGCAACTGAATTGGATTTTATGGAAAAACTGGGTGAAAATCTCATGAAAACCGGTGACACTAATGCGGCATTAGAAATTTTTCGCGCCGTGGTAATAAATGATCCCCATCGATTGAGTACCGTTTCTGCGATCTATAACAATACACATTCGCTGTCAGAGGCTTTGGTGGAGGAAGAGGAATATCATGTGAGTTTTTTACAGCACTACATGTAATTATAACCTACCAGCAAGTCCTCACTACACTCCAGTTCGTGTTAGGCCTTTCCTGTGCTCAATTTGGTTCCTCTTCTATTTAGCTTACGATCTTGTCACTTGGGTAAAATAAGTTTTTTGTCAAAAAAGTTATTTTTAAAATAACTTTTCCAGACATAAAACAAGGGAACTGATGAAGATTGGTGGCTCTTCCCGAAACCTAGGTATTTCCTGCCTTACCCCCTGGTAAACATTACCATCGTTCTCCACTAATAAACAAACGTTGTTTTTATAAAAACAGCAATAAAGGGATTAAGTCTGACCATTTTTTAATCTAAACTTCATAAATCGTACTAAATTTTCAGACTTTCTAGGCTTTATATATTATTCAAGATGGTTCTCTTTCGGAAAGAGTAATAGAAAAATGTCTACATTTTACAACAAAAAACCCTTCTGTACACATTCTCAAAACCACTTTTATATCTTAATATCAGACACCAATATTGACCTCAATATCAAGTTTTTGAATTTTAGCTGTATGACTTTACCCAAAATCAAATTTAGAACTATTTAGTATTTTTTCGTACAAATATGTTACGTATTTTTTCAAGCCATCCTCCACATGCCAACCGGGACATCTATACCAAATTTAAGAATTTTAGCGTTAACATTTAACCCAACACAAATTTAGTACCACTCAGTACTTTTCGTACAATTATTGTACACATTTCCAAAACCACCTCCAAATTTCAATCTCAGATATTAATAGAGAATTCAATATAAAATTTCAGGTCCGTTACGATAAATTCCGAATTTAACTAGAGCCACGAATTTAACAGAGAAAATAACATAGCTACGTTAGCGTTAACAGAGCTACATAAAAGTTGTTTTTCCTTAATATTTTTGATTTTTAATTACTTATCGTATAAAAACGATAACAAAATGCATTATATAATCATAATTAAATTATATTCCAAAGATTGTTAGACTACATACACCCATTAACTCGTAGCACAATACTATGTTCCAGGACAATTTTACACCAAAATGTGCCTTCCAGGACAATTCTGCCGGTACAATATGGGTACCTGCGGAAAGCTTATGAAGTCTGCTATCCATTGCCTATAAGAAAATTATAGGAAGTTCTGGCCAATTCCGAGGTATATGGTCATTTATGGAGGTATCCTTGGAACAGGATAACTCCATTGGCCAATATGCCTTCCAGGACAATTCTGCCGGCACAATATGGGTACCTGCGGAAAGCTTATGAAGTCTACTATCCATTGGCATTAAGAAAATTATAGGAAGTTCCGGCCAATTCGGAGGTATATGGTAATTTCTGGAGGTTTCCTTGGAACAGGATAACTCCATTGGCCAATATGCCTTCCAGGACAATTCTGCCGGCACAATATGGGTACCTGCGGAAAGCTTATGAAGTCTACTATCCATTGGCATTAAGAAAATTATAGGAAGTTCCGGCCAATTCGGAGGTATATGGTCATTTCTGGAGGTATCCTTGGAACAGGATAACTCCATTGGCCAATATGCCTTCCAGGACAATTCTGCCGGCACAATATGGGTACCTGCGGAAAGCTTATGAAGTCTACTATCCATTGGCATTAAGAAAATTATAGGAAGTTCCGGCCAATTCGGAGGTATATGGTAATTTCTGGAGGTATCCTTGGAACAGGATAACTCCATTGGCCAATATGCCTTCCAGGACAATTCTGCTGGCACAATATGGGTACCTGCGGAAAGCCAAATATAAAGAAATCACACTATCGCGCTTGAATTTCATCACGAATAACTTTTTCTGGAAAATTCTCAGCAAAATGCTTTTGTACGCTTGTAAAAATATAATGGGCTATCACTGGAGTAATAATTAACAGCTATAGGACGAGTGGCTTAGAAATGACAGTAGTCTGAAGTTGGTTGCAGTTTTTTATTTCACCCTGTATACATTTGTATACTCACATGAAAACATAGTCATATAGTCCATATAGTCCCAATATCAGAATAATGAGAAAGCCCCCGAGTCATTGACGGATCATGTGAATTCCAGGAAAAAAGTGACTAAGTGACCGGAATTGGCCGGAACTTCCTATAATTTTCTTAATGCCAATGGATAGTATGAACAGAAACCCTAATACCAAATTTCAGATTCCAAGCACTATCTGTTCACCCAATACCAAATATAATACTATTTAGTACTTTTCGTACACTTGTAGTACACATTTCTCAAAACACCTTTTTGTTACAAGACAGCCACTAACAGGGACCCTAATATAAAATTTTAAAATTCCTGCTTCATCCATTTGCTCTAAACCAAACTGTTCCAAATCTAGTACAATTTAGAAAACATTGCCAAAACCACCTTCACATATCAAATTTATGCTACGTTTACATTGTGCAGAATTTAGAAAATGTAGTCGGTTAAAATTGTAGATTTTAATGTATATACCTCGAATAAATCTTTATAGAGAAGGTTAACCCGGAAAAAAGTTCTAACGTAAACATGCCTTTACCTTCCAACTAAACTTCGAATTTCAAGTTTTTAGATCTATCTCTTTACATAATACGAAATGGTAACATTTTAAAAAGTTTAGTACAATTTATAGTAACCATAAAATTCGAATGTCCAAAAACTATCCTACACTTCATCAGTCAGTGACTCTCATTCCAAATTTCAATTCTAGCTCAGCCTCACAATTTATTTATACCAATTTTATCATTTTATAACTTATGAAGAAACATTTAGATCTGTCCCGATAATTAATTCACCGCTAGAAAAACACAAAACCAGCCAAACCACCTACAAACGTATATAGGATTTATGAAAGGCATTCCACTTTCGAATTATCAAATTTAATTTTAGTATCCCTTTAATGCCCTCAAATCTTACTCGTTGTTTTATTCTTTTAGAAAACCCAGGAATTCAAACTTTACGAAAAAGTGTGTCGTGAGGAACTCAAACGATCGCCAGCCGAAGAACGTCATCTGCGCTGTCGCTATTACTGGGGTGTGGATAATGCTTTCGTTCTGTCGCCATTTAAAATCGAAGAAATCAATGAAGATCCCTTCGTAATGCTAATCCATGATATGGTGACGGATGAACAAATTGAAACCATAAAAAGAGTTTCAATGCCTGAAATGAAACGTTCCACAGTGCGTGACGATATCGTTGGCGGTTCGAAGAGACGTAATTATCGTATATCGAAAAATGCCTGGATTGAATATAGTCTGCATCCGCATATTGAAAAGTTATTACACGTTTTACATTATGCCACCGGCTTGGAAACACAATTCAGCGAAGAGCTGCAAGTGGCCAACTATGGGTTGGGTGGTCATTATGAGCCGCATGTGGACTTTTATTTGGTGAGTAGCATGTGTGTGCGTGTGTTATATGAATGACCTTTGGCGGCATGACTGTTAAATTTTTTGTGGCATTGTTCCAGTTTTGCATTTTCCTTGGAAACATTTTATACTATTTTCAATGAAAATGCTAAATAGTTTTATTTCTGTAATGAGTATGAGATGAACACGAAAATACTTAATAGAATATTTGAATCACAAATTGAAAAAAAAAAAAAAACTTTCAAATCTTCGGACAATTTTTCACACACACAAAATGTACTTAAAAAATTAAATTTAATATTTATTAAAAATTCTTCTCTTCACTTTTCGATCCCCAAACGATGTATGATTATCCTGCAAATGTTTACTGCTGGCGTTACTGAACCTGTGTTGATGACAATGTTTATAGACCGGCGTTACGGAGGAGTACTCCAATCGAATATCCACCTCAATTTTCTACGTGAGTAAAACGAAAAGCCATGAGCTATGCACTAGTCCATCATTGTTATTACGTTACAAGGATGCGTGGATGTGTACATGTATGAGGAGGAGTGGGAGTAGTCTGGGGTTTTAGATACACAATGGCATGTCGAACAAAATATGCGTGGCAATCTGTTAAGCTATTATATTACCATGCTAAAACCGTCTAATCTGTGATGGAACAGTAGTTTCAGAATGGTTTGAATATCAATGAAAAGGATCCAAAACCTTTTACTATGGTGTGGAATTAATTGGTTGTATACCCTCCACCTCGAAATATAAGTTTTAGTGGGGTGTATATATATTTGATCAGCATAAAATTCTTTGTCCGTCTGTGGAAATCAATCTACCTTCAGAGCGAAATTAAGTAGGTTGATCACATTCTATTCAGATGTGTGTTTGATCTGCAGGACTTTTGGTATTGAGAATGGGCTATATAGGTCCACATTTATGGTCCCATATAATTGTACGGACAGTATTCAAGTTTTCATGGTATTTTAGCAGTACGCGCTCCCATAATGTAAGAAATTTCCTTGCATAGAACTGTCAATATAGGTCCAAGTTTTGGTATAGTCCCTATATAACTGTACCGACAGATATTTGGTTTTTTGTTTAAATTTTCACAGGAAATGTCTCAAATTTTGAATTTGAATTTCCTAATGGGTACTACAGTCTAAGACAGAAAATTACATATGCAAGTCCAGGTCTTCCTATAGCCATATACTTGGGTATATAGGTGATTCTAGCGAAATTATTCACCGTTATTCATTCAAGTTTCGTATTAAATATCGTAAGGGCCAATGACAAAAATTACATATACAGGCCCACTTCTTCGTATAGTCCCTAATATAAAGGTTATTCCTTACATTTGGTACTTATATGATTTTAGCAATATTTTTCAACGGAGTTTTTTATTTATTTATTTATTTATTTATTTTTTTTTTTTTTTTTGAAAATTTGCAAACTCCTCCCAAATATTGAAGAGTATTCAAAGTTCTATCCGGCCGAACTTACATATTTTTTACTTTTTTTATTCCGTATTCGAAATTTTCAATTTAGCCGGGTCCATCTGTCTGTAGTAATCATGCTATCTTCCAAACTAGTTGAGATGTGAGACTATGATTAATAAGGAAAAATATATTGAATATTGAATATAGTGTTTCGGTTAAATTCGGATTTTCTTAAAGTGTAAAATTTGTTTCTGTATCGAATGAATTCTATACTTAGTACAACTTTTGGTATTTACAATGTATAATTTTTTGAGTTGTTAACCGAATTTTCTATAATTTAAACAGAGGGTAGAAAATAGGCTTACAAAGGTTTGTTCCTTCAAAGATTCATTCTTTAAAAGTAGGATATGAAATTTCAAAAGAGGAACAGCATCCCCGGTATCAAATTTACTATATGTGTCCACGTTTTGTCATGCTACCTGAAAGTATTTCGCATCGGAATTTTTTAAAATTACGCTTTAAAAATTCACATGTTCTCGTATAACTAACTGACTGATTGACCTAGAATCAACGCCCAGAAGCTACATTTTGCACAGGGGCCAGTCTTGCTGCGTAGGCGTGTGTTAAGACAGAGTTTTGGGAAATTCGTACTAAACGGAACGAAAAGTACTAATATATACTAAGAATTAAATCATTCATATAGAGCAAACAGAATAGGATAGACTTCTGAAATTCGGAATGAGAGTCCCTGATATAGTGCAGGATAGATTAATCAAAGGTTCTTTGGAAACAAAATAAGATAGACTTCTGAAATTCAGAATTAGAGTCCTTGATGGAGAGCAGATATTGATGATATGAGAATCATGGATTTATAAATGAAGGTGATTTCGGAAATGTATGCGAACTGTACTAAATGACAATAAATTTGAAACCGTTTGACGGATTAAGATGGTATTGTGAAATGTTGTATTGGAGTCCCTATTGATAGTAGGTTTGAAAAGTACTAAATAGTACTATATTTAGAACAATTTGATATTGGGTGAATATATACTGCTTAAAATCTGAAATTTACTTGTATCCTGTATAAATGTACGAAATGACTGAATGGTAATATATTTGGTATTGTGTGAAGGGATGGAGATACAATTCTAGATTGCTTATCGTATCTGTGTTGAGATTTGGCGGTGGTTTCGGAAATATGCACTTCACTTGTAAATAGAGTACTAAATGTTACTAAATTTTGTGTAAGGTGAAGGGGCTCACATTCCGAAATTTGAAATATATGTCATTGATTGTGTATGTTCGAAAAGTACTAAATGGTACTAAGTTAGGTATTTGATGAAGCGAAAAAACTGGAGTCCCGAATTTTTATATTAAGGTCTTTATTTGTACTATAATTTTACAAGAGGTTTTAAATTTGTTATTGGGTGAAGGAATATGAATAGTAATTGAGGGAAAGAGATGGGTTTGGAAATGCGTACTATAAATGTGCCGTTGGGATAGAGATGGAATTCTGAAATTTGCTGTAACTGTGATGTCTAGGGTTAAATAGAATGTTGTTTGGGCATGTGAGTATAGATATACGAAAAATATGGTAATCAATTTTAGATTGGGTGTTAGGATAAAACTGGAATTCTGAAATTTGATATAGAGGTCACTGTTGGTATATAGTTCTGAGAGAAAGTAGTAGTTTTTGCGGTAAACTTCATAGTCATTTTTCGATTATGCTTTTCGACAAAAAAGAAAAACTTGAATATGAATAAAGTGTTATCGAACTGATGCAGCTTAAAAGTTATTACGTTGTGTAAAGTTTTGTTTGAAAATGTTGTCCAAGAAATGATGAGCAAATTGTACGTTTTGGGTACTAAAATGAATCTAAAATTTTTAGGTGGATTTTTCGCTGGCTAAGTAGCGGCCACTTTATAGTCCACCATATAATGGTACTTCCCGATATAAGTAATTTACAGCCAGTTCCACGATATCGAAAGAACACGTTCGCACAACTTTTACACGACAAACAGCTGATTTCCGTTCCACTAAAATCTATCAGAACGAAAATTTGCACGAAAATCAAAGCGAACGAAAACGTAAGCATTTCAGTGTAATTTTGCGTTCCACTATCTTTTTTCTTTCGTACGCATGCGAACACAAATGTCAAAATCAGTCATTTGTGTGTTTGCTATCGTATAATAACAATTAAGGAAAATTGTTTTAACATAAACATTGCTTGATTGAAAATGGAAACAAAAATGTAAGTAAAAAAAATAAATGCAATTTAATATGTGAACAACAAATATATATTTTTTTTATTTTCTCAATTCCAGCACGAAAAAATCATCAACTACACAGCTGCGGGCACTAGTTGAGTAAATGGAGGAGAATCCTGTGTTCGCCAGAGGAATGCCAATTTTTGGAAGCAGCAGTTTTAAATCGGGGCGGATTTGGGTAGTTCTGCAACCGGGCACACACTTCTCTTCCATCATATCCAAAAGAGCCCGAAAACTTCCTTCGACACGCGAAAGTTGGCCACAAACCTAGAAAAAATCATTTTTTATTATTTCAAAAATGTAAAAATACAATCATACTTACTGGTTGTTAGGTACTTCAAATAAATTCGAAGCATCTCTTAAATTCCTCCGTGGCACATTTCGAACCTCCTCCATAAAAAATAGGGCTACGGAAATATTCTTTTTTTTATTTTCTAAGAGCACAAATAGTTTGAACACAATCACTAGAAATTTTATTTTGTTTGTTTATTTACAATTTGTTTGTTTACAACTGAAATGTCAGTTGAGACAGAGCCACTGCTGCTTTTTCGCGTTTAAATTAGACATTTGACGCTTTTTTTGCTTCATTTCGCGATTAATTTTTCCAAAAAAATATTTAGCAACACTGAATCACGTAAGGCTATGCGAAAGAAAGAACGAAAGTTAGTGGAACGCATTCTTCTACGAAAGTGAGTGAGTAGCCTTCGTTCGCACAAATTTTCTTTCGAGATCGTGGAACAGGCTGTTAATGATTAGGTGATTTTTTGATGATCAATGTTTTGGAAAAGTCTGTCTGTTCGGTATTTTGATGGAGTTGACTGTCTTTGTAATGAATTTTATGAATTTCTTATTTGGTTAAAGATAGAATTTGGGACTTTAGCGTGAGCAAACATTTCTTGAAAAAATATTTCTGGTATATTTTTACTGACATTGGCCGTTCTAAATGAATGCCTCTTTAACATTGCTCCTTTTTTATATCCTCAGTCATATATATATTATTTAATACGGTCAAAACCTACCTAGTCGAAAAAACGGTTTTAGACCCTATGTCTCTTTGGAGCAAACCCGTTTCAGGACATTTGGAGTCGATCTAGCGATGTCCGTCCGCCCGTCTGTCTGTCTGGCTGTTGCGCACGATAACTCTCGAAGGGAGTATCCGATTTGGTCCAAACTTGGTACATCGTTATATTATTCTCAAACTTAGATCGAGTTCGGAGGTGGGCAATATTCATCCACTTCTTCTCCCGCACAAAATGTCAATATTTGCAAAGAAAATAATTTACTAAACAGAAAGAGACACGATAATCCGATTTTACTCCAACTTTGCGAATCCTAATAGTTACGCCAGTCCTAGGTCAGGTGCGAAAATAGACAATATCGGTCCACTCCATCAAGTACCTCCCCCACAAATGGTCAAAATTTTGAATAATTATAACTCTTATAAAATGTGATGTAAGTATCCGATTCCACAAATGACAATGTTTTTATTAACCCAAGGTGTGAAGATGGCATATATCGGTCCACTCCCTCTGATACCTCCTCCACAAAAGGTCAAAATTTTGAATATTCATGAAGCTCATAAAACACGAAATCATCATTCCATTCTATTCAGACTTCGCGCATCTCAATATTTCCATCAACACAACATCTGTTATAAATATGGTAGAGATTGGGCCATTCCTTCTGTTACCTCCCCTACAAAGGGTTAACATTTTGTTGTGATCGGTTAGATCATAAAATCCGATATTAACCCAAAGTCTGTTGTGAAGATGTGCGTTCCTTCTGGTACTTCCCTTTGAATATTCATGAAGCTCATAAAATGCCAACTTAATATCCGGTTCCATTCCAGACTTGGTATATCTCAATATTTTCATTAATTAGAGATCTGTAAAAAATATAGTAGAGATTGCACCATTTCTTGTGGTACGTCCCCTACATAATTTCCAAGATTTTGAAAAACAAAACGCTGAAAGAAAGCGAAATAAAAATCTTATTCTCATTAAATTTCACAAAAAAAAAAAATTTGTGAAACCAGAAACCTGAGATGAATACGGAATTTATGATTTTCCATAAAATTGGATATAAATGTAATTCTGCCCATACCAATATTTTTATCTGTATTAGGTGAAGTATGGAAATGGAGTACTACGGTCGACTATATCTGGTAAATCAGGCACATTTCAACATTTTCTAAAAATTATCACATATAATGTGAAGGAAGTGGTCCAAAACTGTCACGTAGCAATATTTACATCATATTTTTTTAGGTCAGATAAGAAATGGACAATACTGGCTCATCCCTTCGCAACCTACTCCATAGAAGGTCAACAATTTGAATAATCATAACAGAAGGCAAAATAAATTTAAATAATTGTATTGGCTGAGGGTATGCAGCTGTCGGCAATACCGACTGGTTTAATTTAATTTGTCAAGCGTTAATTTAATTTTTAATTTTCCGCAAAGAGCTATATTTTTCCAGTGTATCTTGTAAAACGTAAATTTTTCCACCGTCAATTATTTCTAAGTTTTCTGAGATGCACTCTTTCCTTCGCAAAGAACACGAATTTCAGTTTGAGAAGAGAGAAAACTGAAATGAAAAATTTCTGTCACATAAGAGGTAACGGATCCTCAAAGCTAAATTTTAGAATATTCTATTTAAAAATGTGGCTACAATCATCCAAATTTCATGTAACATATATTATTATATTTTCGTTAAGTATTTCAGCATGACGTGTACCTGTTCTAATCACTGTCCATTGTTATCTAATATGTTTTCCAAAATATAAATTACATTTCTCAATCCAAATACACCCCTCTCCCTAACCCCTGTGCATCCTGTGCGTCGACAATAACCCTGAACATAAATCATTTTTGACTGCTCGTTTAGAATTTTTGTTGCAGATTTACAATTTCATCCTGTTTGCCTTTCAGTTATCCGATGTGGAGCAAGGTGGAGCCACTGCATTCCCCTATTTGAAGATTGCCATTAAACCGAACAAAGGCACAGTACTGTTCTGGTATAACTTGCATCGTTCATTGGATGGTGATTATCGTACCAAACATGCGGGTTGTCCCGTCCTCAAAGGATCCAAGTGGAGTAAGTCACCGGTGGATGTCGCACAACAGCATCCGTCCAACACTTCATGCGTGTGTGTGTACAACTGTACTTAACTATGATATTTTCCATGCGTCTTTGTTTCTTTACAGTTGGTAATGTCTGGACACATGACCGAACACAATTTGCCATACGACCATGTGGTCTATATCGTGACTACGAAAGTTCTTGGGAGTATATGATGGTCAAATGAGTTCGGTTACGGACGAATGACAAAAAATGAAAAAAGAAAAAACAGCAACCCCGTAAAATGGAAATGAGACTTGGAAGTCATTGTGATAATATGTACCCAGCCACTTTCGGCATGTGTAGTTGTTATATGTTTGTATATACGTATGTGTGTAAGTTAGATGAATAAGTAGATTTTAGCAGAGGATTTATGTGCTGTAACCAAGATAAAGTGATAAAATTTGCTGAATTTTTAATTAAATGTTAAATATGTGTTTGCTTTTTCATTGAAGAGAAAAAAAAGGTGGAAGAGGTTGGTGGAATCGAATATCATTCACCCTTCAAATCACAATGTTTAGGGGCAATGGTTTTAGAAATTGATTATAAGCTCTGAGTGAAGTGCCAAATACTTAAAAGATAATTGCTGAATAAGAAGAGATGAAAATATCACTTGTGTAGAAGGGATCAAAAATAGAAGTACAGGGTTGCCCATATTCGACGGACCCATGTTTTTTTCGGCCATTTCGATGACTCTTTGGGCCCATTCCAATCGACGAGGCTTGTCCGCAGAGAACAAATGCAAATTAATGCGAAAAATCCGTTGTAAAGTGGACCGAGCAATGCCCAACTGCTGTGAACGGCGTTTTTGGGATGTTCTTGGGGACCTCTCAACACTGGCTCGTACGGCAGCGATATTTTCGGCCGATCGCCTTGGTCGACTTTTATATGGCGTCTTCGGATTAGAAAGAGCCTTACCAGTCAAACATTTTTCGTATAAACGCTTAATGGTGTTCTTAGAAGGCGCACTTCTCACATTTTTTAATGTTTTAAAAGCACGTTGAGTTTGCCTTCTTCTGTTGAATGTAAATTTCAACTATTTCAGAGCGCTCGCGTGGCGTGTATTGGTTCATGGTAAAAATCTGCTTGGACTGACGCTTCAAACGCGGTATGTCATTAAGCAATGTGACATCTCGGTCAAAAGTTATGGCGTTGCCAGATGGGTCCGTCGAATATGGGCAACCCTGTAAGTTTTCTAACGCTCAATGTTGGTACAAATCACTATAATTACGGTTTTTTTTTTTTTTCGAAAAATTGGCATGTGTCATGATATTTTCTTTCCCAAACTTTCAGGATTTCTCCTGTCTAAATAATTATTTCATAGCTATTTTTATACAGAGGAGAAATGTTTTGTAAACAATTAAAATATTTTTTCTTACAACATCTACGATATTTGGAACTTTGGTTCGGAAAAATGCCTATGGGACGAAAGTTTCGCCGGTTTTATATTTCCATTTTAAGCACATTTATTTAAGAACGAGCAAGCAAAGGCTACAGTCGTGCGGGGCCGACCATGTGATATCCTACAACACTACAATCCCGTTTATGTCCAAATCCATTTTTCAAGATTTCTCTTTTGAAATTATGTCACGGAGCACAGCCCAGATATTACCCTTAGCTTTTCGACCAGGGACATTTGCCCAATATTTACGCACTACGTCGTGCTGTTAGTTGTTGTGGTCCATTTTACAGCTAATTATAATCCAATGGTCATTCTTCCCTGTCCTTAACTCCCTTCTCAGGCGTGTCGATTGTCTTCATTTGTGTGACCTGGAATTTTTTCTGTTTTGGTTCATTTGAACCCCTAAATATTTTGCGATAATCTCCAAAAGCAAGAGGCCCCTCTGTATCTCCAAATTTAGACTCCTCTATTTGATTTGCTTATCTACGATATTTGGCTATATTCGTCAACGAAATCAACATAAAAAGACAAAAGTTCGCCTTATTGTGCATTTTGGATATCGCCTGTAAGTCATTTTCAGCGTTTCGGTAGAATGGAAATGTTGGTATTTTTTCACACAAAAGTAGTAGTTCATCCCACCCGCTGTCCTAAACTCTAACTTAATGCGAGATTTCGTGATCTTTGGTATCTATTTGTGACTTTTGTAACGGTTGAAAATCAGGAAAATGTTTAGTTGTTGGTACATTTTAACCCCTATGTATATTGCGGACATCTTTGAAAACAATAGGCCTAGGCCTAGTCCTACTGAGTCTAACTCTACCCTTGTGAAAATTTTCGTGAGGATCGGTTGATAATTGCAATCTGTATATGAAAACCCCAACCTATGTTGTAAAGTGAAAAATATTACAAAATATATACCTCAAAAAATGAAAATATGGCATGCGATAAAAGAACAGAAAAAAATTACATAAAATACTACAACATCTATATTAACATCATTATTGGCATCTTTTTTATGCGATTGTTTTAGATATTATTCTTTGATACCAAGAGGGCATTCTGAGTTGATAAAATTTGTCAAAATCGATCCAGTCATTCTTGAGATATCAGCATTCTAGCTAAAATCCCCTTCCTTTGTATATATCTCGCTATAAATCCGATAAATTTACTATTGACACCTATTTAACGGTCAGAATTGACTTGTTCGTCTATTTGTGATTTCGCCGGGATTAAAAATATTCGCGGTTTAATGGAAAACTTGACTTTTATTTAATACAAATTTTATGGTCTATTTCACCCACTAAATATTACCCGATGACCATCAAAATTGGAAGGATTCTGCCCAGCCCTACGCCCTAGCCCCATGCAAACTTCCCCTAAATATTATGCGATCTTCTCCAAAAGCAATAGGCTTATATTCTGGCCCACCTCCATTCTAAAGTTCGTAAAGATCGGGCCATAATTGCGACCTGTAGAGTGATTACAAATTAATATGGACAGACGGACAGATGGACATACCTAGATCGACACAGCTCGGCGAGATAGGAAGATCCACATATACTTTCCTATATAGGAAGTCAATATTTCGAGGTGTTACATAATTGATGGCCCAATCAAACTTATAATACCCCCATTACATAGTGTTGCAGGGTATAAAAAGGAGTTTCACACAATTTAAAAGGTCCCTTTATTGTTAAATATTTCAACCAAAATAATTCTCGTATTGTTATAAGTAATATTGCCCATTACAATATAAACCTAATATTAGAAACATTAATCAAAATATTTAAAAAATGAGGAATACCTATTTTATCAGATTACTTTACAATGTAAACTTTCAAACGCGTGTTCTACTCTTTACTCCCCTCATAATATACTTGGTTTTTCTGTAATTGAAGAAAAAAAAACTGAATATTGTCGCGTAGTGTAATTGACAAATTTATAATTGAATCTCTCAACCTAATTTCTAAGAATATTTTTAAATACATGAGTATTTCTTGAAATCTTTCTAAATTTTTATAGAACCTTGTTCGGCATGTCATAATTTAATTATTAATTCTTCATGAAGTGTTTTTCAATAATACACTCTGATTAGATTAATGCTCTGTAAATATATTTTACGATATTCACACAATAAACTGGATTCCTAACGCCCACTCCAATATTAGGAATACGCAAATAAAATATAATAAAAATACTGTCAAGTTAAAAGTAGTAGTAGATACCTTTTGTTGCATACATGTGAAAATATACGATTACATGCAACCCGGATACAACCCTGAATTTTAAAAATGTAACGAGTTGAAGATACGAAGCCAACCTGACAAGGCGTACTAGTTTAAGCTCGTATAATTGATTTTAATAAACGTTTGTGAATTCTTAATTTAATATAAAAACGGTCGTTGTATTTCATTTGAGTATACGGAAACCAACAGACTTCAATCGATCACTTGACAATACTTTCTTTTTATAATTCGATAACTTTTTAATACGAGTAAATTTTGTCAAATACATATTGTGGAATGTAGACTATTTAACATTTTTGTGTAAACAAACGCCCACATGTCGATGTGACTTTTTGTTTTGAAATGTTTATGTATTAATTATCACTTAGAATTTAGACATAAACATTTAATAACTTTATAGCGAAGAAGAATTCAAACAAACATCATAAAATATTTTTTCACATCACATCATGCACTGATGCTGCTATTGCATTTGTCAATGCGCATACATACGTATACGTCTGTATAATAAATATTTATATTTGTGTTTAGCATAAGTTGACATTATTAAAATAATGAATTTATAATGTGTCAAATAAATTCAAGGCCTACAGCATGCATGTAGAATCGTTTTTTCAGCTTAAAATATTTGCATAGCATTTAATAGGACTTTGACTTAAATAAGCAATTGATAAATGATCTGCAACACACCGTTGAGCAGTGATAACTATATGGGGATACACGCAAAAACTGGTGAAGAATGATTTGAAAATGTATTGAAATTATTACTGAACTAGAATTAGCTTTTGTCTAACCTACTTATTCACGAAAACTCTGATGAAGAGCACCATTTCAGATTTCAATCACTATCCGTTCATTGAATTTCCAAAAATGCACTCCATGCTAAATTTTAAATATCTAGCTCTCAACGTTCTCTCAATAACAATGTTCTTAAAAAAGAATGGGACAGTCCCTTTAAGAATTTCTGTTGTCATAGTCATTAGTCTCTCTTGAAAATGCTTTTGAACTCAAGCTTTACGAATTCGCTGACTGTCATGTTATAGGGTTAACTAAAATTTAGTACCTTCTTTAGCCTCGTAGTTGAAATATACAAATACCCAGTCTTATCCATCTTCAGCATACATAAACAGTGACCACCATTCCAAATTTGATATTTTTAGATTCAGTGGTTTTGCCAGGGCATTAATATGTAAGCCAGATATTATTATATCTCAATGATAATTTTGAGTGTCGCATGTCTGGGAGGTCCCAGAAGTACTGGTCCAATTGAGTTCAACTCTTCGCATATGATTTGGGAGAATGGAACATCAAGTCGAACAAATTTATAACATGTGTGATCGGTATTAAATGTATCGATAATTGCTTCTAGCCATATTACACTATTAATCATATTTATTACACCCTCCACCATTTTATTAACTTTTATTTTATTTATTAACTTTTTCATTCCGTTTGTAACTCCTGGAAATATTTATAATAGACCCCACAGAGTATATATATTCTAGATCAGCGTAAAATTCTAAGATGATCTAGCGATGTCCCCCTGTCTCTTGTAATTCCGCTATCTTTCGATCGAATTGAAATAGAAGGCTAAAATTTTGCATGCATGCATAGTTCACCAGTAGGCAGGTTAAGTTCGTAAATGGGTCATGTTGTTCCACGTTTTCATATAGCCCCATTATAACGGTACCTCCCGGTATTCAGTATTTTCATGATTTTAGCAACATTAGTAACCGAAATTATTTCAAATTTCGTATTTGAAATTCGTAATGTTAATTCTATGACAAACATTTTTGTATGCAGGTCCACGTCTTCGCATAGCCCCCCTATAAAAGTACCTCCCGAAATACGGTATATTCATGATTTCAGCGACATTATATACGGTATTTGAAGTTCGTAATGGGTACAGCAGCCTATGACAAATTTCGTATTGGGGGATCTTAATGTTTACTACAGCCTATGGATAAAATTTTCGTATGCAGGTCCACGTCTTCGTATAGCCCCCATATTACCATACCTCCCAGTACTCGGTATTTTTATGATGTGTTCGACATTATTCACCGGAATTGTAACAAATTTCATATTTAAAATTAATAATGAGTTCTACAGCCTATGACAACAAATTTCTTAAGCAGGTCTTCGTATACTCTACATATAACAGTTTTCATTTAAGTGGTAGTTTCCGGAAGTATTTGAATTTTTTCAAGTTCCTTCCAAATGTGGAGGGTATTAAAAGTTCGGCCCGGCCTGCTTTTTTTACTTGTTAAATATTCGTTTTGAAGAGAAGTATTAGACAGAGTGCACTGATCTAGCCCCCCTCATAGTAAATGGAACGAATTAATACGAAAAAATAAATAGAATATGATTTGAGAGATTAAAACATCACATCGGATGATATGATGTATCAGAGTGCACCGAGCAAGCCTCTCTTATAATAAATAGAATTAATAAACGCGGAAAAATTAATATTGAATTTCAGTCTTTCAAAGTTGAAACTAATAAAATAAATCATATATGTTCAATACAGGTAAACAATAAGATGCTTTGGTGACTTGACCCATTTTGTTTTTATACCATATTTTTAAGATTTCAATAAATACTTACAATTTTCAATATCTTCATATACATGCACTTGTTTATTGGACTTTGAAAATCTTGACCAAAATGATTTAGAAATCTTTGAAATATATTGTATTGCTATTCTGATATGAAATTAATAGTAACCCCCAGATAAATTGCTTGACATGTACGCATCAAATTGATCCATGTTATATAATATACAGGAGAGAAATTGCTTGAAAGCTGTCCAGTTCTTTTCGATGGTTGGATGCAGCACATGTAGATGTTCCGTATAAATTAAAATTGGCAGAGAAAAATCATTTTAATGGAATCCTTTAATATGTTTCTACAAAATTAAAAATTTTAGGAAATAATATGAAACTGTTGTATTCTATTTCAAAAAACCAAAAAAAAAATTAGAAAACCTATTTTTTTTCTTAAAACTAAATTTCCTAGGGCTCCTATATTTTGAATTACAATTATTTCAAAATAAAAACTTCAAAGTGTCAGAATATTTAAGGCAAATATTATGTTAAATGCATTGTGTGGTGCTCATTTCTCTCAACAATTTGTATAAATGCATTCTTCTACCCTACACCACTATGTGATGGGGGGTATTATAATCCAATTATGTTAAACATCGAAATATTGGTCCACGACATAGGAATCTATATTTAGATCTTTCTATCTCGCCAAGATGAATCGATCTAGCTATGTATGTCCGTCTGTCCATGCTAAATTGTAATCAGATTTCAGTTCTATATTCTCATAAAATTTAGTATGCAGGTAGTTTTAAGGTCAGAAGAGAAGCCTATTGTTGGGGAAGATGATCGCAAAATATGTAGTGGTTGAAATGGCCAATGAACTCCGAACTTTGCATGGGACTTGAGTTTAATGCTGGGTAGAAGCCTTCCAATTTGAATGGTAATCGAAAAATATTTAACGCGTGAAATAGACCATAGCTTTTATGGAAAAAACTAAATCTCCTTTAAACCACGAACATTTTTAAATCCATCGAAATCACATATACACGAAAAGGTCACATACGACCGTTACATTGATGCTGATATGCAATATATCGCATATATAGAAATATACAATCTCATATACCAAAGAAGGCGCTGGACGGATTTTGATAATTCTAATAAAAATGTGAATATTTGTCCATAACATTTTGTGATGTTTTTTATCCCATGTGAATTTTTTAATTTGACTGGCAATATTTAGTTGTACATTTGTAATATTTTTCACCTTGCAACACTATGTGTTGGGGGTATTATATTCGCAATTAACGTCCGATCTTTACGAAATCTTGCATCGGGGTATAATTAGGATCACAAGAAAACACAAGAGAAATATTTGGGTTTTAAAATATAACCAAAACATAAACATTGTCCAGATTTTGCAATCACCCTACAGTTCTCAACTGAGGACCAATAGAGTTAAGGACAGCGCTAGAGCCCAGCATTTTGGATGGCCATCGGATAAAATTTAGCTGGTTAAATTGGCCACAATTTTCTGTGAAAAGATAGCAAAATTATAGAAATATATAAATATGTGCAAGGCACCCCAGTCCAATACAAGGTGAGATGAAAAAACTGCAACCAACTTCTGACTGCTGTCATTTTTAAGTCACACGTCCGACACTTGTAAAATTATTCCAGTGAAAGCATTTTTGTAAGAATTTTCCAGAAAAAAAGTTATTCGTGATGGAATTTAGGCGTGGTGGTCTGATTTCAATATATTTAGCTGAAAATCACAAGTGGCTATCGTTAGAGCACTCCAGCATTTAAATGTGAATAAATCTTTTTTGTCTCGTACCAGCTTTCGTTACAGTGATACTGGTATGCACCCTCCATTAAAGCCTTGGGCACGCAAACATGACAGGACTCAGCACGCGCCACCCAAGAATGGTTACAAAATGTCGCTTCATTCCCAGCGAACAATGGCCACCAAAATCTCCGGATACCAATCCGTTGGACTATTGTGTCTGGAGTATTTTGGAAAGCAAGGTTGGGACTACCAAATATCAAAGTGTCGATCACCTCAAGCAAGCGCTTCTCCGGGAAATGGGACGAACTACCACAGAGTATTCGGGCAGCATGTGACGGTTTCATTGACCGTTTGAAGGCCATAATTCGTTCCAAAAGTGACCAATTCGAACAAATCTAAACTTATTCTGAAATTTGATGCTTTTTCTGAAATTTTTTGCTTTCATTCAATAAAATTTGAAAAAAAAAACAGTAAAGAAAGCCTTAAAGTCGGGCGGGGCCGACTTTATGATACCCTACACCACTTTGCTAATTTAATCGTTTTTATGGGAGAATTCAGACATACACGCTATGATTATAATTATAATTTAAAGTTCAAAGGACTAAATATGCCGAAGCATTTTTATCTTTTAAATTCGGACTTGTATTGACCATTTGGTGCAAAATTAATTAGAAATCGGATAAAGATATACATGGGAGCTATATCCAAATCTGAACCGATCTCGATAAAATTTGACAAAGACATTTCTGAGCTGTATTTGATATATCTCCCTGTGGGTAACAAATATAACAAGTCGGATGAACAATATATATGGGAGCTATAGCTATATCTGAACCGATCTGAACCAAATTTGACGTACTAGCTTCTAGACTCAATTCGGTCGTAAGTGCCAAATTCCAAATTTAGACAAATATTAGACGTTTGGAGCACAATAAAAGGTAAATCGGACGAAGTTATATATGGGAGCTATATCCAAACCGATCTCGATAAAATTTAGCAAATGTATTTCTGAGCTGTATTTGCTACATTTCTCCATCAATTGTTGTTACAGAGTGCATATTACTGCAGCGGAGGACAAAAATAACAAATCGGATGAACAATATATATGGGAGCTATAGCTATATCTGAACCGATTTCGATCAAATTTGGCATACTTATTTTCAGGCCTAATTTGGTTGTATGTGCATAATTCCATACTATTCGGGCTGATATTACACGTTTGGTGCACAATAAAAGGCAAATCGGACGAAGATATATGTAGGAGCTATATCTACATTTTTACCGATTATCTCCAATTTCAATAGGGTTCGTCCTTGGGCCAAGCAAATGATCTGTGCTAAATTTCATCTGGATAGGGCAATAAATGCGATCTGTACGGACGGGCATGCATAAATCGACTCAGAATGTGATTCTATGCAGATCATCAAAAGGAACTATGGGTCTATCTCGTTTCCTTTTGCCTGTTACAAACAAATGCACAAAGTCATAATACCCTGACCACTTTGTGGTGTAGGGTAAAAAATGTAAAGATTATGGCGTTTGACTTTGTTGCAATTTTTTTATTTCACCCGTATACCCTCCATACTATAGTGGAAGATATAAAAATAGGTGTTGAGTATCTTCAAATATAATGACAAACTTCATATACCTCAATTCGTTGCCATTAGCTATTTTTGTCATCAGTGTCTGCTATTTTATAAACCACTGAATCGAAAATACTCTGCTAGCATATTACCCGTTGAGCATTTCCAGCCGCATTCAAAAATCTTAAATTATGTCATAAAAAATGTATTATCTGACGTTTGACTGAACACAATTAAATAGAATATTAAAAAGTCTAGAACCAAATGGGTATGCTAAAATAAAAGTTGTTCACCTTCTGATGCGGGTGCGGATGAAAAATCACTCTTCAAGCTAGAACTGTGCCATAATTTATGGCAAATTTGATTGAAGCATTTGAAAGCATCTCTTTGAAAATGTGAACACTATTCAGTGGAGAATAACGCCTCAGGAAACTAAGCAATAAAACAAAACATAAATAAGACACACCAAAAAAAAAAAAAACAAGTTCCATTGCGATATGCGTACATACCCACTTCTGAGCTAAGAAAATAGACTAGACGCTTATCCGGCAAACTCTCAACTATCACGCTTTAGTGAAATTCGAATGGACTATTCTACCAAATGATCAAATAAGCGGTCAAATGAAAATGACTTTGCAAATCAAATCAAGCTGTATGGACAGATAGACCGAACGACTGCCCGACAGAACAGCACTCACTCACAATTCAAGTGAAGAGCATATGTATGAAGAATTCTGTGTTGTTTTTTATTAAACAACTTGAAATTTGAAATTATTGAAACTTAACAACAAATTAGTTGACTTGCAAACGTGGTCGAGAAAGGATCGCCGGTCCCTGACGAAATAGGCGGAAACGTGAAACCCCTTCCGTGAACATTTGAAAAGTGCAAAATTGTGATGCTAGGAAATTTAAATAAATTAATTATTCCATTTTTAATTAGTGCAACAGTGTTGTGGCATTATGGCCAGGCCAAAGATTTCTATACTTCCACTGCTGGGCTGGAGGATTTATTCAAAACGGAACTACAACTTACAGCGGAAATGCAAAATTACATCGACACGCTAAGCCAACACATTGAAATGTTGCAAAGGTAGGGACGAACTACATGTCAATGTTAAACGCTCACACATGTACATATGTATATGGCACCGGATGTTCGCATGTTTGCAAAGTGGTTTTGGTTGATTGATGCTAATGTAAACTCAAATTGACATAAATTATGACTAAATTGACCTTTTGTTTTGTGGTTTTAGAATAAATATGAAAAATTATTTTTGGTTACAAAAATGTTAGAGAAATATGCATTGTTGTCGGTTAATTAGAAGGTCAATTTGTTGACCCATTTAATTCCTCGATTAGTTTTATTGTGCGGGGTTTGGTGATGACGAATATACGAAAAACTGATTTTTTTTTTTTGGTTTTTTTGGAAAGTAGTTTTTCTGCAAATAAGTGCAAGCCTTTTTATGGATCTAACAAGCTAATTGTCATCCAAAAATATGGAACTTAAATTTCTTTATTTTTGTGATGATGACTTCAAAAAGCTTGATGCAATAGAATCATACAACATTTAATACTTTTATACCCTCTACCATGGAGAATGGAGGATTAAGTTTATGATGGATTAAGTTTATCCCCAATGTAATATATATATACTTGATCAGCATAAAATTCTATGTCGATTAAGCAATGTCCTTCCGTCCGTCTGTGGAAATCACTCTAGCTTCCGAACGAAAGTAGTTTGATAAAATTCTACTCAAATGTATATTATGTCTTAAGAACTTTTGATATTAAAAATGGGCAATGTAGGTCCACCTTTTGGTATAACCCCCGTATAATGTTACCACCATACTTTCAGTGATTTAAGCGACATTATTCACCGGAATTGTTTTAAATTTGATATTTTAGGTTCGTAATGGATACAACAGCCTATTAAAGAAAATCGCCTGTGCAGGTCCACGTCTTCGTATAGTCCCATAAAACTGTACTTCCCCATATTCGGTATTTTGATGTATAGACCTTAATATAAGGGCTAATTTCGGTATTTTTTTTACTTGTTTCTCCCTATGCTGGTATTTAATGGTCATGGACAGATTATTTTGGAAAACTAAAGTATCTTAGATACGCTAAACTGTTTTATGACCCCATAAAGTATATTTATTTATTTATTTTGTTTTTTTTTTTTTTTTGATCAGAATAAAATTTTATAGCTATCAAATAATGTAATGTAACTTAGTAATTGGAGTTGGTAAAGAATACCATCAACTCGGGTTGCTGATTGTTTAATATGTGGACATTTTAATATAGCCTCCAGGTAACGGGTCTTTGTATGAATATTTCTCGCCTAAGTGAAAATTATCAATAAGTACACCGATCTAGTATAGCTACCATGTAACGGTTCCTCCAAATAATGAAACCGTTGATGGTTTCAAAAACAATTTTTTATCAAATTATTTTTTAACTTTGGATAATGCATTACAGGGTGAAATGAAAAAACGGCAACTAACTTCCGACTGCTGTCAATTTCTATGCCACTCGTCCGACAGCCGTTACAATTATTCCAGTGACAGCTACCTATATTGTTTACAAGTGTGCAGTAGCATTTTGGTGAGAATTTTCCAGAAAAAAATTATTCGTGATGGAATTCAAGCGTGATAGTGTGATTTCTTTATATTTGGCTGGAAAACCACAAGTAGCTATGGTTAGAGCATTCCAGCATTTAAATGTGAATAAATCTTTTGTGTCTCGTACCATCGCTCGTTACTGTGATACTAGTAGCGTAGCCCGGCGTCAAGGAAGTGGACAAAAGAAAACAGCAACATTAGCAGTATTGGTTCGAAAAGTAAAGAAGCAAACACATCGCAATATTCCATTCGGCAAATATTAAAAATAAGCTAAGGGTAAAGCCATTAAAAATCCAAAAAGTGCAAGAACTTACACTGTGGCTGAAAATGTGCACCTTCGGTTGACCATCAGAACTCAAGCGCCGGCCATGGTGATGGTGGGGGCCGCCATAACAGCCGATGGTCGCTCTCCGCTCGAATGAATTGACCGTGGCATCAGAATAAATGCCGAATTTTATCACGAAAATATTCTGGAGGGTATATTAAAGCCTTGGGCATGCAAACATTTTGGCCGCAGATCTTGGACATTCCAACAGGACTCAGCACTATCGCACTCAGCACGCGTCACCCAAGAATGGTTACAAAATGAGGTTCCTCGCTTCATTTCCAGCGCACAATGGCCACCAAAATCTCCGTATACCAATCCCTTTGGACTATTGTGTCTGGAGTATTTTGGGAAGCAAGGTTGGCACTAAAAAAACCAAAGTGTTGATCACCGCAGGCAAGCGCTTCACCGGGAATGGGCCAAAGTACCGCAGAGCAACATTCGGGCAGCGTGAGACGGTTTCATTGACCGTTTTAAGGCCATAATTCGTGCCAAAGGTGACCAAATCGAACAAATCTTAAGTTATTTTAAAATGTGATTCTATTTCCGACATTTTTTGCTTACATTCAATAACATTAAAAAAGTGTACAGATTATGGCGTTTGACTTTGTTGCAGTTGTTTATCTTATCCTGTAATTGGGACCTGTGGCGGAATTACAATTTAATATCAGCAATCGAGTTAGGAAGATCTATATCTAGTTTATATTTAATATCATTTTGGCACAAAACATTACAATATACTAACTTGCATATTATGAATGGGGGGAGTTACTAGAAGGAGTATTCCGATCAGTCCAATATTCACACCAGATCTAACGCTGCTGGATGTATATCATTATTCGAAGTGAAATTTGTAGACAATCGGGCATTTGGTTTACATTTTAAAGACTTATGATTATTTACAATTTTCACATTGTCCGTTTTTCCTGATATTGTTCATATTCGCACCTGACTTATCAGTGATACAAAAAAAAGGTTTGGTTCGAAGAAAATCATTCGATCATTTCTCTTTCCATGAGGTTTATTATACCCTACACCACAAGGTGGTCAGGGTATTATGTCTTTGTGCATTTGTTTGTAACAGGCAAAATGAAACGAGATAGACCCATAGTTCCTTTTGATGATCTGCATAGAATCACATTCTGAGTCGATTTATGCATGTCCGTCCGTCCGCCTGTCCATGTATTTTTGTAAACAAAGTACAGTTCGCATTTATTGCCCGATCCAGATGAAATTTTGCACAAATCATTCGTTTGGCCCAAGGATGAACCCTATTGGATAATCGGTCAAAATTTAGATATAGCTCCCATATATATCTTTGTCCGATTTGCTTTTTATTGTGCACCAAACGTGTAATATCAATCCGAATAGTATGAAATTTTGCACGTACGATCAGATTGGACTGAAAATAAGTATGCCAAATTTGATCGAGATCGGTTCAGATATAGCTATAGCTCCCATATATATTGTTCATCCGATTTGTTATTTTTGTCCTCCGCAGCCGTAATATGCATTCTGCAACAACAATATTTGGGGAAATATATCAAATACAGCTCAGAAATACTTTTCCTAAATTTTATCGAGATCGGTTCAGATTTGGATATAGCTCCCACATATAACTTCGTCCGATTTACCTTGGATTGTGCACCAAATGTCTAATATTTGCCCAAATTGGATGAAATGTGGCACTTACGACCGAATTGAGTCTAGAAGCTAGTATGTCAAATTTGGTGAAGATCGGTTCAGATATAGCTATAGCTCCCATATATACTGTTCATACGTGTATGATTGAATTCTCCTATTAAAATGTTTAATTGTTATGCGGAGCTCTGCTAAATTAGCAAAGTGGTGTAGAGTATCATAAAGTCGGCCCGCCCGACTTTAAGACTTTCTTTACTGGTTTTTTCTTTGATAATGCTGACTTTTAGTGGGAACCAATATTGTCATCTCTGATCTAAGTTTTATAATAATATTATTTTCGATCGATTCTAAATGTCTTGAAACAGATTTCGTCCAAAGAAAAGAGACTTAGGGTCTAAAAACGACCCACATTTTGGCCGTATGAAATGATATATACCCTGCGTAGCCATAATCGCATGAAATATAAATAATTCTACATAATTGTTAAGTTCGGCCGGGTCGAACTTCTAATGCCATATATCATTTAGAAGGAACTTGCAAAATGTTAAAAAGAATATTTTGAACAGACGGTTAGATGAAGCTATATGAAAACCTTTACGGACCTTTATAGACAGTTATCTGCAAAATAACTCCAAAGACCATGTATAAGATAACTCTGTTGAAAAATGTATCTAAAATCATGTTAAATGTTATATGGGGGGCGAAGGCGTGAATTTGTTTGGGCAATTTTCTGCCAATTCCGAATTTGGAATAATTCATGGTGTGCCAAAAATCGTCAATATCGTCAATAATCGTCAACTTAACGGTGGACTTCTACAGCCAATTGTCTGCCAGGGAAATGTGGCTAATAACACGTAAGCCATCTTCCACAAATAATTTGACACATCTCAAAATGCTGTTAAAACAGCAGTGACTCTTAAACATCTTCACACTGTTCCAAAGTGTAATGGTATGACAACTCGTGTCTTTAATTAAATCATATTTATGCAATTCAAAACAACAATTTATTCCAATTAAATCAATAATATTTAACGGTATATTTTCATTAATACCAAACCGGTATTTTGGAATGGTAAGCAGTAAATCAAATTTGTTTAATTGATCGTAATGGTCGGAATACAAATCCAGATCATATTATTTGTTTATATTTCAAAACCCACAAGACGTTAGTGGATGAAACGCAACAATTAAGAAATAAAGAAACAAAAATATTTCGCTAATGTTTCAATATTAAAAATAATTATAAAATAACAGTTTCTGTATGATTGTTGCTTAAGATTATAATTTTTTTTATAGTCTGAAAATTACAAGAGTATACAATTTTATATATTTTTTTTATAATTAAATAAACTATACATTTACATACGAAGCAGATTAACTCAAATGCTGTTTTCCTTAAGGTCATTAAAACAAATATTTCAGCAATAACTTTGTTCCCATACAGCAGGACATTTCTGAACAAAAACGAACAAACTTCCTGCAACCGAATACAAAAATATGACATTTGCAATCATCCATAATTCCTCTCATTTTCCATCATCATCATCGTCGTGTCTATTATTGTGAATGCAATTATTAAAAGTCAACACTACAAAAAAACACTTTGGTATTTGCTTGCAACTCAGTTGGTGGCTGATTGGTCGTCGTTCAGCCATAAAAAGGAAATCAATTTAAAGTTCACACTGAAACGTGTGAAAAAAATGGGAAACAAAGGTGAAAAGGCTAACAAACAAAAAATAAAAACAAAGCCAATATAGAAAGGAACAGCAATCAAATGCAATTAATTTCAACAATATCGATATGCAGTTATATGGCCTCTAACGAAGGGTAGTTAAAATATGATTTATTGCCATTGATTCGAAGTGTAATTATAATCCTTGGGAAGGATATTGTGTGAAATTAAAGTATGTTATGTCATTTTGATTATTAGTGCCATGTCATAATTCATAATTGCCATCATCCCTTAAAAATTGTCATTTGGCTCCAGTGTGCAAATATCATTGGATAGGCTAAAAGGTCGCTATGGACGAAATCCGTTTCAAGACATTTGGAGTCGGACCGGTGTATGTCTGTCTGGTGTGCACGACATCTCTTATAGTCCAGACTTGTTATATCGTAGTATTATTATGAAAGTTAGATTGAGCTTGGAGATGCGCAATATTGATCCACTCTTTTCACCATCTCCCCCACAAAAGGTCAACATTTCAAATAATTTACTTCATAACAAGTAAACAAGGAGCTAAGTTCGGCCGGGCCGAACTTTTTATACCATCCACAATTTGAAAGAAATTTGAAAAATTTCAAAAAAAAAAAAATCCGTCGAAAAGTACCCCTGAAATGAAAACCGATATATGGTGGCTATGCGAAGGCGTGGTCCTGCATAAGACATAAGCTGTAGTAACGATTAGTTATAGGCTGTGACAACGATTCCGAACTTCAAATGCGAAATTTGAAACAATTCCGGTGAATAATGTCGCTAATATCATCAAAATACCAAATAAAGGGGGGTAACGTTATATTTGGGCTTTACAAAGACATGGACCCGCATACACAATTTTCCTTCATAGGTTGTAGTACCCATTGCAAATTTTAAATACGAAATTTGAAAAAAAAACCGTTAATAATGTTGCTAAAATCATCAAAATTTCGAATATCGGGAGATATTGTTATATGAGGGCTATACGAAGACCTGAATCTATATACAATTTTTCGTCATAGGTTGAAATGCCTATTACAAACTTAAATTAAGACATTTGAAACAATTGTGGTAAATAATGTCGCAAAAATCATAAAAACACCGAATATCTGAGGGTATTGTTTTATGGGTGATTTACAAAAACGTGAACCTATGTAGACAATTCTCTTCCAGGGGGGAATGTACTCACAAGGAACTCCTATTGTGGAAATTAGGACAATTCCATCGAAAAATTACCATTATATGGGGCTATATCCACTCTTCTAGGGGATAGAGTACTCGCAAGAAACTCTTTTTTGTGGCTAAAATCATCAAAATGCCAAATATCGGGAGGTACCGTTATATTGGGGCTATACGAAGACGTGGACTTGTGAAGACAATTTTCTGTCTTACGCTGTATCATCAAATTACCAAATATCGGGAGGTACCTTTATATGGGACCTGGATCTGCACAGACAATTTTCTGTCAGAGGCTGTAGTATTCATTACGAACTTCGAATACAAAATATGAAACAATTCCGGTGGATAATGTCGCGAAAATCATCAAAGCTATATCAAAGCTATACGAAGACGTGGACCTGCACAGACAATTTTCTGCCTTAGGCTGTAGTATTCATTTCGAACTTAAAATACCAAATTTGAAACAATTCCAGCGAATAATGTGGCCAAAATCAATAAAACACCGAATATCGGGAGGTACCGTTATATGGGGGCTATGCGAAGACGTGGACCCGCACAGAAAATTTTCTGTCTTAGACTGTAGTATCCATTACGAACTTTAAATAAGAAATTTGTAACAATTCCGGAGAATAATGTCGCCAAAATCAACAAAGTACCGAATATCGGGAGGTATCCATTTCGAACTTAAATAACCAATTTGAAACGATTTCGGTGAATAATGTTGCTAAAATAATCAAAATACCGAATATCGGGAAGTACCGTTATATGAGGACAATACCAAAACGTGGATCTACATGGCCCATTTTCAATACCAAAAGTCCTGCAAATATAATATACATTTGAGTAAAATTTTATTAATATCAATTACTTCGTTCGGAAGCTAGAGTGATTTCCACAGATGGATAGACGGACTGACCCCAAAATTTGCACCCCTATATTTTTACATATATTTCGCAATATAGCGATATAGGATATAGCGTTTGGAATATTCGCCTTGTAAGGATTGCTCCAATTTCAAATATTATTATTATCGCTAAATGTTGACGTTTTGAGTTCTTGTAATGTAGAAACGCTATTTACAGAAAACATTTTGTTACGGCCCTTATTAGAAGAGGGAACTTGTCCGTTTATTTAGGTTACTTTGCGGTGTAAACTTTCAAAGTGTTGATACACATGTCTTCTTTTTCAGCTCTACTTTCGTAATCTGTCGAATTTTCCCCACAATTATTTTTTGTGTTGTACAGTGTAATCAACCATAAAAAAATCACTTTGAATAGCTTTACCTTCTCAAATGAGGATTGTTGATAAGATATGTTCACAACGTGACAAAAAATGTCTCATTCAATTCAGATGGTGTTAAAAATGTATTTGGAAATATTTTCAAAATATGCACAATATCATCAATAATACAAAAAACATATTTGCATTAGAAAAGAAGTAACACTCGTTCACACAATTAACTGGTCTACGGCCGGCCATAATGCTTCTAAACAAAACAATAAAATTAATATGCAAATATTGAAAAAAAAAAAAAAACTTAGAAATGCATTGAAACTTAACAGAACTAGTGAACAATTTATGACATTTGCCATAGCTATCTTTTTGCAGCGATCGAGCCAAATTAAATTAGTTGAAAAACTAGATTGAAAAAAAGACAAAAGATGTTTTTTATATTACTTCTCAATAAAGGTGAATTAATTAAATTTATCTGTCATTTTCTACTACTGCTGCTGCTGCTGCGGAGTGTTGTTGGCTTACTTTCTACCAATGTTCCCTATACTCTATTGACAAAATTATTATTTTGCAATAAACTTTAGGATAATTCAATTTTTAATTAAATATTTAAATTTCTCTTTTGTTTGTCGCCCAGTGAAATGAATATAATACATCAAGAACACAGCATGGCCTCTAATGATCTTGAGGGTTACCTCAGCAATCCAATAAATTCATATCGTCTGATAAAACGTCTCTTTACCGATTGGCCCACATTTGAAGACACCATTGCAATGGACACGACACGTACAGGTAAGTAAACAGACCAAGTGGCCCAGGTGGTAAACAAAATGTAATGAATATTTTCTTTAACAACAGCATGACATACGACATGTCTGTATGTACCATGCATATGTACTACATTCAATTGCCGTTATGCAAATCATGTACAATGGGGTGACATATGGAAAGTTGAAAAAAGATATGCTAGTGAGAGAGATGCATTAATGGATTAATAACATATAGTATATAATTTCTGTATGTGAAGTAGGCGCATATGTGAGATTTTTAATGTTATGTACAGGGTTGCCCATATTCGACGGACCCATGACTCTTTGGGGCCATTCCAATCGACGAGGCTTGTCCGCAGGCAACATTTTTTGCGTCAATTGAATTTTGTACGGAAACAAATGCAAATCAATGCGAATAATCCGTTGTAAAGTGGACCGAGCCATGCCCAACTGCTGAGAACGGCGTTTTTGGGATGTTCTTGGGGATCTCTCAACACTGGCTCGTACGGCAGCGATATTCTCGGCCGATCGCCTTGGTCGACTTTTATATGTCCTCTTCGGATTAGAAAGAGCCTTACCAGTCGAAAATTTTTCGTATAAACACTTAATTGTGTTAGAAGGCGCACTTCTCACATTTTTTAATGTTTAAAAAGCATGTTGAGTTTTCACAATTGCCTTCTTCTGTTGAATGTAAATTTCAACTATTTCGTGTGGCGTGTATTGATTCATGGTAAAAATCTGCTTGGACTGACGCTTCAAACGCGGTATGTCATTAAGCGATGTGACATCTCTGTCAAAAGTTATGGCGTTGCCAGATGGGTCCGTCGAATATGGACAACCCTGTATATTTTCCACATTTTTCATTTTTCGGAAAGAATAATAGGAAATAAAAAATTCAACGTGTTCATGTGTAAACCTTACACACCGACCTCAATGTCAATTTTCAGAATTTCAGGTCTATCCCTTCACTCAACGATTCATTTTATGGCATTTTACACTTTTCGTCCAAAACCACCTTCATGTCTAAACCACAGTCATTAATAGTGACATCTATATCAAATTTTAGGATTTAAACTTTCAGGATTTCATTTCAGTACTTTATGTATAATTTTAGTACACATTTCCAAAACCATATCTTTATTCCAGAAACCAACAAATAGACTTCAATATCAATTTTCAAAATTTCAGCTCTATTTCAGCATCCAATACCAAATTTGGTACTATTTATATCCAAAACGACGCCCATATCTTTGTACACATATCCAAAACGACGCCCATATCTTTGCAACAGACACCATCAGTGACGTCTATATCGAATTTCAAGAGTTTATCTCTTCACCTTTCGTACAATTATAGTACTATTTCCCAAACCCACCTCCATATCTCAACTCCAAATACCACATTAATATCAAATTTGAAAATTCCAGTGCTATGTCTTCACCCACTACCAAATTTAGTACCATTTAGTACTTTTCGTAAAAATATAGGACGCCTTTCCAAACCAGTGTCAAATCTCAGACACGGATACCATATGTAATCTATATATCAAATTTCAGAATTTTATCACTATCCCTTCACCCACTACCAAATTTAGTACCATTTGGTACTTTTCGTAAAAATATAGGACGCATTTCCAAACCAGTGCCAAATCTCAGACACGGATACCATATGTAATCTATATATCAAATTTCAGAATTTTATCACTATCCCTTCACCCAATACCAAATAGAGTACCATTGGGTACTTTTCGTATAGTACACATTTATAGTACACATTTCTAATCCCACCTCCATATATCAATTCCAGATACCAACAGAGACCTCAATGTTAAACTTGAGGATTCCAGCTATATCCCTTTATCCAATACCAAATTTAGTACCATTTTCTTTTTGAACAATTATAGTATGTATTTCCAAACCCCAAATATCATCGGATATCACCCAATACCAAAAATAGTAAAATTCAATATTATTGTAAACATGTCTGAAATCACCTCCATATGTCCATATGTCCACATGACCCTAATACCAAATTTCAGATTTCAAGCACTATCTGTTCACCCAATATCAAGTAGTACCAAATATAGTACTATGTAGTGGTACTAGTTGTACACATTTCCAAAACCACCTCTTTACCACAGCCTACTACCAACAAGGACCCAAATACCAAAAATTCGAAGTTTCATCTTCGTCCGTTCACCCAAAACCTAATTGTTCCAAATTTGATACCATTTAGTACAGTTAGCATCCTTCGTACCCATTTCGAAAACCACCTTCATATATTGAACTTTCTTTCCAACCTTTATTCTTATACCAGATTTTAAGTTTTTACCTCTATCACTTCACATAATACCAAATAGTGCAATTTTAGAAGTTCAGTACCGTTTTAGATATTTTCGTAACCTTACAGTTCGGATTTCCAAAAACCCTTTGATACATCTATCATGTACTCTATCAGTGACTCTCCTTCCAAATTTCAGCTCATTCAATTTGTCCAATACAAAGTATTTAATTTTTAGTACTTTTCGTAGCCTTTTAGTACGACTATCAATCACAAACCTTCGCACCAAGACTGACCTTCGTGCAAAATTTCAAGATTCTAGTTTCAGCCGTTTCCGATTGCCTAGTTACGATCCTCAATGGGGTGATACAATGGGGCTACAACTAGCTCCCATAAATACACTTCGTCCGTTTCGATTTGAGTCCAAAAGCCTAAATATGAACTCATAACTATGACATTTTGTCCAATATTTCAGATACAGCGTTAAAATACTTCTGCCAATTTTTGTGGAGATCAGTTCAGATTTAGATATATAGCTTTCATATATATCTTTGTCCGATTCGAAATTTATTTACTTAGAACAATAATATTTCTTAGACAGATACAGGGTGAGATAAAGAAACTGCAACAAAGTCAAACGCCATAACTTTTAAATTTTATTGAATTAAAGCAAAAAATGTCCGAAATAGCATCAAGTTTTATAATAAGTTTAGATTTGTTCGAATTGGTCACCTTTTGCCCGAATTATGGCCTTCAAACAGTCAATAAAACCATCACACGCTGCCCGAATGGTCATTCCCGGTAAAGCGCTTGCTTGAGGTGATCGACACTTTGGTGTGTTTTAGTGCCAACCTTGCTTTCCAAAATACTCAAGACAAAATAGTCGGATTGGTATCCGGAGATTTTGGTGGCCATTGTGTGCTGGAAATTAAGCGAGGAACATGATTTTGTAACCATTCTTGGGCGGTGCGTGCTGAGTGCGGTGGTGCTGAGTCCTGTTGGAATGTCCAAAGTCTGCGACCAAAATGTTTGCGTGCTCACAAGTCGAACTAGTGGTTTAGAAATAACAGCAGTCTGAAGTTGGTTGCAGTTTTTTCATCTCATCCCGTATATGTATTTCAACCAATTTTACTATAAAACCCTCAAAGCCATATTTTCCACATAAATTCTGCCAAGTTTGGACCTAAGTGATTCAGATATAGCTATAGCTTCCAAATATATGCTTCAACCGATTTTATCTAAAGAGAAAAATATCTCTGCCAAATAAGTAGGTACGTCACGCCCTTTGGTAACAATTTGACAGCATATGGAGCAATTTCTTTGACAAAGACACAGCCACGCATACGATTTATATCTTTCCAATCGCAATAGAATAATAGTAACATATTTAAAGCTACAAACATTTTTATACCCTCCACCATACTATGGAGGGTATATTAACTTTGTCATTCCGTTTGTAACTCCTCGAAATACTCACGTCAGACCCAACAAAGTATATATATTCTTAATCAGCGTAAAATTCTAAGTCGATTTAGCGATGTCTGACTGTCCGTCTGTCTGTTGTAATAACGCTATCTTTCGAACGAATTGAGATAGAAGGCTAAAATTTGGCAAACATGTTTATTTTTCCAGTAGGCAGGTTAAGTTCGTAAATGGGCCATATAGGTCCACGCCCCTTATAGCCCCCATATAACGGTACCTCCCGAGATTCGGTATTTTGATGATTTTAGCGACATTATTAACCGGAATTGTTTCAAATTTGGTGTTTGAAGTTCGAAATGGATACTACAGCCTTAGACAGAAAATTGTCTGTGCAGGTCCACGTCTTCATATAGCCCCCATATAACGGTACCACCTGCTATTCGGTTTTTTGAGGATTTTAGTGACATTATTCACCAGAATTGTTTCAAATTTAATATTTGAAGTTCCAAAGGGATATTACAGCCTAAGACAGAAAATTGTCTGTGCAGGTCTACGTCTTCATATATCCCCCATATAACGGTACTTCCCGATATTCGGTATTTTGATGATTTTAGCGACATTATTCACCAGAATTGTTTCAAATTTAATATTTGAAGTTCCAAAGGGATATTACAGCCTAAGACAGAAAATTGTCTGTGCAGGTCTACGTCTTCATATATCCACCATATAACGGTACTTCCCGATATTCGGTATTTTGATGATTTTAGCGACATTATTAACCGGAATTGTTTCAAATTTGGTATTTAAAGTTCATAATGGATTCTACAGCCTACGACAGAAAATTGTCTATGCAGGCCCACGTCTTCGTATAGCCCCCATATAACGGTACCTCCCAATATTCGGTATTTGGATGATTTTATCGTCATTGTTCACCGGAATTGTTTCAAATTACGTATTTAGAATACGTAATGGGATCTACAGTCTGTGACAGAAAATTGTCTGTGCAGGTCCAGGTTTTCGTATAGGCCCCATATATCAGTACCTCCCTATATTCGGTATTTTGACGAGTTTAGGTACAATACCCACCGAAATTATTTGAGATGTCGTATTTGAACTTCGTAATGGACAGAACATTTTACCGTTCACCGTTTATTTCAAGCTTTCGAATTTGAATATGGTAATGGCTTATGACAAACAATGCCTATGTAGGTCCACGTCGTATAGACCCCAATAAAACATCTATATTCGGTATTTTTTAAATTTAAACAGAATTTGTTAAGGATTTTATTTTTTGAAAATGGTGGAGGGTATTAAAAGTTCGGCCCGGCCGAACTTACTGCTTTTTAACTTGTTATAGTTTCAGAATGTATCGAAAGTAGGCTGGAAGCAAATATTTAAATATCTAGCTCTGCTCGATAATCTCACACTAATGCACAATATTTATTACCTTTTGGTAATTTTCGAACATTTAATACGAATGTTCAATACTTTTCTGTGTGTTTCATTTTATCATTATTAGGGATGAAGCCAATTAGCAAATTTCCACAGTTGTGCACTTACAACTTTTAGGTACTATTTGGTACAATTTAACATACAAAATTTTAAAATTCAAGCTTTAACCGTCATCACTATATTACTTTTATAAACAATTTAGATAAATGTTACGATTAATACATTTTCAATGATATCTTTTCACCCCACTGTGCATTTCGGCACACCGACAAACATCATTTTTCTTATCAACATCATCAACATCATCCGTAACATTGTCATTTTGGTTTTCTAGACTTTCTCGGCAACTTTGAGACACTCAAACAAAACTTAAGTTTTCCCACACAAATTGATATGACCGGATCAACAATGGCGCTGGTACGCCTGCAGGAGACATATAGATTAGATGTCGAACAAGTGGCCAGTGGTATCCTCAATGGAAATAAATATGGGTATGTTAGACATCTACATACATGACACATACACATACATATGTGGCTTACATGTGTTTTTAATTTTTAATAATTTATTAAACAAAAAATAGTTCTGGCATGACGTGGCAAGATTGTTATGCGATTGGTGAATATTTATATGCTATGAAAGATTATAATCATACGATACCGTGGTTTAAGCAAACAACAAAAATACTACAAGCCGACGCATATCTCAGCGAAATGGATGGTTTTCTGGACTTTATGGAAAATTTGGTGGAATATTATCGTACCATGGGTAAGAAATTTGGTCTTTTTTTTTTTGAAAACGTAGAAACGTTTTCAAAATAATATTAAAATTAATAAAATTTATTTTTTTCCATCAGGTGAATATGAATCAGCATTGGACCTATTAGATTATATCTTGGAAAGGAATCCTCAGCGTGAACATATTCGGGAAAAACGAGTTGAATTGGAGCATAAAATGAAAACAGCTGCTGATGAGGTGCCTTTGGAAAAACCTGTTATTGAGAGTGAATATTATGTAAGTATAATATTGCAGATGTCGGTATTGGCAATTCGACAGAATTTATATCGTTACAAGTTAAAAAGCAGTATGTTCGGCCGGGCCGAACTTTGAATACCCTCCACCATTTGGAACGAATTAGAAAATTTTCAAAAAATAAAATCCATTAAATATATCTAATATCGGAAGGTGCCGATATATGGGGGGATATACGATATTGTGGACCTATATAGATAATTCTCTTCCGAGGTAAATACCGCATATCGGAGGGTACCGTTGTATGGGGGCTATACGACTCCTTGTGTGGATTATCAGACAATTTCGTTGAAAAATGTGGTTAAAATCATCAAAATACCGTTTATCGGAGGGTACCGTTATATGGGGGCTATACGATATCGTGGACCTATATAGAAAATTCTCCTCCGAGGTATAAAGTACCCACAAGGTACTCCTTGTGTGGATTTTTAGACAACTCCGGTGAAAAATGTGGGTAAAATCATAAAAATACCGAATATCGGGGGGTACCATTATATGGGGGCTATACGATATAGTGGACCTATATAGATAATACTCTTCCAAGGGATAAAGTACCCACAAGGAACTCCTTGTGTGGATTATCAGATATTTCCGTTGAAAAATGTGGCTAAAATCATTAAAATTCCGAATATCGGAGGGTACCGTTATATGGGGGCTATACGATATCGTAGACCTATATAGAAAATTCTCCTCCGAGGTATAAAGTACCCACAAGGTACTCCTTGTGTGGATTTTTCGGACAATTCCGTTGAAAAGATTTGCTAAAATACTCAAAATACCGTATATCGGATGGTACCGTTATATGCGGGGGTATACGATATCGTGGACCTATATTGATAATTCTCTTCCAAGGGGTAATCTACCCACAAGGAACTCCTTGTGTGGATTATCAAACAATTCCGTTGAAAAATTTGGCTAAAATCATCAAAATGCCGAATATCGGAGGGTACCGTTATATGGGGGCTATACGATATCGTGAACCTATATAGAAAATTCTCTTCCGAGGTATAAAGTACCCACAAGGTACTCCTCGTGTGGATTTTCAGACAATTCCGATATGTGGCTAAAATCATCAAAATACCGAATATCGGAGGGTACCGTTATATGCGGGGGTATACGATATCGTGGACCTATATAGATAATTCTCTTCCAAGGTATAAAGTACCCCCTAGGGACTCCTTTTGTGGAATTTCAGACAATTCCATTGATAAATGTGGCTAACATCATCAAAATACCGAATATCGGGGGGTACCGTTATATGGGGGCTATACCATATCGTGGACCGATATAGCCCATGTTCAAACTTGACCAGCCTGCAGACAAAAGAGCGATCTGTGCAAAATTTTAGCTTCCTATCTCAATCCGTTTAGACTGTTGTGTGATAACAACAGACGGACAAACTGACGGACAGGGCTAAATCGTCTTTGAATTTTACGCTAAATGATTATTTCATTGAGTTACAAACGGAATGACGAACTTAATATACCCTCCATATTATGTATGGTGGAGAGTGTAAAAACTAATAAGGAGGATAAAGACAAATGCGGGTTAGTATTTTACAAGTAACAATTGTACACTTTTTGATTGGAAAACAAGTTAAAAAGTATCAATCGGTTCTGCCGATAGACGTATACCCTCAGCCAATGTTCATCTAACACAGATAAAAATATTGGTATGGGCGAAATTACAAGAAAATCAAACATTATTTCATACATCTCAGGTCTCTAGTTAAGAGAGATATATTTATATATAGGAAGATGCAAAGAATCGCTGACTTTTTTCGCAAGTTATGACGGATATGACCCTTTGTGGGTGAGGTACCAGAAGGGGTTCGCAAAAATATATCATTTACACAACAGATCTTGTATTAGCAAAACTGTGTGAAATTTGAAGAGAGTTTAAAGTTTATTTCGTTTCTTTGAGCGTTTTGTTGTTCAAAATTTGAACCAAATATGGGGCAGGTAGCGAAGGAAATGGCCCGATCTCTACCATCTTTATAATACATCTTGTTTTCATTGAAATATTGAGATGTACCAAGTCTGGAATGTAATCGGATGTTAATTTAGCTTCTAATGAGTTTCATGGATATTAAAAATGTTGAGCCTTTGTGGGGGAGGTACCAGAAGGAGTAGACCGATATGTCGCATCTTCAAAACAGATGTTTTGTTAGTAGAAATAATGGGATGTGTGAAATACATATAAAGAGAACCTGATGCTTATTTCGTATTTTATAAATGTTTTAGTTATTCAAAACTATAACCCTTTGTGTCAGATCCCTACCGTTTTTATAACAGGTCCTGCGTTGATAGAAATATTCAGATATGCCAAGTCTAAATGGAATCGGATGTTAATTTCGCATCTTATGAGCTTAATGGGTATTAAAAAATTTCGACCTTTTGTAGGTGAGGTAGCAAAAGGAGTGGACCGATATATTCCATCTTAACACCAGATCTTGGGTTTATAAAAATATTAGGAGGTGTAAAATTTGAAGACAATCTGACTCTTAAATCACCCTTTGTTGACCCTTTGTGGGAGAGACATCATGAAGTGGACCGATATTATCCATTTTTTGCGCCTGACTTGGAACTGACGTAAATATTAGGATTTGTAAAGTTTCCCTTCTGTGCAAAAAATATATTTTTCGAAAATTTTGACTTTTTGTGGGGGAGGTACCAGAAGGAGTGGAACGATATTGCTTATCTCCGAACTCGATCTAAGTTTGACAAAAATATTACGATGTACTAAGTTTGAATTAAATCGGATACTCCATTCGATAGTTATCGTGTACAGCAACCAGCCAGACAAGCGGACGGTCGGATAGCTATATCTACTCCAAATGTCCCGAAACGGATTTGGTCCAAAGAGACCTAGGGTCTAATATCGCCATTTCGATTAGGCACGTTTGAAATTTTGACCCTTTGTGGGGGAGACACATCATGAAGTGGACCGATATTATCCATTTTTTGCGCCTGACTTAGAACTGACGTCAATATTAGGATTTGTAAAGTTTCCCTTCTGTGCAAAAAAAATATATTTTTCGAAAATTTCGACTTTTTGTGGGGGAGGTACCAGAAGGATATTGCCCATCTCCGAACTCGATCTAAATTTGACAAAAATATTACGATGTACCAAGTTTGTATTAAATCGGATACTCCCTTCGATAGTTATCGTGCGCAGCAGCCAGCCAGACAAGCGGACGGACGGACATAGCTAGATCTACTCCAAATGTTCTGAAACGGATTTGGTCCAAAGAGACCTAGGGTCTAAGATCGCCATTTCGATTAGGCACGTTTTGGCCGTATCAAATGATACATGCCCTCTCTAGCCATATGGCTGAGGGTATAACCATAGACAAATGAAAATATAGACAATGAAATGCTCTCACCGTTTATCTTCGAAAAAAATCGAATCAGCAGATGTCGTTCATATCGTTTCAGGGGTTTGAGTGGGAAGTCACTCAATTCCAAAACGTTAAAAATAACAAAAACTGTAAAATATTTGTCAGTTGAAAATTATTTCATAATAAAAGAAATGTGAAAAGTACGTGATGACATCGAAAAATATAGGAATATTCCAGTGAAATTCTTGAAAAACGATAAAATGTGTTTTCGAAGTCGAGTGGCTTGAACGCGTAAATCATCATGTTGACTATGCAAAACATGATGAGAGCCACCTGGAAAAAAAAACTAACTTTTCGTTGTCTATATTTTCATTTGTCTATGGTATAACTAGCCATAATAAGGGATAATAAACAGGAATTCTAAATACTGTCTTGAAGTACTCAAGTCAAATAGTCAAAAACGTTTTAGTATGCTCGTATTCCAAAAAATTTCAACTGTGTTAGTTCGTATCATTTCATTTCAGCTTTATAGGTTAGTATGTTAAGTTTCCTTTTGTACCTTTATCCCAATACAAAACACCATAGGTAAAGAAATCCACCAATATCATGATAACAACTTCGCTCTATACACTAATTGTGTTTTACGTTTTTACGGCGTCCTGTATGGTCCTCTTTTTGATTCTAAAATATGGAATTATAATCTTAATATACCCTTAGTGGCTGACTTTCTGGACTTTATTATATATTTTAAACTGGTGTTTATACAAATATTAGTAATAAAGTTACACTGCCAACAATTTGAAAACTAACATCGAACGTATGTTTAGACATGTAAAAATATTTTCCATTTTCCCAAAGTAGCGGGCTATTGCTTAAAGGAAGAAAATATTTTAAATATATAATCCATATTTGAAATAATTCGTTTCATTTCAGAAAACCAGAGAATTTAAACAATTCGAAAGTATCTGTCGTGGTGATTATGAGGACGACTTTAGGCCTGAGCAAAAAGCGCTCTTTTGTAAATATTTTACCAACAATCATCCATATCGTCTTCTGCAACCATACAAGGTGGAACAGCTTTCACTGGATCCATATATTATTCAGGTTTATGATGTGCTCACAGATGAAGAAATCAAGACCGTTAAAAGTATTGCTAAGCCCCATATGGAGAGATCAAAAGTTTTCAATTTAGAGACCGATGAACATGAAGATTCTGAAACACGGACCAGCCATACGGCATGGATGAAATACTATGCAGATGAAGTATTTGGACGAATGTTGCAACATGTCCAGGATATATCTGGATTGGATTATACCAATGCCGAGGATATGCAAATTGTCAACTATGGATTGGGTGGTCATTATGGACCGCATTTTGATTTTTTCACCGTAAATATATATTGGAATGAAGAGGTCATGGAAACCATGAAATAAAATCTTGATTATCTTTTTTAAAGGAATCTTCTTGGTTTACTCCCGAAGATGGTAATCGCATCACAACTGCCATGTTTTATGTATGTAAAATTTGCCATTTTTCAATTTTTTTGATAACAATCGAGTTCCCCTTTACTTCCAGCTATCTGATGTTGAAGAAGGCGGTGGCACTGGTTTTACTTTCCTCAAACTGTTGGTGAAACCGCGCAAGGGTTCTTTGCTCTTTTGGTATAACTTACATGCCTCCGGCGACGAGGATTATCGCTCTAATCATGGTGCTTGTCCAGTTTTAAAGGGTTCCAAATGGAGTAAGTTCGAATTTCATGATACAAGTTTAAAGAATGTAAAAATTATAATATTTTATTATTTTTTTCAGTTGCCAACATTTGGGTCAGAGAACGTGATCAGTTCTTAACCAAACCATGTGATCTCACAACCAACCATGAAGTATCCTTAATTTATAAAGAATTATTTTAGATTTAATACCTTAATTTATTTAAAAAATTGCAACCAATTTGTTTTAATTTTTCGCAAACGTACTTGGAAACAACTAAGCAAAGACTGTAGTCGGGCGGGTCGGCAATTTGAAACCCTACAACACTACAATTTGCGGTAAAGTTTCTGCAGATCTGAATCCGCTTTGACTAAAATGAAGATTCCCCAAAGAAACATCCCCATATCTACTACGTAATAAAAGCAAATCTCTTTTGGAACCTATATTTTCCAAAAACAAACAATCTCTAAAAAAGCATCGGTATTTTACGAAGCAGATGTTCCTACTACGTCAAATACTTAATTAGCTGTTTCGGAAAGAATAGAAATTTCAAATTCATGTATTTGTGATTTCACCTATTTTGGTTTTTTTTTTTTTTTACACAAAACAAATTCCATATATTTGTCCCTAGTTGAAAACTGCAAGGCGACTGCAAAATCTAGCCAATTTTTTATATTCTCCACCATTTTATGGAGGGTATAGGGTGAGATACAAAGTATATACAGGGTGAGATGAAAAAATTGCAACCAACTTTAGACTGCTGTCGTTTGTAAGCGACTTGTCCGACAGCTGTTAAAATTATTCCAGTGACAGCTCATTATATTGTTTACAAGCGTACAAAACCATTTTGGTGAGAATTTTCCAGAAAAACCCAGTAAAGAAAGTCTTAAAGTCGGTCGGGGCCGACTTTATGATACCCTACACCACTTTCCTAATTTAGTAGAGCTGCGCAAAACAATTTAAAGTTTTTATGGGGGAATTCAATCATACACGCTATGATTATAATTATAATTTAAAGTTCAAAAGGCTAAATATGCCGAAGCATTTTTATCTTTTAAATTCGGACTTGTATTACCCATTTAATTTGAAATCGGATAAACATATATATGGGAGCTATATCCAAATCGGAACCGACCTCGATAAAATTTGGCAAAGATATTTCTGAGCTGTATTTGATATATTTCCTTGAATATCGTTGTTACGGAGTGCATATTACGGCTGTGGGTAACAAATATGACAAATCGGATGAACAGTATATATGGGAGCTATTGCTATAACTGAACCGATCTTCACCAAATTTAACACACAAGCTTCTAGACTCAATTCGGTTGTAATTGCCAAATTTCATCCAATTAGGCAAATAATTATTATGTAAATAAAATTAAATCGGACGAAGTTATATATGGGAGATATATCCAAATCTGAACCGACCTCGATAAAATTTAGCAAATGTATTTCTGAGATGTATTTGATATATTTCCCTAAATATTGTTGTTACAGAGTGCATATTACGGCTGCGGAGGACAAAAATAACAAATCGGATGAACAATATATATGGGAGCTATAGCTATATCTGAACCGATCTCGATCAAATTTGGCGTACTAGACATAGGTCCAATCTGATCGTACGTGGAAAATTCCATACTATTCGGACTGATATTACACGTTTGGTGCACAATAAAAGGCAAATCGGACGAAGATATATATGGGAGCTATATCTAAATTTTGACCGATTATCTCCAATTTCAATAGGGTTCGTCCTTGGGCCAAACAAATGATCTGTGCAAAATTTCATCTGGATAGGGCGATAAATGCGATCTGTACTTTGTTTACAAAAATGCAAGGACAGACGGACAGACAGACGGACGGACGGAAGGACATGCATAAATCGACTCCGAATGTGATTCTATGCAGATCATCAAGAGGAACTATGGGTCTATCTCGTTTCCTTTTGCCTGTTACAAACAAATGCACAAAGACATAATACCCTGACCACCTTGTGGTGTAGGGTATAAAAAGTAATTCGTGATGAAATTTATGCGTGATAGTGTGGTTTCTTTATATTTGGCTGGAAAGCCACAAGTGGCTACCGTTAGAGTACTTCAGCATTCAAATGTGAATTAATCTTTTGTGTCTCGTACCATCGCTCTTTACCGATGGTCGCTTTCCGCTCATATTCATCGACCATGGCATCAGAATAAATGCCGAATACTATCCCAAAAATATTCTGAAGGGTGTATTAAAGCCGTGGGCACGCAAACATTTTGGCCGCAGACCTTGGACATTCCAAAAGGACTCAGGACCATCGCACTCCCAAGAATGACAATGGCTCTAAGTAGAGCGGGAGCACTACATGGATTAGGAAAAACAAATCAAGATAACTCTTTTTCTCGGTTTCACTCGAATAAGGCTTTGTTGGTTTAAGAGTGTGAGTAAAATTCATTCGAAAACCAACAGATTCTACTCTTGTCGAGCACTCTTTTAGTTTTTGTCAAACTGTTGTTGTTGTTGTATTCCCATATATGTGTCATGAACAATGCATGTGACAATGTTGCTGCTTTTATACAAAATCTACCGGTCCCTTGATTCTAATGTTTTCTCTTCTTTGATTTTGTGCACGATCACCCCTTTTCCAACAATTCAAAGCAACATCAAAACAGATTGACTGTTGCACACATACGCAGACACACATCAGCATAACAGAACCTTTTTTTTTCACCGATTCTGCTCCCACTCTAATTTTTCAAACAAGAGTGATTCAGGAGCGCTCCCACAGAAAACAAAAGAGAAACAAGTAATCTCTGTATAGAACTCCCTCTCTTCGTGCAATCTCGCTCACTAGCAAGATTCACTTCCGAGTGAATACGAGCTAATCTGTGCTCTGAGTATGTCAGTTCTTACCCTCGCAGACTGTCCGTATTTACATCGGTTCAAATGGAATCACTTTATACTGAATTTAGAGCTGGTTCCAAAATATGAAGTTCTGAACCAACATTATAATTAAACAAAATCAAATAAAAAATAGTTTTTTAGCTAAAATTAAAATTTTATATTTTGGTCTATTTTATTTGTTTTTATATTTATTTACATAGAATTTACACATTTTTACCAAATTATTTCAAAGCATCGTTTGTTAAACCGCATGGTCTTGCGACGTCCTGATATCCGGAATGTGTCCATATATTAGCAACTGTAAATAAAATGTATTAACATAACTAAAAACTTACTCTATAAAGTGCATAACTTACTGCGCTTGGTACCCTTAACAACTGGACATCCAGCATGCAAAGTTCGAATATCAGGCTGAACTGATCTATGCAGATTGGGCCACATTACCATTGAGCCCTTGATGGGCTTCAAATATACATTTAGTTCTGGAAATATGGTATAACCACCTTGAATGACATCGGAGAGCTACGCAGGGGAGACAAAAACGAAACAGAATATTAAAAATAAATATATATTCCTAATTAACCAATTAAAAATTCCAAATACGGAGGCGAAGTCCCATTATCAATGGGGTTTAATCTACTGATCTAAGAAAATTCCACAGGAGAAAAAAATCTGAAAGTGTCCCAATATTAGGGGGCGAAACCAATGCGTAGACTTATATAATATTAAATTACAGTGAGAGATGAAAAAACTACAACAATCTTCAGACTGCTGTCATTTCTAAGCCACTCGTCCGGCAGCTGTTAAAATTATTCCAGTGACAGCTCATTATATTGTTTACAAGCGTACAAAAGCATTTTGGTGAGAATTTTCTAGGAAAAAATTATTCGTGATGGAATTCAATCGTGATAGTGTGAGTTCTTTATATTTGGCTGGAATACCACAAGTGGCTATCGTTAGAGCACTCCAGCATTTAAATGTGAATAAATCGTTTGTTTCTCGTACCATGGCTCGTTACCGTGATACTGGTAGCGTAGCGCGACGTCATGGAAGTGGACGGAGGAAAACAGCAACATCAGCAGAGCTCTACATATCGCAATATTCCATTCGGCAAATTTTGAAAAACGAGCTCGGGGTAAAGCCATTGAAATTCCAAAACAGTGCAAGAACTTACACCGCAACAGAAAGAAAATAGACTCAAAATAGCTAAAGAGTTGCTTCGCTTGGCCGAAAGTGGTGAACTACCGAATTTGGTTTTCTCCGATGAGAAAACATTCGTTCTCCAGCAGTTTTTAAACAAACAAAATGATCGTGTTTACTTGCCAAAGAGATCAGCTGAAAATTTGCACCTTGGGTTGGCCACCAGAACTCAAGCGCTGGCCATGGTGATGGTGCGGGTCGCCATAACAGCCGATGGTCACTCTCCGCTCGTATTAATCGATCGATCAAAATAAATGCCGAATATTACCACGAAAATATTCTGGAGGGTGTATTAAAGCCTTGGACACGCAAACATTTCGGCCGCAGATCTTGGAAATTCCAACAGGACTCAGCACCCATCCTCATATAATAATTACAAAATAAGGTTCCACGCTTCATTTCCAGCGCATAATGGCCACCAAAATCTGCGGATACAAATCCGTTGGACTATTGTATCTGGAGTATTTTGGAAAGCAAGGTTAGCACTATAAAATACCAAAGTGTCGATCAACTCAAGCAAGCGCTTCACCGGGAATGAGCCAAAATACCGCAGAGCAACATTCGGGCAGCGTGTGACGGTTTAATTGGCCGTTTGAAGGCCATAATTCGTGCCAAAGGCGACCAATTCGAACAAATTTAATGTAAATGTACTTTCATTCAATAAAATTTATATAAAAACAATTAGTGCAGTTTTTTTATCTCACCCTGTATTGTAGTGTTGTTGGACATCACACAGTTGGCCCAGCTCGACTATAGCCTTTGCCTATTTGTTTAACAATTAATCTGGTATTTTCACAATTAACACATGACGCGAATAGACTTTTACGTTAAGGAGTGGACCAATATTTTTGGTTTTAGGATCTGAACAAAATCTGATATTGATATTACCGTGATCCACGTTTACCCCAAAATTCACAATACCAGTTCTATTGCTATAATTTATACCAAACTTGGTACAATTAAGTACTTTTCCAACATTAAAAAGTACCTTTTTTCCAAAATCAGTCCATTGTCTAAATCTTTTACATGTTTACCAAGCCGTTCCATCATTATACCTCTATTCCTACACTCTGTACCAAATTTAGCACTATTTAGCTCTTTTCGTACACGTTATAGTACGAAACTCTAAAAACAACCACTGTGCTCTTTATACCAAAATTAATTTAATTTCTATTCTAATACTCTTCAGCGACCATTTCACCCCATCCGTACCGTCCATCCGAATTTCAGAATTCTAGCTCTACCCGTTTGCCCTACCCTAGATTTTAGAACAATTTTTAGTACCTTTTATTACTTTTAGAGCATTTACAGTTCAAATTTCCCAAAACTGATCCTTATCTCACTCGTACCCACTTACATGACCCGAATGTAAAATTTCAAGATTCTATCTTACAAAATTCCAATATCCGACTTACATAGAACATATTGGTTGAAATTCTATCTCCGACAAGTCCAGCCAGAGTACGGCTTACCTACAAAGAATGCAATGAATTTAAAAATAAAAGAACCCAAAACAATGCACTTACATTCATATAATCATAGTGAGGTACATAGAGACCACCGATACCGTAATTGGCCACTTGCATCTTCTCAACATTTGTCATGTTGAAACCGGTTATGAGATGGACCATACGATACATATATGCTGCAGTGGGGGTATCTTCCGGACTCACCCAAGCCTGTTGACTGACACGTTTCTCGGTGACCTCATTTTCGTTAGGACCCCTTATAACTTCCGAGCGATAGAATTTTTTCGAAGCAAAATTGAATAAATTCGTAATTTGTTCATCACTCAGGAGATTATGATAGACTCTTATGTACGGGTCCATTAGCATCGGTTCAATTTGTAAAGGATTTAGAATGAAGAAGGGATGTGAGGATGAATCCAAGTGGCAGCTTAGTTGCGTTCTATTCAGAGATTTTCCCTGGCACAGCCTTGCGTAATTCCGATGGCGATCACTTTCTTTGAAGGGTATGTATTTTTGTTTTTCATCCATTAATCGGTTTAACATTTTCATTGTTAATTTTGAGGAATGTTGTGAGTCTTTTTCCGAAATACCATTCAAGTGCTGTTGTGCCTTTTGTTTGTCACCCAACGTATGATGTACTCGGGCAAAATGTTCCTTAATTTGTGTGGCAAAGTAGTCTTTAATCTCTTTGGCATCTTGACTGTTTTGTAATTTTCTGTCGGTTTGTTTAAGCCATTTTAAAGCCAAATCCATGCGGTTTTCATCAATCAATGTGGTAGCTATTTCGAGGCATTCCCTCCAAGTTAGAGGGTGGCTGAAAGAAAGGAACAAAAATAAATCATTGGTAGTGTACAAAACAGTAAACGTAGGCAAATTCTATGGTAACAACTATATGGTCACATAGAAGTAGCCTTGAAAATTGTTTCTACTACTTTAATATATATAAAATATATATAAATAAATCTATGTGATGGCACCAATGTTGCCCAAAATCCATTTTGAGTGAAAGTGGCGCCCAAGTGAAAAAAAAAATCCTTATAAAATGAATAAATTATGTCTCATGAATTCCAATTCGTGTGCCTATTCAGGCTATTTCCATACAAATTAAACGCTGGCATTTGCAAATAACACATAACTTATATTTTATAAACTTTGTGTTGTACTGTAATTCATATTAACGTCCTGCCAATTCACAATTCTCTTAAATTATACCCTACAATGCTGTCTTATTCCTTCTACTTTTAAAATAAACTCAAGCCAAAATGGTATTTCAAATTATCTTTATTGTATCATACTTTCAAACAATTTGCTCCACCTCTTCTTTTCTCTTTATCCTCCATCTATTTTCGAATGTTACCAACGAAAAATTTTTGTTATACATTTTCCGCTTCATTGATAAATTGTTAAATTTAATTTAAAATTAGTCTCCTCCCACCGCCCAACTTTTCAACTCACCCATATCCCTTGCCATTGGCCATATCATCTGCATCGATATCGTAGATATCCTGCAACCTGGCCAAACCGAGTACAGCTCCCTTCAGTTCATTTTCATCCGGTAATGATGAGTTTTTCCTTAATTGGGTCAACGAGTCCATAAGTTCTAAAAATGGAAGAGAGATGGGAGAAACAAAGTTATGTGTGAATGGGTAACATGTTTCTATTGCAGATACATACATACACATATGTATATAAGGGTTGAATGGTAAAATAACGACTGAAGAGAATTGTGTGTTTGTAGATACCACGAAAACGATGTTAGAGAGTACGTTGATATCGTTTTCTAGGATTGGAATAGGTTTTTTTTTCAAATCATTTAATGGGCGAAATTTGTCTCATCGGAAAACTGTTTATGGACCAAATGCGTGGTCCGTTCCTCTGTCTTGCTAGTGCACTTGATAACTGTAGATGGGTGTATCCAATTCAGCCAAACTTGGTACATCGTAATATTATTATCAACTATAAATCGACTTCGGAGATGAAAAATATCTGTCCACTCCTTCCGGTACATCCCCACAAAAGATCAAAATTTTCAAAGATAATAATTTACCTCGTGATAATAGAAAGTTCCGCTTAATTGTTTTCTATTTTTGCAAATTCTAATGATACAAATATCAGGACTAGGTGCGAAAAAGGACAATATTGGCCTACTTCTTCTGGTACCTTCCCCACAAACGGGGAAATTTTCGAATTCACGACATCTGACTTGTTTTTGAGCAAGCATTTTCCAAAATCAACGATTTTTGCATTTTCCTTTCTTTGTGATTTTTAAAAAGAAAATGCTTTATCGGGCAGGAATATGTATATGGAAGCTATATCCAAATCTGAACCGATCTAGTAAGAAGAAGAAGTCGGCTGAAAATGTGCACCTTCGGTTGGCCACCAGAACTCAAGCGCCGGACATGGTGATGGCGTTGGCCGCCAGAACAGCCGATGGTCACTCTCTGCTCGTATTAATCGACCGTAGCATCAGAATAACGTAGCCGAAAACTATCGCGAAAATATTCTGGAGGATGTATCAAAGCCTTGGGCACGCAAACATTTTGGCCGCAGACCTTGGATATTCCAACAGGAATCAGCACCATCCCAATCAGCACGCGCCACCCAAGAATGGTTACAAAATGATGTTCCTCGCTTCATTTCCAGCGCACAATGGTCACAAAAATCTCCGGATACCAATCCGTTGGATTATTGTGCCTGGAGTATTTTGGAAAACAAGGTTGGCACTAAAAAATACCAAAGTGTCGATCACCTCAAGCAAGCGCTTCGCCGGGAATGGGCCAAAATACCGCAGAGCAACGTTCGGGCAGCGTGTGACGGTTTCTAAAGGTAATGATACATAAAGCGCTTATCTAACTGGCTTAAGTCCTTGAAAAATTCTGTTACAATTGTAAAAAAACCGAATATAGCCGTTGTATATGGGGTCAATACGACGTGGACCTACTTAGGCATTGTTCGTCATAAGCCATTACCATATTCAAATTCGGCACTTGAAATAAACGGTGAATAATGTAGCTAAAATCATCAAAATATCGTATATAGGGGGGTACCGTTATATCGGAGCTGTGCGAAGGCCTGGACCAGCATAGAAAATTTTCTGTAATAGGGTGTAGCATCCATTACGAACTTTAAATACGACATCTCAAACAATTTCGGTGGGTATTGTACCTAAACTTATCAACATTCCGAATATAGGAAGGTACCGATATATGCAGCCTATATGAAGACCTGGACCTGCACAAACATTTATTTGTTCCCATTACGAACTCTAAATACGTAATTTGAAACAATTCCGGTTAATAATATCGCTAAAATCATCAAAATACCGAATATAGGGAAGTATTGTTATATGGGGGCTATAGGAAGACGTGTTCCTGCACATAAAATGCTATAGTATCCGTTACGAACTTCAAATACCGAATTTGAAACAATTCCGTTTAATAATGTCACTAAAATTTTCAACATACCGAATATCGGAAGGTACCGTTATATGGGGGCTATATGAAAACGTAAGCCTGCACAGAATATGTTCTGTCGTAGGCTATAGTATCCATTACGAACTTCAAATACCAAATTTGAAACAATTCCGGTTAATAATGTCGCTAAAATCTTCAAAATACCGAATATAGGGAGGTAGCGTTATATGGGGGCTAAAAACGTGAACCTACATGGCCCATTTACGAATTTAACCTAGCATACTGGAAAAATAAACATCTGTGCAAAATGTTAGCCTTCTATCTCAGTTCGTTCGAAAGATAGCGTGATTAAAACAGACAGACGAACATCGCTAAATCGACTTAGAATTTTACGCTGCTCAAGAATATATATACTTTGTTGGGTCTAACATGAGTGCATTTAAAGAACTAATATTAACTGGTGGATCGATTCTACAATCTTAAGGTGGACTTTTACTGACGACATAGCGGGCACATGCTGGTTCAATACAATAATTCAAATAAGAAATTGAAATAAATTAAAGAAGAATAACTGGAATTTCAAATAAAATTTTACTAATTAAAATCTTAAAATTACAGATTGCTCATATTTTTATCGCAATAGAATTTTCATAAGCTTTAAGTATTTATTAAAAACATACGTACTACATGCGACAAAATGTTAAGCCGATAAATATGTATTTAAGTCCGCATGTAACTAACCCAATATATAATTTTATCCGCTAGATACTAACATTTATGTACACATACATTTGTGTGAATGACATGACTACAGGTATTGTTTTCAAGTATTCATTATAACAGTTGAATGTTTTGATTAGTTTCATAACATTGGTACCACATACACGCATATGTACATATACATACATATTTAAAACAACATATAAAATGTATTGTAGCAATGCCATGTACACCCAGTGTGTATAATATTTCCTGTATATATAGATATTAATGGAATGTCCCATATTATTATTGGGGATGGTTTGTGTATACATCAAAAATATTTTTGCTATGTGAACAATTTTTGGATACGTTTCATTACCAATAGCAAAATTATTATTATTATTATTATTATTATATTATTATTATTATTATTATTATTATTATTATTATTATTATTATTATTATTATTATTATTATTATTATTATTATTATTATTATTATTATTATTATATTATTATTATTATTATTATTATTATTATTATTATTATTATTATTATTATTATTATTATTATTATTATTATTATTATTATTTATTATTATTATTATTATTATTATTATTATTATTATTATTATTATTATTATTATTATTATTATTATTATTATTATTTTATTTTTATTATTATTGTTATTATTATTATTATTATTATTTTTATTGTTATTATTATTATTATTATTATTATTATTATTATTATTATTATTATTATTATTATTATTATTATTATTATTATTATTATTATTGTTATTATTATTATTATTATTATTATTATTATTATTATTATTATTATTATTATTATTATTATTATTATTATTATTATTATTATTATTTTTTTTTTTTTTTTTTTTTTTTTTTTTTTGAAAAATAGTCTCACTCTTCCTAAATTAAAAAAAAATGTATCTTACTTCGTAATATGTTATTGAAGTTTACTAATAATTTTCAAAAAATACACGGAATACGACCATTGTCATACATACCCTGTGATATATCCTCGAATTTCAACAAATCATTGACATCCATCCAGTCTCTGACCACACGTTCAATTAGTGTAAAAGCATTGATGGGATTTCCTAAATAATCTTCCACATCCTTCTCAGCTTTTTCATGTTGAAATTTAATACGTTCCATAAATCTAAGTTTGTTTGGAAACAACAGCCATCCAGCCAGCCAGCCAACCAACCAAGCCAATGAAATCCAGTTGAAAAAGTAATAACATCCAGCGCCAAGGATAAAAATAGAATTCGAGAATGAAAACAAAAATAGAGAGAGAGAGAGAGAGAAGGAAAAGAGTAGTAATTTATGAAAGGTTAGAAGAACACAAAACAGTTGGTTAGTTGAAAACAACAGGTTTCTAAAACGAAAATTAATTACAGTAGAACTGAAGGGAACATGCGATAAAAAAGTGAAAGATAATTAAAATGATGTTTCATGATCTTATTAAGGATATGTTTTAGCAAATCGGGAATTGTCTTGAGATAACTTTTTAAAGTTTTTTGTAATCCAGCAGAATGTGAAAGTACATCGCAAAGTAACCAAAATACATCGCAAGCAACCAAAATATTGGGGTAAAGTTCGCGCCTATTCCACACTTGTTGACATTTTGGGATTAAGATTGCTTGGAATTCGTTCATTTTAGGTGTATAGTGTTCTCGGCAATATTACAGATAACAATAGGAGGATTATTTTGCTTAGAAATTTTAATCCGCAACCGAGTGAACAAAAGGGTATTTTTGGTCCTTTTTTTCATTTGAAATGATTAAAAATTACCTTTAAACGTTGTCGTTCCACAATTTTTCTTTTTCATAAGACTTTACTATAGGTCCCAGAAGACATCAAAAATATAAATTTAATCTAAACGTAACAAGATATTCATATGCAGGGTGGGATGAAAAAAACTGCAACCAACTTCAGACTTCTTGATCGAAACCTGCGTCGCAGTGGCCGAAAAATGGCTCGTGAGCTGAACATATCGCAATATTCCATTCGGCAAATAATGAAAAATGAACTCGGGGTAAGGCCATTGAAATTCCAAAAAGTGCAAGAACTTACACCGGAACTGAAAGAAAATAGTCTCAAAAGACTTAAAAAGAGATGCTTTGCTTGGCCGAAAGTGGTAAACTGCCGAATTCGGTTTTCTCCGATGTAAAAACATTCGTTGTCCAGCAGTTTGTAAAGAAACAAAATTATCATCATTATTTGCCAAAGAGGTCAGCTAAAAATGTGCACCTTCGGTTGGCCACAAGAACTCAAGCGCCGGCCATAGTGATGATGTGGACCGCCATAACAGCCGATGGTCGCTCTACGCTCGTATTAATCGACCGCATCAAAATAAATGCTAATATTATCGCGAAAATATTCTGGAGGGTGTATTCAAGCCTTGGGCACGCAGACATTTTGGCCGCAGACCTTGAACATTCCAAAAGGATTCAGCACCATCGCAATCAGCACGCGCCACCCAAGTATGGTAACATGGCACAATGGTCACCAAAATCTCCGGATACCAATCCGTTGGACTATGGTGTCTAGAGTATTTTGGAAAGCAAGGTTGGCACTAAAAAATACCAAAGAGTCGATCACCTCAAGCAATGGGCCAAAATGCCGCAGAGCAACATTTGGGCAGCGTTTGAAGGCCATAATTCATGCCAAAGGTGTCCAATTCGAACAAATCTAAAGTTGTTATAAAATTTGTACAATTTCCAATTTTTGTTGCTTTCATTCAATAAAATTTTAAAAAAATGTAATAATTATGACGTTTGACTTTGTTGCAGTTTTTTATCTCACCCTGTATTTGTAAAGTAAAGAATGGTACTAATGTTGGAATTGGGTGAAGCTATAGAGCTGGAATTCTCACGTTTGATATTGAAGTCTCCCTTGGTATAGGGAATTGAGAGTCGATTTGGTTGTGGAAATTTGTAATATAATTGTACGATCAGTACTAAATAAAACCTGCAATTTGATATAGATGTCACAGTTGGTGTTTGTTGTTAAGGTATGGAGGTTGTTTGGGAAATGTGTTCCGTAATTATTCAAAAATTACTAAAAGTTACTAAATTTTGTATTGAGAGAATGTAAATTTCAAATTGAGATCTCTGTTCATATCTGGAGGTATTTGTGGAAATGTGTACTATAATTGTACGAAAAGTACTAAATATACTAAAAGTACTAATATACTATACTTACTTTTAAAAAATATTATTATTAAAAATTGTTTTGGCCATGCGTAGTAAATGTTAGTAAATTTGGGATAAGGGATAGAGGTAAAATTTGATATTGTTGGTTTCTAGAGTTTAAATTTGGAGACGTCGAAATAGTTTTGGACAGAAAAATTGGATGTGGGTCCATTGTGCAATGGTTTCACTAATATTCTCCTTGGTAAATTTCAAAACAAGCAAAAACATTAAGTTCGGCCGGACCGAACTTTTAATACCCTCCACTTTAGGATATAGGAAACATTTTTATATAAAAGTATCTGTATTAAAGCGTGCTCCACTTTAAACTACAAATACCAGTAAGACATTTTGCATAATAGAGTTAAACTTATCAAAAAATCATAAAGTGGGTGAGGCCGTTATATGGAACCATACCAAAACGGGAACATCTACAGACAATTTTATACTTCAAGGATTGTCAACTACCAAGTCTAATAAAATACCAAATCTGAAACAATTTCATGGGTAAATGTGACTAAGATTATCAAAATACCGAATATCGGTGGGTATCGGTTTATGTGCGCTGTATGCGAAAACGTGGACCTAAATATTCAATGTTTCGCCACCGGAGCTAGAACCCGTTATGACCCACAAATACAGATTTTTAGACAAATTTTTGGGAAATTGTGGCAAAAATCATCAAAATTCCTATTATCGGGAGGAAATCTTGTTTGGGGGTATATCTGAACGTAGGCCTATGCATATAAAGTTTCGCCACCGGAGCTAGAACCCATCATGGCCAACAAATTCCAATTTTTAGACAAAATTCGTGGGAAAATGTGGCAAAAATCATCAAATAACCGAATATCGAAAACTACTGTTAAATGGGGACTATACCGATATGTCTGATATATCTCATTTTCAATATCAACCATCCTAGGCACAATACAAATTGTTCTGCTATATTTTGACGCTCTACGTCAAATAATGTGGGCTGTATCGTGATTTCAACAGACAGGCGGACATCGTATAATCGACTTAGAATTTTATGCTGATTATGAATATATATACCTTATGGGTGGATGAATATATAGGGACAACGTTAATATACCCATCTTTCCAAGGTGGAGGGTATAATTAAAGATTTCGAAGTCTTTTAGGCATGAAAGATAAACATTTCCTATTATTGTTTACTAAAAAGGAAACTCTTAAATAATATATCACCTGGACAGTGTGCCAATGTAAAATTTAAACAAGTTAAAAAGCAGTAAGTTCGGCCGGGCCGAACTTTTAATACCCTCCACCATTTGCAAAGAATTTGGAAATTTTCAAAAAATAATATCCTTAAAAAATTCTGTTAAAATTTTAAAAATACCGAATATAGCCGTTATATTGGGGTCTATGGACCTGGACATAGGCATTGTTTGTCATAAGCCATTACCATAGTCAAATTCTAAACTTAAAATAAACGGTGAATAATGTAGCTAAAATCATCAAAATATCGTATATAAGGAGGTGCCCTTAAAATTTCGGTAGGTATTGTACCTAAAATCGTCAAAATACCGAATATAGGGAGTTACTGATATATGGGGCCTATAAGAAGACCTGGACCCGCACAAACAATTTTCTGTCACAGACTGTAATTCCCATAACGAACTTCAACCACCAATTTTGGAACAATTCCGATGAATAATGTCGCTAAAATCATCAAAATACCGAATATCGGGAGGTACCGTTACATGGGGGCTATACGAAGACGTGGACCTGCACAGAAAATTTTCTGTCTTAGGGTGTAGTATTCATTTTGAACTTCAAATACCAAATTTTAAATTACTTCCGGGAAAAAGGTCGCTAAAATCATCAAAATACCGAATATCGGGAGGTACCGTTATATGGGGGCTATACGAAGACATGGACTTACACAGACAGTTTTCTATCTTAGAGTGTAGTATCCATTTGGAACTTCGAATACCAAATTTGAAACAATTCCGGTGAATAATGTCGCTAAAATCATCAAAATACCGAATATAGGGAGGTACCGTTATATGGGGGCTATATGAAAACGTGGACATACGTGGCCTATTTACGAACTTAACCTGCCTAGTGGAAAAATAAACGTGTGTGCAAAATTTTAGCCATCTATCATTCGAAAGATTGCGTGATTACAACAGACAGACAGACGAACATCGCTAAATCGACTTAGAATTTTACGCTGATCAAGTATATATAGACTTTGTTGGGTGTGACATGAGTATTTCGAGGAGTTACAAACGGAATGACAAAGTTAATATACCCTCCATAGTATGGTGGAGGGTATAAAAAGTTCGTTCCCGAACTCCTAAGTCGGTTTTCGACTTTGTGTTACAATTACTCATAATCGAAGCTTTAGTCTATTATAACCACTGTGTACATAAATATCCCACTGATATTACAAGTGTAGCGACATAAATTTAACTTCTGTCCAGTTTTTTAGGTCACTTTTTTTAATTGGTGTGGAAAATGTTTTTAAATTTCTCCCATCTTTTCGATATTCTTGTCGGTGATGTCCATTCAACTGTTTATCCATTTGTCAGTCACATCATTTCACTTTTTTTGTTCATCTCTTTTCAACAGTGTTTTATTGTATTAGGCTTTTAAGAAACATTTAACCTTATTTCACTTCCCCCTCACCATTCCGTTTTTTTTATCCATTCTCATTGATAATAACAGCAATAAAAGCTCCACCACCACCACTTACTTACCTTCGTATAATGGATATGTAATCCTCCAGTCCTTCCGAATACTTCCGGAAACTTAACAGCAGCGATGACTCAATACTATCCAAACGTTTTAAACTATCGATAGATGAATAGAATTCTCCATGTACGGGCAGATGTGAGGCAAACAATAGTACCAGGAACAAAGATAGAGCCACATACGATACGACACAAGGACCATGTATCCTTTTGGCTGTCATCGTGCTGAGATACCAACACTGAGGAGTGCCAATAATAATTCTAAACTAGATTATGTCTCCTGTGTGTTGTTGTTTCGTTTGAACGATGTGTTGCTGTTGGTTAAAAGGTCGTTGGATTTGCCACTGATGCTGCTATTTGAGCCGGCAGCTACTGAATGTCTTTTGCTTGAATAGTTAGCTCCCAGTGACACCGAAGATGATGTCGTCGATGGCGATGACGGTGGAGATGATGATGATGATGGTACTGATGTGGCTGTGAAGTCAGAAGCGAGTGTGTGTTAAATGTGTGCTGTTATTTGGGTAACTGAAATTCGAAAAATTAGTCTTATCCAATAGCACTAGCGTTGAACGTGAATTGCCAGAAGAGAGTGAAGCCAATTAAAGAAAAGAAACTATTTGAACACTTCCTTTTAGGTGGCAAGTGTGCCATGTTTACTTTAGAGTAAACGAAATTCAAGCTGTTCAAATAACACCACCACCAATTCTAAAGTTGTATGCAATTGTATTCTTTTGACACGAGTTTGTCTTGAATTTTGTGTTGTGTTTAATTTGATGGAAAAATAGATACGTTTAATAAAAATCTTTTATTTGACATTTCCAGATGATTGAAAATGTTCAATTTTTTGTATGACATTTTTAAAAATGGAAATTGACATTTTGATATATGCAATATATGATCAAGATCAGAATAATTATTATAATATTTATAATAAGCATATGTTATAAAGGAGATACATTAAAGTGTTTTTTTTTTTTTTTGCTGGCTAAACATTTTGTATTGTTTGTTATAGCCTACAACACTGTGTGTTGGTAGTATTATAAGTTTGATTGGGCCAAAAATTATGTAACAACTCCAAATATTGATCTTTGGATTGGATCTTCCTATCTCGCCGAGCTGAGTCGATCTAGCTATGTATGTCCATCGGTCCGTCTGTCCATGTTAATTTTTAATCACGTTACAGGTCGCAATTGTGGCCCGATCCCAATGAAATTTTAAATGGTGGTGGGGTTAGGGTCAAAATTGAAGATTATTGTTTTATGAGTTGATCGAAAAATATTTAGCGGTTGAAATGAACCAAAAACAGAAATATTTCCAGATTTTGTCCTTGCACTACAGGCCACAATTATAGTCCAAACGAAGCGAAATTTAGCATGGGGCTAGATTTTAGGGCACAAGCATACAGATTTGGATGGTCATCCAATATAGGTCATAACTTTTATTTAAAAAAAAATCGAAAATTCCACTAACCCGCAAATATTTTTAATCCCGGCAAAATCAAATATACATTACACGGTCATTCGTGACTATTGCAACAAAGTCAAACGCCATATTTTTACACTTTTTTTTAAATTCTATTGAATGAAAGCAAAAAATGTCGGAAATAGCATCAAATTTTGAAATAAGTTTAGATTTGTTCGAATTGGTCACCTTTGACATGAATTATGACCTTCAAACAGGCAATGAAACCGTCACACTCTGCTCGAATGTTGTTCTACGGTATTTTGGCCCATTCCTGGCGAAGCGCTTGCTTGAGGTGATCGACACTTGGTATTTTTTATTGTCAACCTTGCTTTCCACAATAGTCCAACGGATAGATATCCGGAGATTTTGGTGGAAATTGTGCTCTGAAAATGAATCGAAGAACCTCATTTTGTAACCATTCTTGGGTGGAGAGTGCTGAGTGAGTCTGCGGCCAAAATGTTTGCATGCCCAAGGCTTTAGTACATCCAGAATATTTTCGCGATAATATACGGCATTTATTCTGATGCCACGGTCGATTAATACGAGCGGAGAGCGACCGTCGGCTGTTATGGTGGCCCACGCCATCACCATGGCCGGTGCTTGACTTCTGGCGGCCAACCGAAGGTGCACATTTTCAGTTGACCTCTTTGGCAAGTAAACACGATCATTTTGTTTGTTTACAAACTGCTGGGCAACGAATGTTTTCTCATTGGAGAAAACCAAATTCGGCAGTTCACCACTTTCCGCCAAACGAAGCAACTCTTTAGCTCTTTTTAGTATATTTTCTTTCTGTTGCGATGTAAGTTCTTGCACTTTTTGGAATTTCAATGGTTTTACCCTGAGCTCATTTTTCAATATTTGCGAGCCATTTTTCGGCCACTGCGATGCGGGTTTCGATCAAGTCGCTTCTTTACTTTCCGAACCATTACTGCTGATGTTGCTTTTTTCTTCCGTCCACTTCCTCGACATCGGGCAACGCTACCAATGTCACGGTAACGAGCGATGGTACGAGACACAAAAGATTTATTCGCATTTAAATGCTGGAGTGCTCTATCGTTAGCCACTTGTGGTTTTCAGCCAAATATAAAGAAATCACACTATCACGCATGAATTCCATCACGAATAATATAAAAAGCTGTCACTGGAATGATTTTAACAGCTGTCGGACTAATGGCTTAGAAATGACAGCAGTCTGAACTTTATTGCAGTTTTTTCATCTCACCCTGTATATTATTGCACTGAAGGAGAAAGGATAATCCGATTTTGATCCAACTTTTCACATTCTAATATATACATTAGTACTAGGTCAGATGCTAAAATCGGCAAAATAAAGTGCATCCCCCACAAAGGGTCAAAAATTTGAACAATTATAACTCTTATAAAATGTGATGGTGAGTCCGATTGCCTTCGAATTACATACATCACAATATTTTTTTAAACTAAGTCCACTACTTTTGGTACCTCCCCCACAAAGGGTTTTAAGTAAACATGAAGCTCATAAAACGCGAAGTTAACATCCGATTGGATTCCGACTTGATACATCTCAATATTTCCATTATCACGAGAAAGAAAGCGAAAAAGGCATCCAAATCTCTTCAAATTTCACACATACAAACATGTTCTCTAACACAAAATCTGTTGTGAAGTTAATATATATCTGCGAGCTCCTTCTGGTACCTCAACCACAAAGGGTTACAATTTTCAATACTTTTATCTGTCATAACTTGCGAAACAAGTCGGCGATATAGCGATATATTTAATCTTCAGTTAGACACTTATTTCAAACCATATGGAAGGTATTATGTTTGGCATGCGGCACCCCGAATTAGAAACGTTATGTGTTGACCGGCCGAATATTCACAGATACTCACGAATATGCAATTAAAATAGTATTGTATACTTTTAGGCGCTACCGACTCAATCTGAATCTATACAGTGAAGAACATAATGATACTAACAGAAAATTCAAAAGCTGATAAAAAAGTAAACTTGAATTTGAATGTGTAATTTTTGGCCGTGCTTACTATATTCAAGACTTGAAAAAATTAACCTTTTTTGGACCTTGTTCATATTTCTTTCTTGGGCCTTGTTATATTAAAATATTTATGTACGATTGTTCAGGTGAAGTTTATATTACATTCTATATATAATTATTGTATAAGATTGTTGAATATGGTAAAAATATTAGAAGTTTCAACTCAAGAACAACAACATATACTTTTGTTATTATAACAAAAGAAAACATATTTTTGGTAATTTTTATACCCTCACTTGATACGGCCAAAACGTGCTCATGGAAATAACGGTTTTAAACCCTAGTTCCCTTTGGAACAAATCCGTTTCATTACATTTCGAGTTGATGGCATGTTAACTTCCCCCACAAAAAGTCAACAATTTCACAGAAAATAGTTGTTCGTATAAAACAAGAAAATATCATATTTTTATTATTACCATGGACAATATCGGGCCACTCCATCACGTACCTCCTACACAAAGGCTCAACATTTTGAAAAGCTTTTATAAAAAGAAAAGTAATCATCAGATTTTCTTTAAATTTCACACAACCCCATATCTCTACTAGCACAAGATCTGGTGTAAGGATGGTACATATCGAATTTCTCCTTGTGGTACCGCCCCCACAAAGGGGTCAAATATTGAATAACTATGAAGCTCATAAAACGTGAAATAAGAATCTGATTATTGGCAAATCCTAATATTTCTATCAAACCAAGGCCAGGAGTGAAGATGGAATATGTTTGACCACTCCTTCTGGTACCTTCCCCACAAAGGGTCGAAATTTTGAATAGTTATATATGTCATAAAATTTGAAATAAGCATCAGATACTCTTCAAATTTTACACATTCCAACATTATAATATTTATAACAGACTTATATCAGATACGCAATAGCTGAGGGTATACATCTGTCGGACTAACATTTTTTAACTTATTTTTCAGCGATTTTTATATCCTACAACATTATGTGTTGGGTCAAAAATATTGTAACATCTAGAAATATTGGTCCTAGAACAAGGATGACGTATACGGATCTTAATATCTGGTCGATCTAGTTTTGTAATCACGCTAAAGGTAGAATTTATGGCCCGATCATATGAAACTTTGCATGAAGGTGAGGTTATGTTCAGAATAGAAACCTTTTTTGACATGATCGCTAAATATACAGGGTGGGATGAAAAACACTGCAACAAAGTCAAACTCCATAATTTTTACATTTTTTTTTTTAATTTTATTGAATGAAAGCAAAAAATGTCGGAAATAGCATCAAAATTTAGAATATGTTTGAATTTGTTCGAATTGGTCAGCTGTGACACGAATTATGGCCTTAAAACGGCCAATTAAACCGTCACACGCTGCCTGAATGTTGCTCTGCGGTATTTTAGCCCATCCCATTGTGCCCATTTTTTAGTGCCAACCTTGCTTTCCAAAATACTCCAGACACAATAGTCCAACGAATTGATATCCGGAGATTTTGGTGGCCATTGTGCGCTGGAAATGAAGCGAGGAACCTCATTTTGTAACCATTCTTAGGCGCGTGCTGAGTCCTGTTGGAATGTCCAAGGTCTGTGGCCAAAATGTTTGCGAGTCCAAGGCTTTAATACACCTTCCAGAATATTTTCGCGATAAAATTCGGCATTTATTCTGATGCTACGGTCGATTAATACGAGCGGAGAGCGACCATCGGCTGTTATGGCAGCCCACACCATCGCCATGGTCGGCGCTTGAGCTCTGGTGGCCAACCGAAGATGTACATTTTCAGCTGACCTCTTTGGCAAGTAAACAGGATCCTTTTCGGCAGTTCACCACTTTCGGCCAAGCTAAGTAGCTTGCACTTTTTGGAATTTCAATGGCATTACCCCTAGCTCATTTATATTTGCCGAATGGAATATTGCGATATGTTCAGCTCACGAGCCATTTTTCGACTACTGCGACACGGGTTTCGATCAAGTCGCTTTTTATACCTTCCACCATACTATGTAGGGTATATTAATTTTGTCATTACGTTTGTAACTCCTCGAAATCCTAAAATTCTAAGACGATTTAGCCATGTCCGTCTGTCTGTTGTAATCACGCTATCTTTCGAACGAATTGAGATAGAAGGCTAAAATTTTGCACACATGTTTATTTTGCCAGTAGGCAGGTTAAGTTCGAAAATGGGCAATGTAGATCCACGTTTTCATATAGCCCCCATATAACGCTACCTCCCGATATTCGGTATTTTGATGATTTTAGCGACATTATTCACCGGAATTGTTTCAAATTTGGCATTTCAAGTTCGAGACAGAAAATTGTCTGTGCAGGCCCACGTCTTCGTATAGCCCCCATATAGCTGTACCTCCCTATATTCGGTATTTTGACGAATTTAGGTACAATACTCACCGAAAATGTTTGAGATGTCGTATTTGAAGTTGGTAATGGAAGCTACAGCCTGTGACTGAAAATTGTCTATGCAGGTCCAGGTCTTCGTATAGCTCCGATATAACGGTACCTCTCTATGTACGGTAATTTGATGATTTTAGCTACATTATTCGCCGTTTATTTCGAGTTTCGAATTTGAATATGGTAATGGCTTGTGGCAAACAATGCCTATGTAGGTGCACATCATACAGACCCTAATATAACGGCTATATTCGGCATTTTTAAGAAGTTAACAGAATTTTTGGCAAATGTTATCTTTTACGAAAATTTCCAAATTCGTTCTAAATGGTGGAGGGTATTCAAAGTTCGGCCCGGCCGAACTTACTGTTTTTTTACTTATTACTTTTCGAACCATTTCTGCTGATGTTGTTGTTTTTTTCCGTCCACTTCCTTGACATCGGGCTACACTACCAGTATCACGGTAACGAGTGATGGTACTAGACACATAAGATTTATTCACATGTAAATGTTGTAGTGCTCTAACGATAGCCACTTGTGGTTTTCCAGTCAAATATAATGAAATCACACCATCACACCTGAGTTCCATCACGAATACGTTTTTTGGAAAATTCTCACCAAAATGCTTCCGTACACTGGTAAACAATATAATGAGCTGTCACTGAAATAATTTTTTAGACCCACGATATCATATATGGATCTTCCTGCTTGTTCTAGCTAAGTCGATCTAGTTTTGTGTGTCCTATCCTGGTTAATTTGTAATCACGCTAAAGGTAGCATTTATGGCCCGATCCCATCGAAATTTTGCGTGGAGGAGAGGTTAGGTTTAGAATATAAGCCTTATAACCTAATGTATACAAAAATAGTAATGTTTTATGTTTTAATAATAGAAAAACCCCATTTGTAATTTTTAAAATGCGTATATGAAAATTACCGTAATAAATCAAACTACACATTATTTATCACTTGAAAAGCAAGAAGATTTACTTTAAGTGGTCATTGTACGTTTTCTGAAGTACACCGTGATTATTTTCCCATCGATATTCCCAGTTAATACCCTTATCCAATAGCAGCGTAACTTTATCGTACAATTGCACTTCTGTTGTTAAAAATGCGGTCTTTGTTGGTTACACGTCTATGGCTACTATAAAAACGAAAATATTTTCTCATTCTGCAACAGTTCTTACCGAACACAATTCAAAGTCACAAAATCATTGGAAAAGTAAATTGCAATTTGAAAAAATGCGTTTCTTAGTTACTTGCGTACTTTTGGCATTGGTCCTTTGCACCGCTGTGGAGTGCCATGAAAACATTTTTAAGCGCCTGGGCGAAGATATTGTAAGGATTCGTTTTTTTAGATAGAAAATGAAAAATAAGATAATTGAAAACAATTTAATTAAATTATTATTTAAACATAGAAACATGCAGCCGAAAAATTTGCCCATGATGTGAAACATGGTTTCCACGACTTTGGAGATGATGTGGTAAGTCGTTTTTTGAGAGATTCTGCAAAGTTCATTTTGGGATCGTACATTTTATTTAGAAACATGTTGCCGATGAATTCGGCCACGATGTAAAGGATGCCGCCGATGACACCGGTGATGCTTTAAAGAAATTTGGCCGTGATGTTGATAAAGTTGTAAAAGATTTCCGCCATGATGTTGAAATTGCCTGGATCAAGGCCAAACCATATCTTAAGGAGGCTATTATCATTATTGATGGTGTTACCAAGCGGTTGGCTGAGGTCGCTGAAATTGCTGAATTATTTGAAATGTTGAGCTTGGCTGAATAAATGTATGGTTTATGGTATTTGCAACAAAATTTAATTTTATTTCAAATTTAAAACAAAACAACCAACGATTATAAAAGAGAAATGAAACCATTAAGGAAAAGTCAAAAGTGGGCAGAGCCGACTACATGAGCTCCCGTAGATCATACCAGCTATCAACATTGGGCTTTAGAGCAGTTATAGTTTGCTATAAAGTGCATGATATCACATGCAGAAGGATTATATTAAACGAGTTAAAAACCAGTACTTTTAAAACTTTGAATACCCTCCACCATTTGGAACGAATTTGGAAATTTTCAAAAAATAAAATTCTTAAAAAATTCTGTTAAAATTTTAAAAATACCAAATATAGCCGTCTATTGGGGTCTGTACGACGTGGACCTATATAGTCATTGTTTGTCATAAGCCATTACCATATTCAAATTCGAAACTTGAAATAAACAGTGAATAATGTAGCTAAAATGGTCGAAATATAATGTATAGGTAGGTACCGTTATATCGGAGCTGTGCGAAGACCTGCACCTGTATAGACAATTATCTGTCACAGGCTGTAGCATCCATTACGAACTTCAAATACCACATCTCAAACAATTTCGATGGGTATTGTACCTAAAATCGTCAAAATACCGAATATAGGGAGGTACTGATATATGGGGCCTATACGAAGACCTGGACCTGCATAGACAATTTTCTGTCACAGATTGTAGTTCTCATAACGAACTCCAAGTACGTAATTTGAAACAACTCTGGTGAATAATGTCGCTAAAATCATCAAAATACCGAATATCGAGAGGTACCGTTATATAGGGCCTATACGAAAACATGAACCTGCCCAGACAATTTTCTGTCATAGGATCTAGTATCCAAGACGAACTTCAAATACCAAATTTTAAACGATTCTGGTCAATAATATCGCTAAAATCATCAAAATACCGAAAATAGGGAGGTACCATTATATGGGGGCTACACCGTCCTACAGACGTAATATACATTTGAGTAAAATGTTATCAACCTACTTCATTTCTTTCGGAAGCTAGAGTGATTTAAACAGAGGGATAGACAGACGGAAATCGCTAAATCGATATTGGATTTTAGGCTGATCAAGAGTATATATACTTTGTGGGGTCTAAAATGCATATTTCGTGGTGTTACAAACGGAATGACAAACTTGATATACATTCCATACTATATAGTAATAAGATTGTCATTCCGTTTCTAACACCTCGAAATAAGCATTTTCGTAATATTTTCCAATATGGCATTTGAAATTTGTAATGGGTCCTACCCACTTTTGCAGAAAACTGTCTACAAAAGTTGGTAATTTATGTTGGAAATAGGTAATTTCTTATTATCTGCCCCATATAACTGTACCTAACGATATTCAGTATTTTGATGATTTATATCACACATTTAGACGGAATTGTTTCAAATTTGATATTCGAAGTTCGTAATGGGTACCACTTCCTATAACAGAAAATTACCTTTATAGGTCCTCTTCTTCGTATATCCTTCATATTTAGCGATTTTAGCTACATTTTTCGACAAAAGCCACCGCTTTTCTGGCAAATAATTTTCAATACAGGTCGACGTTTTCGAATAGTCCTCATATAACTATATCACCCGATATTCGGCATTTAAATAAAATTAGCGGTTTTCTCATCGGATTTTTTTTAATTGTCAAATTTTAAGGAGTAAAGATTCAGTAGGTGTGGACGAATTGTGAAAATTTGAATTTTTACAATTTTTTCAAATTCGAATATTGCGATTCCAATGACTGACTACTTATGTCCACAATTTGGAATAACTCGAATATTCTCAACGAAATCGTGTTGATAATGATAGTTCTAGTTCTCAATGGAAATTTATATCTCATAACTTGTTCCAATTCTGGGACATTTTCCAAAGGTTGATTTTTTTTTTCAAAATACTACCAAATTGAATTAGTTAACAAAATATTTTGAACCCAATTTTTAGAGTTATTTCTGGAACCATACAGACGAACAAAAAATATACAGTCTAAAATCGACCCATATCACTCGTATTCATTCTACTTATTCTCTTACGTACAGGGTAAGGTGCAAAACTGCAACAAAGTCAAACGCTATAATTTTTTGATTTTAGTTCAATTTTATTAAATGAGAGGAAAAATGTCGGAAATAGCCTCAAATGTTAGAATAAGTTTAGATTTGTTCTCTGCTCTGGTCAACTTAGGTACGAATTATCGTCTTCAAACGGCTCTCTGGTATTTTGGCCCATTCCCGGCGAAGCGCTTGCTTGAGGTGGCACTAAAAAATACCAAAGTTTCGATTTTGGTATTTTTTAGTGCCAACATTGCTTTCTACAATACTTCAGACACAATAATCGAACGGATTGGTATCCGGCCATTGTGCGCTGGAAATGAAGTGAGGAACCTCATTTTGTAACCATTCTTGGGTGGCGCGTGCTCAGTGCGATGGTGCTGAGTTCTGTTAAAATGTACAAGACCTGCGGCCAAAATGTTTGCGTGCCCAATGCTTCAATACACCCTCCAGAATATTTTCGCTATAATGTCACGGTCGATTAATACGAGCAGAGAGCGACCATCGGCTGTAATGGCGGCTTACACTATCACTATGGCCGGTGCTTGAGTTCTGGTGGCCAACCGAAGGTGCACATTTTCAGCTAAACTCTTTGGCAAGTAAATACGATCATTTAGGTTGTTTACAAACTGCTGGATAACGAATGTTTTCTCAGTTCACCACTTTCGGCAAGGCGAAGAAACTCTTTAGCTCTTGCGATTCTATTTTCTTTCTGTTGCGGTGCAAGTTCTTGTACGTTTTGAAATTTCATTGGCATTACCCCGAGCTCATTATTCAATATTTGCCGAATGGAATATTGCGATATGTTCAGCTCACGAGCCATTTTTCGGCCACTGCGACGCGGGTTTCGATCAAGTCGCTTCTTTACTTTTCGAACCATTTCTGCTGATGTTGCTGTTTTCTTCCGTCCACGTCCTTGATGCCGGGCTACGCTACCAGTATCACGGTAACGAGCGATGGTACGAGACACAAAAGATTTATTCACATTTAAATGCTGGAGTGCTCTAACGATAGCCACTTGTGGTTTTACAGCCAAATATAACACATACACTATCACGCTTGAATTCCACCACGAATAACTTTTTTTCTGGAAAATTCTCACAAAAATGCTTTTGTACGCTTGTAAACAATATAATGAGCTGTCACTGGAATAATTTTAACAGCTGTCGGAGGAGTGGCTTAAAAATAACAGCAGTCTGAAATTGATTGCAGTTTTTTCATCTCACCCTGTATACACTGTCAACTTATTTCATTTCTGTACCCACTAATCCATGTAAAAGAAAACACTTTGCGGATCATTTTTCAAAATTTTATTATCATCTATCTTAAAACATGTAAATTTACAATACATTTTTATATATTTGTTTATTTATTTCTAACGACAGAAAATATTAAAGACAAACATGTTCGTATATCATCATCATCATTAAGTAAATATGTCTGTACTGCAATATTTTGGAGGGTGGTAAATATTATCAATATAACTTTGTTAATTTATTTATTGTAATTCATTCACTTGCATTTGGTATTTTTTGACATTTTTTTAAAAAATTTTGTTTTGTCAAGGAAATTGTTGGTTTTGCATAATTCACTGCTAGCAGAGAAATACAAACACTAACTTTTACAAGTTTTCGAGAAAAAGAGAGACGAAGAGTAGAATAAAGTACAAAATATTCATGGAACAATTTGTTCAACAACGAGATTCATAGTTTTCAATTCATTCTTATTGCACAAGCAGCATTAAAAAATATAGGAAAACATAAACATGGATAGTTTTCTTAAATTGTCCTTAAGCACAGGATTGTGATAGAGTAGAAAATAATGTATGTTTTTAAAAAATCGCAGTTTTAATAAATGCTTTATAAAAGACAGGCGGCGAGTATACATAAAATAGACATACATATATAAATCTATAGCAATGGAAATTCGTTTCAGTATTAAAGTATATTTAAAAGTAAACAATTTAAGGAATTGCACTAAATGGCATATTCGCCATGATCAGGTTCCAAATCACAGGGGCGTCTGAATTCTTGCCGGGCTTCGTGAATCCATTTGTTGGAAACTTAAATGAGAAAAATTTCAATTATTAATATTTATTCAAAATAAAAAAGTGTTTTAAAAATAGAATTGCAGTTACCCCATTTTGAGCCAGTTAGAACAGGACACGCAGCATGTCTTGTACGATAATCACCATCACCTGAACGATGTAAATTATACCAGAAAGCCGCTGTACCCTTCTTGGGCTTCAAGGCTGTATTAATGGCTGTGAATACTGTGGCACCGCCTTGTTCCACATCACTCATCTGCAATAATCAAAACATCATATTAAGTTTTTACAAATACAACAATAAAGGTATTAAGCCTAACCAACAACAAAATCAAGTGAAAACGTTTGTTACAGAAAATTTAGAAATTAAAATTAAAAATATGAGACAGAATGATTATTTTTAAAATGAATACTCTGTAAGTGTCCAAAAATACCAAAACTTGTTATACCCTCTTTTATGGTAAATGTATAACAAAGTGGGTTGTAAAATACATGTGAGAAATCCCAAATAAACTTTCGTATAGAAAATTACACAAAATACAAGTATTATGTCCCACAACACTACAATATGTTGGAAGCCCCCTTATGTCCAAATCCATTTTGGAAGATTTCGATTTAAAAAAAAAAAAAAATGTCACAGAGCCCTCACCAGATGCTACCCTTATTTTCGCCCTTCGCGTGTTGTTATGTATTCAAAATAAATTCAACGAAAGTCGTGATCTTGAACTCTCTCCTCATGCTAAATTCCGTGTCGATTGGTCTTCAATTGTGGCCTGTAAAGCGACGGCAGAATCAGAAAAATTTTAATTTTTTGCTCCATTTGAACCATAAATGTACATCTTCATAACAATTTTATCACAAAATTCTATTATAGGTCCTAGAAGACATCAAGGGTCTAAATCATACCTAAACGCCAGGAACTCTTATATATTAAAGATACATTTTAGGGTTTAAATACAGGGTGAGATAAAAAACTGCAACAAAGTCAAAAGCCATAATTTTTACATTTTTACATTTTTTTTTTTTTTTTTGTGCGCTGGAGATGTAGCGAGGAACCTCATTTTTTACCATTCTTGGGTGGCGGATTTAATATACCATCCAAAATATTTTCGCGATAATATTCGGCATTTATTCAGATGCCATGGTCAATTAACACCATGGCCGGCGCTTAAGTTCTGGTGCCAACCGAAGGTGCACATTTTCAGCTGACCTCACTTTGTTTGTTTACAAACTGCTGGACAACGAATGTTTTCTCATCGGCAGATCACCACTTTCGGCCAAACGAAGCAACTCTTTAGCTCTTTTAAGTCTATCTTCTTTCTGCTGCGGTGTAAGTTCTTACACTTTTTTGAATTTCAATAGCATTACCCCGAACTCATTTTTCAATATTTGCCGAATGGAATTTGCGATATGTTCAGCTCACGAGTCATTTTTCGGCCACTGTGACGCGGGTTTCGCTCAAGTCGCTTTTTCACTTTTCGAACCATTTATACAGATGTTGCTGCTGCTCTTCTGTCCACTTCCTTGACGTCGGGATACGGTAATGAGCTATGGTGCAAGACACAAAAGATTTATATAAAATATAAAGAAATCTCTATCACGCTTGAATTCCATCACGAATAACTTTTTTTCTGGAAAATTCTCACCAAAATGCTTTTGTACGCTTGTAAAAAATATAATGAGCTGTCACTGGAATAATTTTAGCAGCTGTCGGATGAGTGGCTTAGAAATGACAGCAGTCTGTAGTTGGTTGCAGTTTTCCCATCTCACCCTGTAATTTCACAGAACAATAACCAGTCTGGGTTGTGGAAAACTCTCAGTGAACTTGATAGTCTCGATTGCCTTTATATGGTTTCGACTGTATACAAAGGGACTTCTATAGTTTGACATATATTTCGCAAACTTTTAAGATGGAGCTTTGAAATTTAATAAAGATCTTTGGATTAAATTCAGAATCAATGGTACAGAAAATGGGTCATATCGATCCACTTTTTTGGAATAGCCCGTAGTATTTGTCCGATGCATTCTAAGTTCTTAATATCTAGAATCGCTATTTACAAAAAAATTATCAATATGGCCCCACTTTTGGTATAGACCTTGATTAGGTCTTTGCCATTCCGAATGATTAAATATTTCCTCCTAATTCTACTCCAAATGGGAAACACTTCTAACCGTATCAATTAAAATATGGCCTAGGACTGAGAGTGTTTTAAATTGCTTTTAAATCGTTCTGTTGACTTTGGCTGGTACTTACATAGAATAGTACTGTGGCAATGCGATTACCAGTATTCAGACCCTGGAAGGCACGAACTTCTTCACGCTGCATGGAAAAATACAAAAAAACATTTATATTTACTAACAATTATTCCAAAATAGATGTAGTTTATTTAAAAATGATCTCAAAGATTTATGAATCCGAAATTTACATCCCCCCAATACTTACTCTTGCAAAATCGAAATGTGGTTCATAATGACCGCCAATGCCATAGTTGACAACTTGCAACTCCTCGGCCGACAACATATCCAAACCGGTCATATCTTCAGTTCTTTGGACAATATTCGCAATAATGGGATGTTCTTCGGTACGCAACCAAGCCGACTTACTAATACGATAGTTGGCCGTTTCCAATTCACCGGTGATGGCATTTTGAACAGTGGCCCTGCGGAAACGTGGTCTAGCCATTTTCTTTATGATCTCAATTTCCGAATCGAACATGGCATCGTGATAGATTACAATGTAGGGATCCTTTGAGGCTTCTTCCATTTTCATGGGACCGATTTTCAGAAAAGGTACATTATTGTCAACATAACGGCAACGCAGCGGCCTCAGCTGTTCAGGTGTGGGCTTCAACTTGCCCTGGCACAACAACTCATAAGCTTTACGTTCTGTGTAATCGTACACGGATGGTTCCGCCTTGGCAATGGGCTGGAAGATGTACGGAAACAACAAAAATAAATAAATTAGACAGATTAAATTTGCATTCAAATACTTTTTCTTGTGTTTTCGAGTTTTTTTTTTCTCTCTTCAACTTACCAAATCCGATTTGGGTGTCTCATCACTACCATCATCACCTTTAACCTTTTTCTTGGCAGATAGCTCCTTCAGCTCCTTTTCGTAATAGACTTTATTGCCATTGGCACGTTCATGCGTGGGTAGCAGTTGCAACAATTCATTTGTCATAGATAGAGCACTTTCGACATCGCCTGCAATTTGCAACGACAAGCAGGAGTTGCAGCACAAACAAGAACGAAAAGAAATGCACAAACAACTTTAATAAATACATAAGAAGAAAAATATATAGAACAAATATATATATATATATATATATATATATATATATATATATATATATATGTATATACACAATTTATATGCAATAACAGCAAAAACAGCAGCACATAAATGTGAAAGGATATATTTGTTTCCACAAGGATCGTTCGTTGTATGCCAGAGGGTATTAAAAATGGCTGCTGTTCGGTACGAGCATACAAACACACATACATAAGTAGATAAATGGGTGACAACCATGTGCCCCCAAATGCAAATGTTACTGTTCTCTTTTTGCCACTGGTCCTCGTTGTCGTTTATGTTGTTGCTGTTGCTACTGTTGGTTATTTGTGTGGAAATGGTCTTCGGTGCATACAAATGCTCCTGAATAATTAATTTATATCACTACACACAGCTCTATAAAATCCTTGCTCGAAGGTCATTCAATGCAATTGCATGGCAGTCAGAATCCATCAACAATCCCAAACCAACCCACCACCCGATCAGACTCTCTGGACCATTAGCAGTGCCGCCTGTGTGCTGCTGCTGCTGCTGTTGTTGCACATCCAATTAGATGTTTCAAACAACATGAAGATGTATGTCATTTGTGCTGCTGCTGTTTTGCAAGTCAGATCAAAGTCGATTCGATGTGGACTCCGAGAGCTTTATTTGACAATGAAAATAATTAATATGTTTTAGCACCAACCCGAAAGAGAGTTCCAAACTGCAATTTGGCCACAGATTTGAAATATTGTTCCAATAATGTGATTATCTCTCGCAAAGTGAAGTAGAATGGAAATCCATTAGGAAAATTTGCATTTAAGGGCAATTGGATTTGATGAGTACAGCAAATGGAGATAAAGATAAATTTTAAGATTTGAGCTACTTAGGAAGGATATATTGGATTTTTGATGCGTATGCAAAATGATGGAATACCTAGATACATATTCAATTTAATTGAAGTGATTTTTCTCAGAAACATTTAAACAAAATGCTTCCAAAACAAAAAACAATACATACAGGCTTATATTGAAAAAATGGTTTGCAAATATGTCAATCGCTGTCTACGAAGTTTGCTCTTTGAGGTCTTAAAATTTGAAGTACGTTTTAAGCTTTGGTATTTTCTTCTTTGAATACAAGGTTGCTCATATTCGACGGACGGACCAAGCCATTCCAATCGACGAGGATTTTTTAATGTTTTAAAAGCACGTTGAGTTTTCACAATTGACTTATTCTGTTGAAAGTAAATTTCAACTATTTCAGAGCGCTCGCGTGGCGTGTATTGGTTCATGGTAAAAATCTGCTTGGACTGACGCTTCAAACGCGGTATGTTATTAAGCGATGTGACATCTCTGTCAAAAATTATGGCGTTGCCAGTTGGGTCCGTCGAATATGGTCAACCCTGTATGTACTTTTTAAGATTTTACATTAGTATTTATAGAAGAAGTTTTCAGGACTTTTATTTATGGAAAGGCGATTGAGGGCTTTCACTTAAAAAATACATTTTTTATTACGAAGGTCTTTTAATTATAATATTTCATTTTCACATTGTATATTTGTATATTGTAGGTTTCTTTTTTATTTAAGGGATCTACTATGTGAAGAAGGCCCCTGAACATCTCCTAATTAAATAAAATATTAGGGATTCCTTTGAACATCTTTAGCAGGTCTGAGGTCTATTTTAATAGAACTTATTCCAATAACTTTTTACCCTCCACTATGCTATGCAGGGTATATTAAAATTGCCACTCCGGTTGTAACCCCTTGAAATAAGTACTAGACCCACAAAGAATATATATTTTTGATCAGCACAAGATTTCATGACATTTTAGCCTATGCTTCCGTGTTCCTACCTGTTCTTTTGCAAAAATCACTCTAGCTCCCGCACGAAATCAAATCGATATACAATATTTTACTCAAGTATATTGAAGGTCCTTAAAATTTATCGTATTGAAAATGGGATACATAGGTCCACGAAAGTTATAAACCCCATAGGGTGAGATGAGAAAAAACTGCAACCAACTTCAGACTGCTGTCATTTCTAAGCCACTCGTCCGACAGCTGCAAAATTATTCCAGTGACAGCTCACTATATTGTTTACAAGCGTACACAAGCATTTTGGTGAGAACTTTCCAGAAAAAAAGTTTTCTCGTGATGGAATTCAAGCGTGGTAGTGTGATTTCTTTATATTTGGATGGAACACCAAAACGGGTGGCTATCGTTAGAGCACTCCAGCATTTAAATGTGAATAAATCTTTTGTGTCTCGTACCATCGCTCGTTACCTTGATACTGGTAGCGTAGCCCGACGTCAAGGAAGCGGACGGATGAAAACAGCAACATCAGCAGAAATGGTTCGACAGGTAAAAAATCGACTTGATAGAAACCCACGTAGCAGTGGCCGAAAAATGGCTCGTTAGCTGAACATATCGCAATATTCCATTCGGCAAATATTGAAAAATAAGCTCGGGCTAAAGCCATTGAAATTCCAAAAAGTGCAAGAACTTACACGCAGTCGAAAGAAAATAGACTCAAAAGAGCTAAAGAGTTGCTGCGCTTGGCCGAAAGTGGTGAACTGCCGAATTTGGTTTTCCCCGATGAGAGAACATTCGTTGTCCAGCAGTTTGTAAACAAATAAAAGTATCGTTTTTACTTGCCAAAGAGGTCAGCTGAAAATTTGCACCTTCGGTTGGCCACCAGAACTCAAGAGCCGGCCATGGTGATGGTGTGGGCCGCAATAACAGCCGATGGTCCCTCTCCGCTCGTATCAATCGAGCGTGGCATCAGAAAAAATGCCGAATATTATCGCAAAAATATTCTGAAGGGTGTATTAAAGCCTTGGGCACGCATACATTTTGGCCGCAAACCTTGGACATTCCAACAGCACTCAGCACGCGCCACACAAGAATGGTTACAAAATGAGGTTCCTCGCTTCATTTCCAGCGGACAATGGCCACCAAAATCTGGGGATACCAATCCGTTGGACTATTGTGTCTGGAGTATTTTGGAAAGCAAGGTTGGAACTAAAAAATACCAAAAGTGACGATCACCTCAAGCAAGCGCTTCGCCGGGAATGGGCCAAAATACCGCAGAGCAACATTCGGGCAGCGTGTGGCGGTTTCATTGGCCGTTTGAGGGCCATAATTCGTGCCAAAGGTGACCAATACGAAAAAATCGATACTTATTCTAAAATTTGTCGCTATTTCCGACATTTTTTGTTCTTATTCAATAACATTTAAAAAAATGTGAAACATATGACGTTAGACTTTGTTGCAGTTTTTTATCTCACCCTGTATATGGGGGCTACATCAAAATCTGAATCGATTGCAATATAATTTGGCAAATGTTTCTTCGTTTTAAATTCCGTTACTCATTCCAAATTTCATTGAAATTAGAGATACATAGCGTGTTTGGTGTATCAAATACATGGAATCGGCCGAATCTAAATCTGAAACTATTTCAATATAATTTGACAAACAATTTTTTTAGACAAATTTCATCATAGATTTCAAATTTCATTGAAATGTGGCGTACACAGCGTGTTTAATGCATCAAATACATGAAACCGGCCTAAAATATATATAGGAGCTATATCCAAATCAGAACCGATTTCAATATAAGTTTGCAAATTTATTTTTATTCAAATTTGGAGACTGTTTCTGTTATCGAACAATAGATATTTGCATAAAAAATGTAAATTTTTGGAAATACCTCCGATTCTGATGCTATATCTCCAGTTCCATGTGGAATTTCAAAAATGTATATGTTACTTTCAAGCGATGTTGTAGTACACTTAGAAATTTTTAGGAAAATCTGTGCAGCGGTTTTCGAGTCCATTACAAACAAACATGTACCTCTTTTATAGATATAGACAGGACAACTTTAAAAAATCATCTTTAAAGTAGGAAGTCTATTATAAGTTTATACTCCAGACTTAAGCAATCAGTTTATAGAAATGTTATCATGAGGAAACACTTTTATTCATTTTGTTTATTTATTTCCTGTTTTGTATTTGGAAATTTTTTCTAAAACAAAAGGTATTCAGTAAATAGTTACTTAAGAGAACTATTCAGCAGAAAAACATTTAAAATTTGAACAGTCGCAACAACAAGTTTAAAAAAAGTAAATAATAATAAAACTTAAAATTTCCTTACAATTTAGAAAGCTTTCCTTCAAGGACTCGTCCATATAAAACCACAAAGACTATTTTCTACCACAATTGTTGTAGAGATAGTTAAATAATTGCCCACAAAATGTGGCAACTAGTTCTGAGAAAAAAAAAAAAAAAAACATTCAACAAAACAATTTGCCAATTGCCTGGTGTCCACTTGAAAAGGGATACAGAAAGTAAAGAAAAATATTATTCCCACAAAAAACCAAACATCGTCCAAGGAATCCTTAAAATGAACAAAAAGGTCTTGTAGCTAAAAGTGCAGTACACAAAAAAAAAAAAACAATTTAACTTAAACTAGAGACAGAGAGAGAGAGAGAAAAAAGTGAAAAAAGAATTCGACATTTATGGTCCGGTATATTTCAGACAAATATAACGACAAATTGTGGGTGTACTACGTTTTTGTCCTATAACAAAAAAAAACGACATGATGAAATGAAATATGTGTTTCAAATGCAGCAAAAAGACAGAAATTGCATAAAACAGGGAAATAAAGTTTCCAGTAAATAAAATCTGTTGCAAATTGACAAAACAAAAAACCATCGACGTAAACGGACGACGTTCGTCCTGATGATGTTGCAAAATGCCTGGATAGAGTTAAAACGCAGACATGAGTGATGTTGTTATTTTGGCAATGACCCAATTTTTTGCTGTGAAAGAGGATGGAATAAAATCACAAAAATGCAAAAAAAATGGGAAAAAAGGCAACAAAAACGAGTTTGAAATATAGAAAAATAGTTAAAGGTTACAGTGTTTTTTGGAGAAAA